TTATCTTGCCGAGAAGAAATTGGAAAGCAGGAGCAGCTAGGGACTTGGTAAACAAGTCGGCAAGTTGGTGAGAGGAGCTGATGTGGTGAAGATCAATAAATCCAGAGGTATAGCAATCCCGTACAATGTGACAATCGATTTCTATATGCTTAGTACGTTCATGAAAGACGGGATTACCTGCAATATAGATGGCTGCCCTGCTGTCACACCAAAAGGAAATAGGCAACGGCACAGGAACATGAAGATCTCTCAGCAAATAACCAAGCCACTGCAATTCCCTCACAGTGAAAGTCATTGCTCGATACTCAGCTTTAGCTGAGGAGCATGAAATGGTGGGTTGCTTCTTGGTAGTCTAGGAGACCAAGCAATCACCTAAAAACACACAGTAACCTATGAGAGAGTGTCGAGTGAACTCACAGCATCCCCAATCCACATCAGAATAGGCCCTGAGTGTAAGAGATGCTGATGCTGAGTAAAAAAGTCCTTGAGTTCTGGTGCCAGCAATGTACTTCAGGAGATGGTGAGCTGCATTCCAATGAGATTGGTGAGGTGCATGAACAAACTGCGACAACTGCTGCACAACATACACTAAGTCTGGCCTGGTGAAGCGAAGATATAATAATCTCCCAATAAATCTCCTATATTGAGATGAATCTGACAACAACGGTGTCTTATCCTTCTTCGAAAAACGAAGATCACTAAGAAAGGGAGTTGAAACCGGCTGAGCATCCAACATTCCTACATCTGTAAGTAAATCCTGAATATACTTATGCTGACTCAAATACATGCCAGCAACTCCACGAGCAATTTCGATCCCTAAGAAAAACTTTGCATGGCCTAAGTCTTTTATTGTAAAGGCCTTATGGATCACAACTTTTACCTTTTCTATTTCTGTCTCATCAGAACTTGTAATTAGCACATCATCAACATATACTAACAGCAGAATAAGCACTGATACGGAATGAAAGAAAAAAAGACAGGGATCAGCATATGACTTTTTAAATCCATAATCTGTAAGAGCAGCGGTAAAGGCATGATTCCACTGCCTAGAAGCCTGTTTAAGGCCATAGAGGGATTTGTGCAATTTACAAACCTGCCCTGGCTGCGCCTTATCATATCCAGGAGGAGGCAACATATACACATCCTCTTCCAACGTCCCATGGAGGAATGCGTTATTCATATCAAGCTGATGAACATTCCAGGTTCGATACACGGCCAGAACAAGCAAAACCCTAACTGTCACAGTTTTTGCAACTGGGAGAAAACTTCAAAGAAATCTTCGCCCTCAACTTGATTGTACCCCTTTGCAACGAGTCGTGCCTTGTACCGATTGATGGTTCCATCTGATTTACATTTCACCTTATACACCCATTTGCAGCCTATTGCTTGTTTTCCGAATGGTAAGGAAGTCAAAGACCAAGTACCATTGGTTCCTCATTCATCACAGCAATCCAATGACAATGATTCCTAGCCTGATTATAGGTCTGTGGCTCTCTGACAGTAGACAGATTGGCCAGAAATCCTAGATGTGCATCAGAGAAAAAGAAGAACTCACTGAAAACTACATTGGCTAAGGTTGGTGGCAATTGTACACCACTATTAGTGAGATCAAAATCATGAAGCCAGGTAGAGAGGTGTCGAGTTCTATTACTCCTACAGGGTTTAGGAGGAGGACAATGAATGACAGAATTATTAGAAAAATCCGAAACAGAAGAATCTGTAGGGACTGGGGAATGTGATTGATAAGACGAAGAAGTGGAAGGGGAATGATTCAATGATGGTAAAGGGGAGGACTGAGATTCAGTTGGATTCTCTTGAGGAGAGGAAATGACTGTGGAGGGTTCATAATGAACATCGGCAAATATAGGACATGGTAAAACTGGTTGGTCTATAATATCACCGGAAACCATTTTACAAGGAAATATGGTTTCCTGAAATTGGACATGGCTAGATACTATAATCCTTTTCTGATCAGCACAGTAAACTTTATATCCCTTCTGATCACTGGGATATCCAACAAAGATTCCTCTAATGGCTCTAGCATCAAACTTATCCCGGTCAGGTGACATGTTGTGAACAAAGGCCAAACAACCAAAAGTCCTCAAATGATCAATAGTAGGTGGTTTATGGTGTAGAATTTCAAAAGGTGTCTTCCAAAGAAGTAACTTGGAGGGTGTTCTATTGATAAGGTAGGTTGCCGTCAAAATGGATTCCCCCCAAAATCTTTTCGAAAGGCCAGATTGAAATACAGTGATCTTGCGACTTGCAAAATGTGCTGATGTCGTCTTTCTACCACCCCATTCTGTTGGGGTGTGTATGGACATGTTCTGTGTTGAACAACGCCGTTTTCCAAGAAAAGTTTTTGCATTGTGGCATTAAGAGATTCAGATCCGTCGTCAGTCCTAAAGATCTTGACACGGTGGTTGTACTGAGTTTTGACTAAGATGAGAAACTGCCTAATTGTTTCAACTACTTGTGACTTGTGTTTAAGGAGGAAAGTCCAAGTAGTCCTACTAAAATCATCTACTAGGGTAAGGAAAAATTGAGCATTTGTCAGAGACAGCATTTCATACGGCCCCCATACATCAGCATGAAGCATCTCAAACACCTCATTGGTGTTGATAGAACTTAAAGGAAAAGCTAGCTTGTGCTGTTTGGATAATGGACATGTTTCACAAAAGGACAATTTATTATCAAAATCAACAGAATCAAGGTTGGATACATGTTTTAAAACATCAGTAGAAGGGTGTCCTAATCTGTTATGCCAAGTAGACACAGCAACATTGGCCTTAACTGTAGAATCTGAAACAGCAATACTAGGATTACACTGAGATACATCAGAAAATTTCCTTGAAACAGCTAGAACTAGCTTAGAGTATAAAATGTGTGTTTGTTGAATTGCAGCTTGTGTAAAAGAATAGGAATTGACTATGTAGAGCCCATTGACGACCATGCCTGCTCCAAGGACCTCATTACTCCTCAGGTCCTATAGCAAAAAAAAGTCGTCAAAAAACTTCTCATAGACACCTGAAGTTTGTGCAAGTTTTCTCACAGACAAAAGGTTATGTTTAAAGGTTGGTACATGTAATACGGATGAAAGTGTAAGTCTACTAGAAAGTTCTACTTCTCCCATATGATGCACATCCCTAATATTCCCATCCGGCAGATAAACAGGCGTATATATATCGACTACTCTAGCATGAATCATCAGTGACATAGAGTAACACATATGTGTCGTGGCACCACTATCAGTTATCCAAGAATCATTACTGATCATGTTAACTAGATTAGCAGCCAAATGAGAAATGACACGACTACCTGCAAAATCCTGCAGATGAGCATAGTTCACTCTGGCATAGTTGGCAGAGGTTGTAGGAGCACCATCCACAGCTGATTTCCCCTTCATCATTCTTCCAAGTTCTGCTTGCACCAAATTGGCACCATCATTTGCCAATCTCCTTCAGCAGGTTCTGTGCCATCAAAGGTGAATCTGCAAGATGAGCTTGCTGTTTGGGCATCTGCCACCAATCCGGGTATCCTTTGATCAAGAAACAGTTATCTCTTATATGTCCATGTCTGTTACACTGATTACAAAACAGTTTCATCTTTTCTTTCTTAGCAACAGCCTTAATCTCCTTCCAATCCCTCTGTTCAGTTTCCTTCTTCTAGGTCCCTGGCTTAGCCATCATGGCCACATTCTCAGGTTGTACTGTAAGCACAGTACTTACCTGCTTCTGAGTTTCTTCATCCAGCAGCTTGGAGTAAATCTCATCCAGGCTGGGCATAGGATCCATGCGTAGAATCTCACTTCAGAGTGATTCATAACAGTCATTTAAACCCATTAACATTTGATAGACCTTATCCTCAGTTTCTCTTTCATACAACTTCCTCATAGCTTCTCCCTCACAAACAATCGGAGGTCTCCATTGACTATATTCATCCCAAAGTTTGTTCAGCTTATTGTAATATTCTACCATGTTCATGTTTCCTTGGCTAATCAATGCCATTTTTCTCTTCAATTGATACACCAGAGAACCATTTTTCTTTCCATATCTAGCCACAATTGTGTCCCAAAGTTGCTTAGCAGTGGGAATAAATGCAAAGCTACTGGCCTGACTAGCGTCTATGAACTTTAGAATCCAAGATCGAACCATACTATCAACTCTCCTCCAACGAAGATAGTCAGGTGAATTAATTGCAGGCATGATGAAGGTACCGTCTACAAACCCCAACTTCATCTTTGCATCCAAAGCAGTCATAGCAGACATTTTCCACATCAAAAAATTCATAGTGGTTAAAGGAGTTCTTACCAGCGACATCCCAGGATTGTCAGAACCATGCAACTGGAGTTGTTCTTCCATGAACCAGTCCAGATCACCATCATTCATCGGACTTCGGGAAAAACCACGCTCAGTCCTTTGATTGCTCCTATGTGCTCTTCCAATTCCACGAGCGAATCGATGTTCCTCTTCCCGCCGCTCTCGATCGTGGCTGAATTCTTCATCAGCGTTCTCCATAGTGAAATTAAGTGATTAGGTTTTGTTCTTGAAGCACAAACAAGTAGATTTATCAGTTAAGCAATCAGGCAGGAGCACTCCTGCTCTGATACCATCACCGGAGTTCAGCGGAGGTTTTGGTGGTTCTGATAGGCGGTTGACAGCCGACGGAGAATATTTGGGATTCTTAGTATCTTTGATAAAGAAAATGATTGTTGATTAATTACAGAGTCTTATCTGGACTAATATATACCATCTAACATTTACAAAACTCACCTTATAACTATCAGTATTTACAACCTAATCCCTGACATATACACAATTCTATAATGATTGGATATCCTTGTCAATTGATGAATCTAGAATTAATGAATTATCAGATCCATTCTTCAACACATTTCAGCTTCTATTGATTCTATCTTACATAAAATGGACGTTTTGCAGAAAAAACATCATTATTTTATGGATTTTTCAAACATGCGAATCCTATTGAAGAAGATCAAAATGTTCGTCCTTGTTTCCACAGGAAATTTGTACAACTGGCGGGACGAAGTCAATTGGCCATCTTTCGTGCTAAAGATTGAAGATACGCTTCACGAATTTGCAGAGCAATATCATACTGCAGATGATGGTGTCGTGTCCGTCTCAGACATTCGCTTTCGTGAAAATCTCCAAGCAAGTGTTTTTGACTTGAGTGATGAAATCGATGAATGGTACTACACACAGTGGGATTCCGTGCTGGTACGAGTAAGGAATTCTCTTCTTACCATTGATGAAGTCTCCACAATCATCAGTTCCATTCTGGAGTTTATTGAGCAAAACTATAAATCACATGAGGAAAAGGGAGCCAAAGCTTTATTAAATGAGCTGAAAATCTTGCAAGCTCTCATCGGCTTTCCTCACAAATCCACACAGCATCTGTTGGATCACGCTCGATATGTTGCGATCTATACACATCTTGAGTACCTCTGTCCTTAAGCACTTCACGGAAATCTTCATGAAGAATGTTATGATGAAAAAGAATGTGCACAAAGGTTGGATGACTTACTGTTTAGATGGGTACAGACTATCAAGACAAGTAATCCACAGGTATCTGAGATTTACACTCAATCCTTAAGAAGTTCAATGTTGTCAAGACAGTTACTTGAACCAACTCATCAACAGCTGATGGAGGATGGTGGCGCCTTCAATATTGCAACCAACAATTTCCTTGAGTCTCTCATTGATATTCTTTGGAAATGGCTACGACTTAACAATTTTTGCTTGGTTTATGTGAAAGATCGAATGCTCGAGCTTTATGGTAAACTTAGATCCTTGCGAACCATTCTCAAGCAGCAGCACAACATTGAGAAGGACGATGACATTGTGTTTTTGTTACATGATGCCGGTGTCTTGATTTTCTCTTTGTACCAAACGCATACCGCTGTAGATCTTGGATGTTTTCGTGATTTTTTGGAAACATTGAAGACTACTCTGCTACAACTTGAAGATAAGGATTCACCAGTACCAAAAGTCAACGTTCCTAAGACTAATCAGTTGGGTTCTGTCGATTTTGTGCTGGAGAAACTGGCGAACCTGACAAGTCGTGAAGCTGAACCAATTCCCAACAATAATAACCATGTTCAAACTGTCCATGAACAACTTGTCACCGTGAGATCTTTCTTAGGAGACATTGTTGATTTCTACCAAGAACATGAGGAATATCAAGCTCTTTGGAATCTTGTTTTGGAGGTGACGTGCAAGGTTGAGTGTCTCATAGATCAGTTACTGGTTGATGATCTTCGATATTGTCCTTCAATTTCAGTTGATGCCATCCTGGAAGACATCAGGGATATTAAGGCCAAAACCGAAGTTATGAGACCACAAAACAGGCTGAAAGAAGCAACCAGGACTTACCATCATCAGCCATCACAAATGACTTTATTGGAAGCAAATGATGAGGTTGTAGGTTTCTCCAGCGATGCAAAACTAATCCTGGATCGGCTCAAAAGAGGATCAAAGCAACTGAAAGTCATAGCCATTGTGGGTATGCCGGGGCTTGGTAAGACCACTTTAGCCTCAAAAGTTTACAATGATGACTCTATTTCACTTCATTTTCAAGTCCATGCCTGGTGTGCTGTCTCACAAGCACTGGACAAAAAGAATGTGTTGTTTCAACTTTTGAAACAGGTTGATCCCAACTCCAGCTGTTCTATGCTCAGTGAGCAAGATTGGGTAGAAAAGCTGTGGCGCAGCTTGAAAGGGAAAAGATATCTCCTGTATTTGGATGATATTTGGGACAATGAAGCATGGAATAGTTTGGCACCAGCATTACCTGATGACAACTACGGAAGTAGAATTCTTTTGACAAGTCGTAATCAGGGCATTGCTCCTAGTCACATGCTTGACCAAGAACCTCATTTTCTCAAGTCGCTCAATGAAAAAAAGGGTTGGGAGTTGCTCCAGAGGAAGCTATTCCCAGGTATGTATGTTGCATTGCACTACCTGAATTGGTGATGCAATTTGTAGCATACTCTAAGGGTTTGCCACTGACCATCATCATCGTAGCTGGAATTCAGCAACTACAGCTACCAAGATTGGGACAAAATTTGGGAAGATTTAAATTCGTGCGATGCATCAGTTACAGAGCAAGTGCATGGACTCATTGGAACTCAGCTACAAATGTTTACTCGATCACTTAAAGCCATGCTGCTCTATTTTGCAGCGTTTCCAGAAGACGCTGAGATTCGAACCACAAAGCTGTTTTACATATGGGTGGCTGAAGGGTTTGTAAGGGAAACTGATGGAAAGCGCATTAAAGATGTTGCTGAAGATTATTTGAATGGTTTAATTGGAAAAAGTTTAGTTATGGGTGCCAAAAAAAAATGGAACGGTGAAGTCAAAACATGCCGCATTCGTGACTTGCTTCGTGATTATTGCTTGCAGAAATCCAAAGAAGAACAATTTTTCCATGTCATAAAGGGATATGATGAGCTTTCGGCATTTAACGAGCCCAGCAACCTTCGGAGGTTATGCATCAACTCTGAGATTAAGGATGTGAAACAATCAAAGTTGTTTTGTCCGCGTTCCCGTTCTCTACTTTTCCAAGTCCCTCACGGGTCATCTGAACCATTCGGAGATGCCTCATCTGTGGTTAGCATCTTCAAACTTCTAAGAGTGTTGGATCTGGAGGGAATATGCTTCAAGGGTGATTTTCCAAGTGAAATAAGTTTGCTGGTTCAGTTCGCGTTCCTGGCAATTAGAGATTTCTTCACTCACATGCCGTCATCCGTAGCTAAACTTTCAAATTTGGAAACTCTTATTGTGGAATTATCAAATGCAGGCAACATTTCATTGCTAGATATTCTGTGGAATCTGCATAAGCTAAAGTATCTTCGCGTTATGCTCACTGCGGGTATTGTGAAGAGAGGTAATCAACTTGCCCATTTTATATGAGTTGGATGTGCTTTCTGGTATAAGGATTCCATGCGATTGCAGCTTGGAGAGGATAATGGCAAAATTCCCCAACATTCGTAAGTTGAAATGCTGGATTGGCTGTGATGAAGATGACGAATCAGCGTATCCTCACACCGCGATTGTAGTTCCTGACTTTTTGACGCAACTTGAATCAGTTTTTCTGACATGGTATGCTCGTGAACCCGAGCTTCCAAAAGGGCTCGACATCAGTTTCCCTGAAAATCTGAAAAAACTGAAGTTGAGAAACTTTATTTTGTCTCGCGAGAATTTGTCCACCATTGTTAAACTCCCATACCTTCAATTCTTCTCATTGGATATGTTGTGGCGGAAAAGGTATAAGCATAACACACTGCGGAAGCGAGCCCCAAGAAAAACTCCTTTCCTACTACCAATAAAATAGGACAACCACTCAAACAAGCAACTAACTCAAGAACTGATAAAATAAAGGAGGCACGTAAATTTACGTGGAAACCCAAATCGGGAAAAACCACGAGACTGTAACAACAGTCAAATCTCCACTATCACAATAATGGGAAAATAGTCTTCACCGACTGGTGGATACACAGGACTTCACCCAAAGGTGGATTACAATAATACTCTTACACACACACCTATCACAAAGTAGGACTGGAAGGATCTAACCAAAAGAGAGCTAAACCGAAAACTAAACCCTAGCTTTCTTTCTTTTTCTCTCGTACAAAAACAATGCACGGCTAACCAAACTTTTCTTCTCTTCTTGGCTGAAAATACACCCCTAAAAATTATGCCAAAGCCTTGCTTTTATAGAGCAAAAAAAACCTAAAAATAAAAAACCAATTGGAGTAGGTTTTGTTTCCTAAAACCAAAGCCAAAATTGGCTTGGTTTTATTTGTTTCCTTGTTGACCCAATTAAGGGGAATACCGGGCCCAACAATCTCCCCCTTCACCTCAATTGGGGGGGAAAACCAAACCTGCTTCCTGTCTACAGAACAGAAGCTTCTCTCTACTCACAGTCTTCGTCAACATATCGGTACCGTTGTTATCCGTATGGATCTTCTCAAGAAACAACGCCTTGGACTCCAACACATCTCGAATCCAATGATATCTCACATCAATATGTTTTGACCGCGAATGAAATGTGGAATTTTTCACTAAGTAAATAGCGCTCTGGCTATCACAATACACCACATACTTCTCTTGCTTCATGCCAAGCTCTTGTAGAAACTTCTGCAACCAAAGTGCTTCTTTACAAGATTCAGTAGCTGCGATAAACTCTGCCTCTGTAGTAGACAAAGCAACACATTTCTGCAATCTACTCTGCCATGAAACCGCTCCCCCTCCATAAGTCATCAAGTATCCAGAAGTAGACTTCCGACCATCAAGGTCACCCGCCATGTCAGCATCTGTATATCCATCCAACATGGTCTTTCCATTGCCAAAGCAAAGACTCAATCTGGAAGTACCCCTAAGATACATGAGAATCTATTTCACAGCATTCCAATGCTCCTTACCAGGACTGGAGAGAAACCGACTAACAACCCCAACTGCATGAGCTATGTCTGGCCTTGTGCAAACGATCGCATACATTAGGCTGCCAACTGCCGAAGCATAAGGAACCTTTTTCATCTCTTCCTTATCTTTCTCACTTTTAGGACACTGCGTTTTGCTTAGCTTAAAATGCCCTGCAAGTGGAGTTGAGACTTCCTTAGCACCGCTCATGTTAAATCTATCAAGAACCTTCTCGATATACTTCTCTTGAGATACCCAAAGCTTCCCATTCTGTCTGTCACGAAAAATCTTCATCCCAAGGATCTGTCTAGCCGGACCCAAATCCTTCATCGCAAAGGATTTATTCAACTCCTTTTTCAACCTGGCAATCTTTGTAATATCATGACCAACAATCAACATGTCATACGACTTTGGCTCTCCCCCATCAGTAAGCAACAGATACTCATGAGCATTGTACCTGGTGGAAGGTCTCTTGTCTCTGGTGGACCTCCTAGGCTGAACAGGAGGTGATGAAACCGGTGGTGTCTCTGTTTCAGTAGCAGGATCATCATCAAACTCACCATCCTGCTCTGTCTCAGCTCCCCCTTCAGGAGAATCATCTGATTGTGGAGGAACTGGATCTAAATCAACAGGAATCTCAGGTGAAGATTCTGGCATCTCGCCTTTTCCCATATCATCAATGGTCTGGTCTTCAAAGAAAATCACATCTCTGCTTCAAAACTTTCTTTTCTACGGGATCCCAAAGTCTGTACCCAAAATCATCATTTCCATACCCCAAGAATACACACTGCTTGGATTTGCCATCAAGCTTCGACCTTTCATCTTTGGGAATATGAACAAAGGCACGACAACCAAAAACTCGCAAATGCCTAAATGAGACATCTTTCCCTGTCCAAACTCGTTGTGGTAGATCACCATCCAACGGAACTGAGGGAGATAGGTTGATCAAATCAACTGCTGTTCGCATGGCTTCACCCCAAAAAGATTTAGGCAGCTTTGCATTCGAGAGCATACACCTAACCTTTTCGGTAATAGTTCTGTTCATTCTTTCTGCCACGCCATTCTGCTGCGGAGTCTTCGGAACACTCTTCTGAAGTTTAATGCCATGGTCTCGGCAATACTTCTCAAACGGACCCCTGTACTCACCACCATTATCTGCTCGAACACACTTCAACTTCTTGCCAGTCTCTCTTTCAACTCTAAGGTGAAAGTCTTTGAACACATCTAATACCTGGTCTTTAGATTTCAAAGAAAAACACCAAACCTTTCGAGCATAGTCATCAATGAAAGTAACAAAGTACAATGCTCCACCCAACGACCTATCTTTCATGTAACATACATCTGTATGAACCAACTCTAGAGCACTGGACTTTCTAGATGGAGGAGAATTTTGAAAGGAAACCCTATGTTGTTTACCATAGATACAGTCAACACAAGGTTCTAAAGCAGTACCTTTCACCTCTGGGAGAAATTGCTTCTTACCAAGAATCTGCAACCCCTTAACACTCATGTGTCCAAGCCTTCTTGTGCCAGAGATTAATGGAGGCATTGTGAGTTGCATTCACCTCTCCATTCTTCAACTTTGCATTCAACACATACAAAGAGTTCAACTTTTTTCCTCTAGCAATAACAAGATTCCCTCTGGTAATTGTCCAACGACCACCACCTTCAGTGCTATGATAACCCTCATCATCAAGTTTACCAACGGAAATAAGGTTCAGACGCATATCCGGAACATGTCTGACATTCTTCAAGACAAGAGTACAACCTGTATTCGTTACCAATGATACCTCTCCCATGCCGATAACATCGCATGAGGCTTGGTTGCCCATTCTTACACGACCAAAATCTCTAGGTATGTAAGAGGTAAACAAGTGTCTGTGAGGCGTCACATGATAAGACGCACCTGAATCACCGAACCAATCACTGTCGTGACTCGCAACATTAATTGTATCATCATCACAGTACACAAATACATCACTGGTAGTTACTACTGCAGTAGTGTCATCATCACTTGATTCATCCTTCTTGCCTTTACCTTTTCTCGCTGCTAGTTCTCTCTTGAGAACCCTGCACTCCCTCTTAAAGTGCTCATTCCCTTGACAATGGTAGCACACGACATCTTTCTTGGATTTAGACCGTCCTCTGGACTTGTCATTCTGATCACGTGGCCCTCTGCTTTTATTTCTCCCTCTTCTATCTGACTTTTCTGTCACCAAAGCCTGTGACTCAGACTCAATACTCTGCTCTTTTCTTCTGACTTCTTCATTCATCAAAGCCTCTTTGACCTGATCCAAGGTCAAGACACCATCCTGAGTTGAATTACTGATTGACACTACCAAAGTGTCCCAACTGTCTGGAAGAGAACTAAACAATAACAAAGCCTGCACCTCATCATCCAACTTTAAACCTACATTCACAGCTTGGTTCAACAAACCCTGAAACGAACTCAAGTGCTCATTCATGCTAGCACCATCTTTGTACCTCAACCTGGTAATCTGTTTCAGCGCAGATGACTTATTGATGCCGGACTTCTTCTAGTACATATTTTGGATTTTCTTCCAAAGTTCATCAGCTTTTGTTTCTCCCGAAAAGTGATCAAACACACTTTGATCAATCCACTGTCGAATATTACCAACAGTCTTCCTGTGCATATCAGCCCACTTTTTATCAGTCATATCACTTGGCCTACCTTCATCCCCTAGAACAGGATCAAACAAATCTTTACAATACAACAAGTCTTCCATTCTAGGCTTCCACATATGATAATTGGATGAAGTCAATTTAATCATCGTACCAGTGCTCGATGACTCTTCCATTTTATTGGTGTAACACCTCAATTACCGAACCGTAGCTCTGATACCACTGTTGTGGCGGAAAGGGTATAAGCACAACACACTGCGGAAGCGAGCCCCAAGAAAAACTCCTTTCCTACTACCAATAAAATAGGACAACCACCCAAATAAGCAACTAACTCAAGAACTGATAAAATAAAGGAGGCACGCAAATTTACGTGGAAACCCAAATCGGGAAAAACCACGAGACTGTAACAACAGTCAAATCTCTACTATCACAATAATGGGAAAATAGTCTTCACCGACTGGTGGATACACAGGACTTCACCCAAAGGTGGATTACAATAATACTCTTCCACACACACCTATCACAAAGTAGGACTGGAAGGATCTAACCAAAAGAGAGTTAAACCGAAAACTAAACCCTAGCTTTCTTTCTTTTTCTCTCGTACAAAAACAATGCACGGCTAACCAAACTTTTCTTCTCTTCTTGGTTGAAAACACACCCCTAAAAATTATGCCAAAGCCTTGCTTTTATAGAGCAAAAAAAACCTAAAAACAAAAAACCAATTGGAGTAGGTTTTGTTTCCTAAAACCAAAGTCAAAATTGACTTGGTTTTATTTGTTTCTTTGTTGACCCAATTAAGGGGAATACCGGGCCCAACAGGATAGCACAATATTGGAAGGGGAAACCTGGGAAATAGAAGAAGGGGAGTTCTCCCAACTTAGAATTTTGAAAATGAAATGGATGAATCTCGTCCGGTGGAGAGCCGGCGATGATCAATTGGAATGTCTCCAGAAGTTGGTGTTGAAAGGGTGTAAAAATTTGGAAGACATGCCTTGTAATTGTCTGGAGAACATTCAGACGCTTGAAACAATTAAGGCTTTCTATTGTTCTGAGACTACAGAAGAATTGGTGAAACAGATTGAGGAACAACAGGTGGAACAGTTGGGCAATTCAAATCTTAAGGTAAATATTGTTAAAGAACGGAAGCGTCAGTAGTTTTTGTTTGTACACCTCGTTAGATTTGGCACACTGTTTATGCATGTTTGAATTTGCTGAGTGCATTTCTGCTTTCATTAGTATTAGTAGCATTTCTCTATTGGGAGTTCCATCATAGAGCAGCATCATTGTTACATTACTCGGACCTTCCAAGAATCTTGTAGGGAAATTCCAGAGAAGGGAGGTTTCTTTGTTTTGTACAAGATTCAAATAGTTCTTTGTACAGATTTTTCCTTCTATGGAAGAAGATGAAACATCTGCTGTATGTATGAAAGTAAGCTAGCTCTCAAGTTTGAGTTGGGAACTTGATTAATATTTTCGCATTCTACTGATTCATAGTGTATACTTCTTCAGCATAAATTTCTTTTATTATGTTTCATTGTCATGGGAAATGTCAAGTTTTCGTATGACTAGTCGTTAAAATACACTCCCTCTGTCCCAAAATTATTGTCCAGTTTGAGATTTTACTTTTAGTACAATTTGTACTAGAAATGAAAACTCAAACTGGACAATAATTATGGGACGGAGGGAGTACATACTGAAGTGTCTTAAAGTGATCCCAAGTACTCCCTCTGTCCCATAATTATTGTCCAGTTTTACTAAAATGAAAAATTTTATTTTTGGTCAAACTTAACTATATTTTACCTTAAATAATCGGATATACCCCTACATAAGTAATTGTTTAACCACTAAAATTTTATGGATAATGTTTTTTACTAAGGACAAATGTGTAACTTGATCCATAAAAAGTCAAATTGGACAATAATTTTGGGACAAAATTTTTTGGGCAAAGTGGACAATAATTATGGGACGGAGGGAGTAGTAAAGGATAAACCAAAGTATGAGAAGGTACAAGGACAAGTAAGATCACTAATATTGGAAAATTTAGTGAAGCCATTCAGTCTCTATTGACAAAATTTCATTACCATCTATTTTACAAGTAAGATCTCTATTGACACTTTTTTTTGTTTTTTTGGCTTGTTGGTTTTATTGATCAAGAAGCTAAATCTTTCTTCTTCCCACAACCACCGCCCTCACAATGTTTCCTTTGTCGAGACTTGCATAGAAAAATGAGAGATTGGAAAATGAGATGCTTTGCTTGAAACTAATTAACAAGATGACCTGATTAATTAAGTCCAGTAATTGACCCGGATACCGTCTGATCACTTGCATTGTTTGCACATATCCAAGCTGTACCATTTCCATACATGATTATAGTAATATTAGCACATAATCACGGGTCAGCAATGAATGAACCAGTCAGAGAACACGTACTTTCGATTTTTTTATGTTCTTGTGTGACATTACACGCCCATTGGGATAGTTCCACTGAAATATTACTATGAAACTTCGCAAATATTGTACAAGTGTTTTTCAACGTTACTTTCCAACCCTTGAAATGCAAAAAGATTCTTTTCCTAACAGTAAAAAAAGATTCTTTTGCTCAAGTTACGAGCAATGAGTCAGTGACTACGGCCGAGCCAAAGTCAAAGACGATTATTAACAAGGTATTTTTCAGCATACAAAACTTTCAATCAGGTCTTAAGAAACAGTTGATATCTTCTTCTTCTAAAATACTACCTCCCTCCGTCCCATAATAATCCACATTGAGTTTTCAAATTTGTATAAAAAACAGTATAAAACTCAAAATTTAATGTGCACTATTTTTGTGGGAGGGAGGGAATATCTTTCTTTGTTTGATCTGTACTTTGTGCTTAGTGCATTGCCTCCTTCTGCTCAAGTAATTCACCAAAATAGATATGAAGATGTTACTTGGATTAAACAATCTCAAAAAGTCAAAATCTGCAGACTGAAGTGTGTCTAAATTAAGGTTGTTGGAAGTTGGTACGGATTAACGCACAAGAACAAAATATTAACGATCATTGATATCGGAAAGTTTGTTGAAAGCATTCAGTCTGTATATTTACCAAATTTCATTACCATATTCTTATGATCATATTCAACACAAACCATGTCCTGGATTGTATGAATTTTTTTTTTACCTTTTTTTTGGTATTATATTATACACCCATTTCCCACAAACTACTATGTAATTTTGCATTTATAATACTGAATGGAACCAGATGAGATCCAGGCATTTATGATACGCTGTATGTGTTGTATGGCCGGCTGTTGTAGATCTCTTGGCTCAAATAAGAAGCAATACTTGTGGTGCACCAAAGTCAAAATCCAGCAGATTATGAAGAACAACAATGTATGGCTATGAAAAAATACAATTTCAATATACTTCTAATGAACAAGTTGATTAAGAACCAGCTCGTTTTTTTCTTTTTTTTTTTTTTTTTAAAGTTTTAATTAAAATTCAACTATTTCTTGGATTGCGTAGCACAACAACCAACTCGGACGTATTTAATCTAAAAAGTCAAACCGTCTGATGTCCAGGAACTGGCTGTGAATACAATGCCCCCATTTCTCTTTGTTTCTTCTTCTTAAATGACTAAAACCAATTACTCTTTCTTTAATCTGAGAGAAGTCAGAAATATCCTGCCTTTTTTCATTGATCCACTAATCTTTTGGGTCTTTCAAGTTGTGTGACATTTTTTTTTTACATCATTTCAGTCTCTCTGCTGCTTATGTTATTCTGTTATTTTGCAAAATCTTCCATCATCTTTCCCTCCTTCACATTCGGATCATACAAGTAATTAATATACACCGGATTGCCATTTTGCTTACAGTTTTACAGATTTTTCCCAAACAAAAAAAAAAACATGGCATCCATCCCCTTTCCTGCTTCTATTGGTTCTGCCTTACATGATCTGGACTTTTTGCTGAACAAAACGTCTCCTTCAGGTCGCAGAATTGTACAAGACATGAACTTGAGAATAATATTAAAGAAGCTCGAAATATTCGTCATTGTCTCCAAAAGGTATTTGGACAACCAGCAGCTGCACGACGCAAATCTGACATCTATCATGCTAAGGATTGAGGACATTGTCACGAACTTGCAAAGAAATTTCATCATCCTGATGCTGAACCAATCGACTCACCATATTGTATGGCTTATTACTTTGTACGCCGCACTGGAACCTTGCTTCATGAAATAAATGAATGGTATTTCACACAGAGTGGTTCCCTGCTGCCACAATTAATTAGTGGCTCTCTTCCTACCATTGATGACATATCCAAACTCATCGGTTCTGCTTTGGAGCTTCTTCGGGAAAACCATTACCTAACAGAAACCAAAGCTTTGATCGAGCAGCTCAAAGTCTTGCAAACTCTCATCATCTTTGTTGAAAAACCTACTCAAGAACTGTTGGCTCACGCTAACAATGTTGTGATCCATATACATCTCTTTTTCACGTGTCCCAGGGCACTTCACCAACTTGGCGGAGAAATGCTTCGAGATTCTCCGACAACATGGGCGCAAACGATCAGCCCATCTAGTAGTCCAATGGTATGTGAGATTTACACTCAATCCTTAAGGAGTTCCAAGTTGTCAAGACAGTCATCTGCTCCCACTGATCAAGTCTTTCATGATGGCGCCTTCATTGCTACCAAGGATTTCATTGATTTTCTGGTAGATCATCTTTGGGAACTCCTACGACTTAATAATATTGATTTTCTGGTTTCTGTGAAGGATCAAATGCAGGAGCTGTATCACAACCTTAGATCCTTGCGAACCATCCTTCTCAAGCAGCAGCTTCAGCTCAACACTAAGGCAGACATTGTATCTTTGTTGTGCGATGCCGGTGTCTTAGTTATATCACTGTTCCAAATAGATACAAAAGTAGATCTTGGATGTTTTCATGATTTGCTGAAAACATTCAAGACTATTCTGCTACAACTTGGAGAGGAGGATCAACCTGTACCAGATTTCAACTTTCCTAAGACTAATCAGTTAGGTTATGTCGATTTTGTGCTGGAAAAACTGGTGGACCTGAGAAGTTCTGAAGCTGAACCAATTCCCAACAGTAACCATGTCCAAACTCTTCATCAAGAACTTTTGTTCTTAAGATTTGTCTTAGGAGACATTGTGGAGTTTCACCTAGAACACGAGGAACTTCAAACTCTTTGGAATCGTGTTTTGGAGGTGATGTGCAAGGTGGAGTGTCTAACCGACCACTTACTGGTTGGTGATATTTGCTGTTTCTTCTTCAACATCATTTGAGGCTGTCATGGAAGAAATCAGGGATATAAAATCCCAAATCGAAATTAACAGATCAGAAATTGAAGGCAAAAGACAACAAAACAGGCTGAAGGAAGCAACCAGGACTTACCATCATCAGCCGTCGAAAATGACTTCCTTAGAAGCAAATGATGTGGTCGTAGGTTTCTCTGATGATGCAAAACTAATCATGGATCGACTCAAAAGAGGACCAAAGCAACTGAAAGTCATAGCCATTGTGGGTATGCCGGGGCTTGGTAAGACCACTTTAGCCTCAAAAGTTTACAATGATGACTCTATTTCACTTCATTTTCAAGTCCATGCCTGGTGTCCTGTCTCACAGGCACTGGACAAAAAGAATGTGTTGTTTCAACTTTTGAAACAGGTTGATCCCAACTCCAGCTGTTCTGAGCTCAGTGAGCAAGATTTGGTAGAAAAGCTGTGGCGCAGCTTGAAAGGGAAAAGATATCTCCTGTATTTGGATGATATATGGGACAATGAAGCATGGAATAGTTTGGCACCAGCATTTCCCGATGACAAATGTGGAAGTAGAATTCTTTTGACAAGTCGTAATCAGGGCATTGCTCCTAGTCACATGCTTGACCAAGAACCTCATTTTCTCAAGTCGCTCAATGAAAAAGAGAGTTGGGAGTTGCTCCAGAGGAAGCTATTCCCAGGTATGTATGTTGCACTACCTGAATTGGTGATGCAATTTGTAGCATACTCTAAGGGTTTGCCACTGACCATCATCATCGTAGCTGGAATTCTGGCAACTACAGCGCCTGAAGATTGGGACAAAATTTGGGAAGATTTAAATTCGTGCGATGCATCCGTTACAGAGCAGTGCACGGACTCATTGGAACTCAGCTACAAATGTTTACCTGATCACTTAAAGCCATGCCTGCTCTATTTTGCAGCGTTTCCAGAAGACGCTGAGATTCAAACCACAAAGCTGTTTTACTTATGGGTGGCTGAAGGGTTTGTAAGGGAAACTGATGGAAAGCGCATTAAAGATGTTGCTGAAGATTATTTGAATGGTTTAATTGGAAGAAGTTTAGTTATGGGTGCCAAAAAAAGATGGAACGGTGAAGTCAAAACATGCCGCATTCATGACTTGCTTCGTGATTATAGCTTGCAGAAAGCCAAAGATGATGGTTTTCTCCATCTGGTAAAGGGGTATGATGAGCTTTTGGCATTTAAAGAGCCGCGCAACCTTAGGAGGTTATGCGTCCACTCTGAGGTTAAGCATTTCAAGCAATCCAAGTTGTTTTGTACGCGTGCCCGTTCTCTGCTTTTCCAAGACCCTTACCGGTCATATGATCCAATAAAAGATGCCTCATTCGTGATCAGCATCTGTAAACTTCTAAGAGTGTTGGATCTGGAGAAAATTAAGTTCGGGAGTGAGTTTCCAAGTGAAATAAGTTTGCTGGTTCAGTTGGCATTCCTCGCAATTCAGGGTGACTTCGACTGCATCCCGTCATGCATAGGTAAGCTCTTAAATTTGGAAACACTAATTCTGCATCCGATATTTGACTCGATTCCATTGCCAGATAGTCTGTGGAATCTACAGAAATTAAAGTATCTTTGCATTGGTGCTGGTGGTGGTGATGTGCCGATAGAAAATATTGACAAGTCACCCGTTTTATATGAGTTGGATGAGTTTTCTGGTGCCCGGATTCCATACAATTGCAGTTTGGAGTTGGAGAGGTTAGTGGCAAAATTTCCCAACATCCGTAAGTTGAGGTGCTTTATTAGCTGTAACAAAGATAACAAATCAGAGAATCCCCACAGGGGGATTATAGTTCGTGACTTCTTGACGCATCTTGAATCACTTAGCCTGTCATCTGACATTAACCAAGTGTTCAAGTTCGGTTTCCCTAACAATCTGAAAAAATTAAAGTTGAGAGGCTTTATTCTGTCTGGGGAGAATATGTCCACCATTGGTGAACTCCCAAACCTTCAAGTGTTGGAACTACATAGTACAAGATTTGAAGGGGATACATGGGAAACCAAAGAAATGGAATTCTCGCAACTTAGAATTTTGAAGTTGCGGTTTGTGGATCTTGTCAGTTGGATAGCCAACGATGACCAATTTGAATGTCTTCAGATGTTGGTATTGGAAGAATGTGATAACTTGGAAGAGATTCCTTGTCACTGCCTGGAGAACATTCTGACACTCGAAACCATTGTGGTTGTCAATCCCTCTGAAGCTACGCGAAAATCGGAGGACCAAACAGGTGGAGCAGCTTGGTAATTCAAATCTTAAGATCGAGATTGTTCAGTCAAATTGGAATTGATTTTTTCTACACCTCGTTCGAGTTGCTACTGTTTTTGTATTGTTTTTGAAGTTCTTGAGTGGATTTTTTGTTTCATTAGAGTATTATTTCTCTTCTTTTGGAGTCCATTATGAGTAGTGGAAAAGCTAAGGCTGCAACTGCATGCCTTCATGGAAATGAATCTGAAAAGTTACCAATTTTTCATCTCTTCTTCAGTTGACATGGTTATAATTCTGTCTCCCTCAAAGGCACTGTAAAGAATTCTCACTTCGAAAGTAAACACTTGGCCTAAAGTTTGCTTTAAATTTTGTGTCATTCCCTTCAAATACTGAATACATGACACATTGTTCTTCAAGTTTGTCATTTGATATATATGCAAATGCAGACAATATTGACAGAATTGGTTCACCTTGTAATATCATTTTGTTTTGTTTCAGTAACCGTTGGAATTTCAGTGTATATACACGTGCCTTTTCAAACGCTGCAATAGCTTTTAATAATTCATGAAGAAAATTCACCAGCAGAGAAACAAAACTGCAGCCACCAAGACAAGAAAATAACAAAAGAAAAAAATAGCAGAACCTAGAGATAGATATTCTCTCTTATGGTGAATGAATACCTTAATATGTTTTGAAATTGCAAGCAAAATGCAGTACCATAAGTAACAGGAAAAAACAGAATCGCCGAGAAATTGCAGCAACAAATCAAAAGATACAAAAAAGAACAAGAACATTGTGCTCCCATATTTACTATTTTTCTGACATGCACCACTTTCCCAGAATGATTGCAATCTTCATCATTGTTTAGCTCTGTAGAAACCAAATAAACGAACAAAGCAATTGGAAGCGACATTAAATCCAGACTACATAACAATTCCTGACCATTGTAAGCTATCAGTTTTTACAAAAGTTGTAGAGTAGCAATAACAAAACTCAAAAGGAAGAAAATCCTCTCCATTAATCATAAAGTTGTTGACCTTATCTTTGTCTAACTATACTAACTAAAGGAAACTGGCAGTTTAATCTTGAATCGTATCTTTATTTCTGTGTTTCCCTCTCTTCCAAACATCTTACATTTTTTCAACTGAGACACATTGATCCATGAACTTTCTCTTCACAGATTATTCAGTGGTTTCAACAAAACCTGATAAGGTTGCCTCTTCTGTCTTCATTCTTGACTATATCAGGAAGGTTGATTCTTTTCCTTTTTTAAGTGTAAATTGATTTGTTAATAATGGAGAAAATTTGGTGTGCTGAACAAAGGAAACTTCTGTGCTCCGGAGGATCCATGGAAAAACAACAGCAGAATTCTGTAAGCTGAAGAAGCAAATTCCTTGCTGGTCGGCAAACAGAATCAGGGAAGAGTATATATGACACAGTTCTTGTCGTCGATGCTGGCGCCTCCTATTCTGCTTTTATGTAATTGAGCTATTTGATTTTTAGTGATTTTTAGTCTTTTTAATCTTCTTCCTGATTCCATGAGGATGGCACTTGCTGCTTGACCTATTTTTCTTCCTCACATTTTGGAGTCATAGATGCAAAAATGCTGGAGGATAAGTTAACTCATTGCGGAATCTTTGACTAACTCAGTGGATTTTTTTATGCATTAGGCTTAGAATATCAGATTTGCATTTGGAATCAGCGAGCATCTCATGATTGGATCAGTGTTTAATCATATAACATTCAGAAAGAGACTGGAGAAAGAAATAAAATGTCACTATGAAAGGCAAAAAAAAAAAAAAAGTCTGTATTACAAGAAAACACACTTTTGAAACCGCAATTTTGTTTCTTCTTTTTTTTCGGGAAAGGAACCGCAATTTTGTTATAATTTCAAGGATCAAGCTTTAGTCTTTTCATTTTATTTTTATTTTATTTTTATTTTTTTGTTTTTACAGTCTTGTGACACAAATGATGAAGTTCAGGTGCCAGATTCAGAAACAAATCAAACCGAGTTATATATTGTTAGAGTTGCAAAAAGAACATTTGCGAATTCAATTGATTCGCAAATAGGAAACGGTATGACTTGATCAAGAAGAAGAAAGGGTTGTAAAAAAATCATGTTCTGATATGAATTCTTTTGGATTCAACAGAGCACGACTCTAAATATGCGGAAGCTTGTTTCAAATTACGGCACCGAGATTTGCTCTTGTTCCACTGATAACTCGCCAAGACAACCAATGACTCCGAAAATATCTCGATTCAAGGATGAATCAAATGAAAAATATAAAATATGGTAGAAAAGAAGAATGGAAGAAGTGTTTTTGGATCGAACCCTATTAGAACTTGTCAATTATATTCCCACTTTGCGATAGAAACTCGTTGATTTGTTCCAAAACAGATCACGAACTCAGCATCTTAGTTGAGAAACACCATATCTCGAACAAGGGTAGCCGCGTAGTTTGCAAGAAACCAAATTCAAGTTTATGCACATAAAAATTAATCTTACAGGACTAAAACAAAAAGAACTTCACTCGTTCTTTAAAACCATCATCAAATTCATCAAATCACGCATATTACAAAAGTTGGCCAACACCCCTATTTATAGTAGAGGGTGGCTGAAAATTCTCCTACTAAGTAGGAGAACAATTTGATTTCTAACTCTATTCCTACTTAGAAATCAAATTGGACTCTAACTGACAACTCATGTTTTATCTATTAAGGCAATGAATCTAGACATCTTTCTAGACTTTAGACACACTACTTTAATGAAATTAATACTCCAAATACAAAGAGATATTCTCTAAAAGAATCTTATCTTATCTTCAAAAAAATCTTCCTGAGTTGTCAACTCTATCAATATTTTTTTTGTGGAGTAATCATAGACATCCAATCTTGATGTAGCCTTCATCCGACGGTTGAGAGTAGACACCAATAAATAGACTTCTTATTCTGAACAAACTAAAAAAATATATAAAAAAGAATCACATAAATCTTATCCTTTCACGAATGTGATAAGATTTAAATGATATAATCCCTAAGAAATAGGAATTTTTTAGCAACTAAAAGGCTACTTCTACCACAAGTAAAACTCTTGTAATCGAAATTACCAATAACAAGTAAAAATCTTACAACAAAAATTACCATAAAAATAGTAAAAGTGATTAGAATTTTAAGGAAGCCTTAAATCCCGAAGATCCACATCATGTTCTGAAGCTACTACAACAGAACCATGCCAACAAACGGTAAAAAAAATAAAATAAAAAATAAAAAATAAAAAAATCCAAGGAACATAAAAATTAATTAAGCAGATCATGAGAAAGAAGATCTCCAAATAAAAAAAAAAAAAAGAAAAATTCAACCCACGTATCCAAATTGTCTAACAACCTGCATTTCTTTTCATATAAAAAAATCATGATCTGAATACCAATTCAACAACTCTTTTTCTTCTATTCTTTGGAGATAGCTCCAAGTGTCAAACGCAAATGATTTGTTTTGTTAGTTTAATCTAAAAGTCAAACCCTCGGATGATCTGTCGGACTAGAATTGATTGTGAAGTCAGAAGTATAGTTCATTTTCATCCGCTGTGATTCACATGCATTGCTCTTCTGATTATTGGCCTTTTAATTTCTTGCAATTCTCTTCCATCATTTCTCTATATCTCTCTGTTTTGTTTAATTATATTTGCAAAATCTTCCATCATCTTCCCCTGCCTCCCAAATCTCATCGTTGCCCTGTCTGTCTTCAATCTTCTTCCTTTCTTTCCATTTGAATACAAAAATCAATAATCCCTTTCAAATTTCACAGATTTTTCACCCAAACAACAGCCAGAAAAAAAAAAAAAACATGGATTCCAATACTATTGCTGCTTCTATGGGTTCTGCCTTACATGATCTGGACTTTGTGCTGAACAAATTGTTTCCTTCCAGTTACAAAAGTAGAAGAATCCAAAGTCAATTAAATAAGCTCAAAATTTTCCTTCTTATTTCCCCAAGAAATTTGGACAACCGGCAGCTGCATGACTCAAGTCTGCCATCTTTCTTCCAAAGGATTGAAGATACGGTTCACAAACTTGCAGAGAAATTTCATCATCCTGATGCTGAACCACAAACCACATTAGATGAATCTGAGGCTCATGAGATACAAACTAACATTGAATCCTTGCTTGGTGAAATAGATGAATGGTACTTCACTTTGAGGGATTCAGTTCTGTTACAATTAATTGGTTCTGTTCTCATCATTGATGACATCTCCAAAATCTTCACTTCCATTTTGGAGCTTCTTCTTCCTGAGGATCAGATTTACACAGAAGGAATAGAAGCTTTGGTTGAACAGGTCAGATTCTTGCAAACTCTGATCTGCTTTGTGGGCTACAATCCCACACCACAACTGTTGGCTCACGCTAAAGATGTTGCGATCCGTACACATCTTCATTTTATGTGTCCTAGAGCGCTTCACGGAACTCCTGATGAAGAAACTCTTGATGATGAAGAAAGGCTTGATGAGTTGCTCTTAAAATGGGTGCAAACCATCAAGCCAAGAAATGATCCGCGGGTATCTGAGATTTACATTCAAGCTCTAATCACTTCCAAGTTGTCAAGACTGTCACTTGTTTCCGCGGATCAACACATTGATGATGGTGGCTTCATTGCCTCCAAGAATTTCCTGGATTGCCTCATTGATCATCTTTGGGAACTCCTACAAGCTAATAATGTTACTGAAGCTTTGCTTTCTGTGAAGGATCATATGCAGGCGCTTTATCCAAACCTTAGATCTTTGCGGACTGTTCTCAAGCAGAATCAGCAGCTGCTGCCTGACAACATTAAGTCAGACATTGCATTTTTGTTATATGATGCCGGTGTCTTAATTTATTCATTGTACCAAACAGATACAGAAGTTGATCTTGGATATTTTCATGATGTTTTGAAAACATTCAAGACTGTTCTGTTACAACTTGGAGATAAGGATACACCTGTACCAGAATTCAACTTCCCTAAGACTAATCAGCTGGGTTTTTTTGATTTCGTGTTGGAAAAACTGGTGGACCTGAGAAGTCGTGAAGCTGTACCAGTTACCAACAATAAGCAAGTTCAAACCGTCCATGAAGAACTTGTCTCCTTAAGATCTTTCTTAGGAGACATTCTTGAGTTTCACCAAGAAGATGAGGAACTTCAAGCTCTGCGGAACTGTGTTTTGGAGGTGGCGTACAAGGTGGAGCGTCTCATCGACCATTTACTTGTTGGTGAGCTACCGGTTTCTTCTCCAACTTCAGTTGATGCCATCATGAATGACATCAGGGCTATTAAGCCCAAAATCGAAGTTAAGAGAACAGAAATTGGAGGACAAAGACAACAAAACAGATCGAAAGAAGCAACCATTAAGTCCATTACTTACAATCACCTGCCATCACAAACCATATATAATGAGGTTGTAGGTTTCGTTGATGATGTAGATCTAATCAAGGATCGGCTGAAGAGAGGATCAAAGCAGCTGAAAGTCATCGCCATTGTGGGTATGCCGGGACTAGGTAAGACCACTTTAGCCTCAAAAGTCTACAATGATAATTCTATTTCACTTCATTTTCAAGTCCGCGCCTGGTGTCCGGTCTCACAAACACTGGACAAAAAGAATGTGTTGGTTCAACTTTTGAAACAGGCAGATCCCAACTGCGGATTCTCTGAGCTCAACGAGCAAGATTTAGTTGAAAGGCTGTGGCGCAGGTTGAAAGGGAAAAGATACCTCATATTATTGGATGATATATGGGACGCTGAAGCATGGAATAGCTTGGCACCAGCATTCCCTGATGACAACTATGGAAGTAGAATTCTTTTGACGAGTCGTCGTCAGGGAGTTGCTCCTGGTCACGTGCTCGACCAAGAGCCTCATTTTCTTCAGCTGCTCAATGAAAACGAGAGTTTGGAGTTATTCCAGCAGAAGTTACTCCCAGAAAAGGATGGTTCTTTGGATCCTGCATTTCATAATTTGGTGATGCAATTTGTGGCATACTGTAAAGGGTTACCACTGACCATCATCCTCATAGCTGGAACTTTGGCTACTACTAAACCAGAAGATTGGGTGAAAATTTGGGAAGATTTAAGTTCAGGTGGCGCATCCGTTATAGAACACTGCATGGACTCATTGGAACTCAGCTACAAGCGTTTACCGGATGAGTTAAAGCCATGCCTGCTCTATCTCGGAGCATTTCGAGAAGATGTAGAGATTCCAGCAGACAGGCTGCTTTACTTATGGACTGCAGAAGGATTTGTTAGGGAAACTGAGGGAAAGCGCGTAATAGATGCTGCTGAAGACTATTTGGAAGGTTTAATTGAAAGAAGCCTGATTATGGTTGCTCGAAAAAGATGGAACGGTAGAGTCAAAACATGCCGAATTCATGACTTGCTTCATGATTATTGCTTGCAGAAATCCAAAGATGAACAATTTCTCCATCTGGTAAAAGGATATGATGAGCTTTTGGCATTTAACGAGCCGCGCAGCCTGCGGAGGTTATGCATCCACTCTGAGGGTAAGCATTTCGTACAATCCAAGTTGTTTTGTCCTGGTGCCCGTTCTCTACTTCTTCAAGATCCTCACAGGTCAGACCAGGCATTAGGAACTGCCTCATTTTCGATTCGCATCTTTAAACTCCTAAGAGTGTTGGATCTAGAGGACATCCGGATGAGGAGTGAGTTTCCAAGTGAAATAAGTTTGCTTGTTCAGTTGGTATTCCTGGCAGTTCGAGGTGATTTCAGATGCATCCCGTCATCCATAGCTAAGCTCTCATACTTGGAAACTCTTATTGTGGATCCAAATGAAAACTGGATTTCATTGCCAGATAGTCTGTGGAATCTACAGAAGTTGAAGTATTTTTGCGTAAGTAGCGGCGTTGGTATCGTGCCAACAGAAAATCTTGACAACTCAACAAGTTTATATGAGTTGAATGTGTTTTCTGGTGCATTTATTCCAAACGATTGCAGCTTGGAAAGGTTAATGACAAAATTTCCGAACATCTGTAAGTTGAAATGCTTCATAGGCTGTGATGGAGTAGTTCCCAACTTCTTGACACAACTTGAATCAGTTGCTTTTTATGATTCAGTTGATCTGTCATGGGGTCTTAATCCCACAGTTCCTTTTAAGTTCAGTTTCCCTGAAAACTTGAAAAAATTGAAGTTGGGAGGCTTTGAGTTGTCTTGGGAGAATCTGTCAACTATAGGTAAACTCCAAAACCTCCAAGTCTTCACATTATCCAATACGGAATTGGAAGGCGAAAAATGGGAAATGAAAGACGGAGAATTCTCGCAACTTAGAGTTTTGAAGTTGTTCCATGTGATGAAGCTTGTCAGGTGGACAGCCTGTGATGATCAATTGGAATGTCTTCAGAAGTTGGAGCTGAGATGGTGTGAAAATTTGGAAGAGATGCCTTGTAACTGTCTGGAGAACATTCAGACACTTGAAACAATTGTGGCTTATTATTGTTCTGAGACTACAAGAAAACTGGTGGAACAGATTGAAGAACAACAGGTGGAGCAGTGGGGTAATTTAAATCTCAAGATCAAAATTGATTGAACCATACAACTTGTTGGATTTGGCACTGTTTATGTATGTTTTAATTAATGAGTGCATTTCTTCTTCCATTCGGTGTTTCACTATTTCTTTTTCGGTGTTTCACAGTTTTGAACGAGAATGATTATGATGAACATAAGTACAATTACTCCTATACTGAATGAATCCAGCATGCTGTTGTATATATAGCATCCATGTGTCAGCATGGTTTTGCTCGACGGAGACCTGAAAGTGTGAAGCAGTAGTACTTGATCATATAGAAGTTGTAAGAACATAGATTGCGAAGACCTTTCTTACTCGAAATCATTTTTGCCCTTAGCTTCACATTGTTAATGTGCTGACTTTCAACCATTTGTAACTCATGGATCATCCTTTTCGACTTCATAAACATCAATGCTTGGGGTTCAAGCCTCAAAAATTCCTCAATCAGAATCAATGGCGCCATAAGATGAAACATATTTTTATGTCCCGTTAATTAGGCCATTGGTGTATCATTGCAAGTGAGGCCGAGGATTTTCATTTGATCTTGAACAAATTTTTTTTGCATTTTTTGAAATTTAATCGATCATCATAAATTTAAAGCTACAATGAGTGGCTTTTTTCCTTGTTTTGATCATTGTCTTTATATCTTGTACATAAGATAAGGGGGGTTTTGGGATTTTCGTATTCCAAACTCTGACCCAAAAAAGTTGAAGAAGTAAAGAATATGACATTATCAACATGATTGACCTCTGCAGCAAGTTGCAAGAACAGCACAAACATCCAACACTTTCCCTTTTGTGAAAATACAAATGCAAAGAACTAGAGCTCCTGGACAAAGATACACAAACTTGTCCTGCGAAGAAGAGATATCTGATGACCACATTAATTGTATAGAGCTGATAAACTGCAAGTTGAAAGAACAGAGAAACACAAAAACTTAATGTATTATTAATTATATGTAAGTATATGTATTTCTTGTGACATGATATCACGAGGTGGTGCTGACTGTAATAAACTTCTGACTTGACCGAGAGAGTTGGCTACAAGGAACAATAAAATATTCCATCAGTAAATATGTGTATAAAAAAAAAAAGAAGTTATTTTTGGATTAAACAATGCATAAAATTAGACTAATTTACTTTGCTAAGAAGGGCAAAATAATAGTATCTTTTTTTTTTCTCTTCTAACGTCTTTGTTCTATAATAAGAAGAAAAATTCTTTTGTGCAAATATTTAAGTTGTGGGAGACAAAAATTTACGACAACTCAAATCTAGTACTCCCTCTATCCCAAAATTTTTGTCCAATTTAAGATTTCACTTTTAGTACATTTTGAACTAAAAATGAAAACTCAAACTGGACAATAATTATGGGACGGAGAGAGTATTATACTTAATGTAATCAATACAAGATTCTGTACTTATTTTAAATCCGAAAAGCATGAAAGATTCTTATTCGTGTCTGATATATATATATATATATATATATATATATATAAAACACTACAAGTAGAATAAAACCCCTCTAATCATATGCATTATATGTAACACAATAACGCAATTGATTTGGTGGCTCTGAAAATTACACATCCCATATGTGATCATATCCTGAGGACCAAGAAGAATAGTTAGTGTTTTTCAGCATTGCTTGGTTTGCTTGAATAAATTAATCAGAAAGCAGCGAATGAGAGCTTTACGCATAACAAAATGCTTTTGTTCAATCTTCGAACAATAATGTCTAGATTTTAAAAAGAAAAAAGAAAAACAACCTCGATTGCAGCCATTATGATCTCCATTTCTCCACAAACACTTGCTATATTTTTTTTCCCCTACCCGTTGCTGTGTAATCTGTGAGGCAGATCCTCCAACTTGGTCCCTCCAGTTCCTCCTCTTTTTTATTTTTTTCCACTTTGCACTTTCAACAAAGCCTAGAAATGTGGGAAAAAAACACCATACCAAGATGCCATGCCATGCCATAATTTCACTAACTATTGGTCCTCATGATTGCATTAACTCACTTTTTCCGCCCCTGCTTATATTACTTAACCCTACTGAAAATAGCACTCCTATTGTCCCTTCTTACATTGTTAAGTTACTCATGTTATTCTTCATTTAGGATAGACATTACGAGCTCCTTATATTTTATATCGGAAAAAAAATAATTATAATATATCTTGATTAAGCGATATCACCTCTTTAAAAATTTCTTAACTGCTCAGAGATTAGCCAATCATATTACCTCATAGAGTGTATCTTGTTCAACACTTGCAATTGTTGTCCAAACAATTTTGATCATACAATGAGACACGAAAAAAAAAACCAAAAAAATCCTATTTGCTTTATTGGGATCCTTATAGTGACTTGTAAGGCCATAATGACATTAATCAGTGGCATTTGCTAACTTAATGATGATACACTTACCCATAATGATAGGTCGAACACTTATTTTATTGATATGGGTTTTCTTTCCCAAGTCATTTAGACCTTTAGTTGGCATAAGGTATTCCTAATAAAAATAACTAAACTGCATCCATGTTTGGATTTCTAATTAAAATTCTGCATATTCTATTTGTAAGACCTAATTGTTTTAGAATATGTTGAGGAATCTTTCATCTCGTATTCAACTAGTTAGAAAATGAGAGTAATTTAACGTCTAGTGCGACTTGTTTAATCTTCTTCCACAGTTCTACGTTGATTTGAAAATATTATTTTGGCTGCGGAGATAATGATTGATCATGAGAATGAGGGTGACATTTTCACAAGTGAAGACAATAATGCAGGCGATCCCCATGTCAAAAAAACGAAAGAAAAAAACCAATTCCGTGTTGTTGTGTTGTACTTTTCCTAAGTTTTGCTCTAGAGGGCACGTTCTGATGCATTGTTAACCTTAGTAGAATCACCCGAAATTCGTTTTAGTTTATACTCACTCCATTTCAAAATAAGTGTCATCCTACACTTTGCACATAATTTAAGAAATTCTTAAATAAGGTTGTAAAATTACTTCAATATCTTCAACTAACCCCATTAAAAAAATATTCACCAATAGTATTAATTCTTTGGAGGGTGATTTTGAAAACTTTGGACAAAAAGTGCATTGAAATGTGAGAACGACAATTATTTTGAAGTTTCTTCATTTTACTAAAACGACACTTATTTTGGAACGGAAGGAGTACTTTATAGTTCGATCAATATTCCTATCAACTCTCAAACTATAATTATCGTTGAAATATAAAATAACTGTATTAATCAATTTGAATGCAAAAGTTATAATTTAGATTGAAACTCGATATCGACTTTAAATTTGACCCATTTTTTATTGAAACAATAATTTGTAATTTGACCAAAACTAATGGAAACTAATGTACTAGGGTATCACAAGATCATTCAATAATACAAAAACTTGGTAACAAATATTAAAGATTAGGTTATGCATGGACAGAAATATGCATCATGACAAGCAAGTAAAGCCTGAAGATCAAAAAAAATGAACCTCAACAGCCGGATGAACCTGTCAGGCAGAGCAAAGATTTTGCTGTGTTTTTTCTTTCCTGCTTTTGTACACTTCAATGATTAAGCTATTGTTTTGAAAATGCTCTTGGGATTCTCATCCATGTTACTTTGATCAAACTAACGCAACTAAAGTAGCACTTATGCATGCACCAAATTCAATGATTGGAACATCTAATACCTTTGGATCTGATGCAGAATCGATCTTGTGTGTTCTTTCTTTTCCTTTTCGTTCTTTTTTTCCCTCTGTTTTTTAAAGTTTATTTCTCAGACAAAAGAAGCAAAGAACCTCATATGTCACAGATGAAAAGAAAAAGCATTGACAAGACTACGGATTTAGCAGCAAAAAATTTTTAACACTGTGAGTGTAAGGACTGGTCCAAGTTACAAGTTGCTAAAGTTTTGAGTAAACAATAGTAAACAAATTAAAGTTTTTTCACCACCCAAAAAAGAGAAGAAAAACCCACCTCGAAAGATAAGGGCAAACCAAAAAAGATGACCAAGATCTGTTTGGTAGTTCCCAAAAATATGGCATGCAACAAGGAGGCAATGGAAAATTAGGCACATCTTGAAACTAAGCAGACGTTTTTAGACTTCTTTCTTCATACATTCCATCAAGACATCCCATAAAATTGGAACGATAAAAGGGAAAGCCTAACATGACCCTGCACAAGGATGAGACTATGGAATGATTTAGGAAAGTAGCACATTCCTTCAACTTCAAGTACTTCATTTTTTAGCAACCATTTGAGATGGTAATAGAATGGGAAAAACTCAATGTAGACAATACGATCAACGATAACTGATGAAAGAAACTGCACAAAACTTTCAGATTACATCAGTCAAGTAAGTAATATATATATATTTTCCATTCCACCCCAATATTAGAAGTTACATCAAGAACAGGTTTTTTTTTTTTTTTGGACATTTCTATAGCTACAAAAACGAGAGGAAAAAAACCATGTCAAGGACCAACAACTAGACGTCCATTGATCTCTAAACTTTCTACCAAGAAAGAACCCCAGAAAAAAAAAAAAAAAAGACAGAAAAGAAGGAAGAAAAATACTAATTAAAAACAACTTAAAGACACTCGGAAAAATTGATTTTTTCCTTCCGAGGGCTAATTGTAAAATCTAGACTCTGAGCAAGTAAATACTAAGTTCAGGAGCTCCATTGCTATCAGGATTCATCATGTAGAATGCTTCAGAATCTCTAGAACCAACCACCCTCTCAAACTTAGCCCTCATATACATTATTTCTCCCCCATCAGATTGCTCAGCCGCCGCCCCCGCAGCACCACCACCACCATCTCCGCCGGTATTATTTCCGGCAGGCAAAACCCCTGCTCCCATTGAAATTGGCTCCACTGCTTTCAACACATTCCATTCTTTAGGCCCACATTCCCTTCTCGTTGCAAATCCACACTTCTTTCCGTTACAATACGTCCTCCAAACAGGCTCTTCAAGCAATCTCAAAGGCGGCTTCTTTTCGTCCTTTTTGTCACATTCCAACGCAATCCGAACCAACCCGGATGCCATTTCCTGGACTAATCCGGTAATTGGTGTGGCCAGCTCAACCACAAACACGGGTTGTGAATTGGGATCCTTCTGAAACGCAAAATGGACATGCCCTTTTCGGTTACCGAACAGAGTCCCCACGACCCGGGAGCCAAGACCCGACTGAAAATGTCCCCGGTGCCGGCCGAATGAGGTCATGACTGAACGGAGCCGGGAAATCGCTACGGCCTGGATTTTCTTCCTCGTAGCGTTAGCCGATAATTGCTCCACTTGCAGCTGCTTTTTATCATCTCCATTTTTCACCTCCCCTGTAAGATTCTTTGAGGAAATTGACGTTTGCAGAGTCGGCACCGCCTTATTCTTCTCTCGAATTATCACCGGAGGAGGATGATCTTCAGTGGATTTGAAGGAAGATGATGATAGTTCCTCATCTTGGTTGCTAACTTTTGTTGTCCAGTGAAACTGTCTCTTGGGAGGGAGTTCTTGTTGGGTGTTCTTTGCCATTATGGTTGTCCTCATCTGAGAAAAGAAACGTATGGGAAAGACTATATGAATGTTTTAAGTGAGAATGGGAAAAAAGAATTAAAGAAAAGAGAAATGAATGAGAAAATAAATATTCCAATGTGTTCCATTTTCTTGTGGATTTGTATTTTTTTTTTTTTTAGTTCTTTATTCTTTTCTCTTTTTAGTTTTATACTACTTTAGTTAAAGAGCACAATTGTAACAACACTGACAAAGAAAAAACATGAACTACCCCACCCCTAAAACATTGTTTAAGATAGGTGTTAAGTTTGGATGTTCAAAATTATCGAAATGGCTTATCACTTTAGAACTATTAATATGTTAGTTTCTTTTTTCAGCTAGCTAAAATCAAGTCAAGCTTCCATATCTCAACCATTTTTAAACTCTTTCTAAGGAGTTTAAAGTTCAGATAAATTTTCCCAAGTCATGTTTAAAGGGGTGTTTAGATAGATGTTTTAATTAATTTATTGTTAATTGGTTTTTTAAATTAGACGTTCAGCTTATCTGAAAATAATACAAATAAAATTATATGTTCGCCTTTAACGTTCCAATTATGTTACGGTAGCAAAACACTGATCATTTTAGTGTTCTAAATTATATTCGTGTTAATATATAAAATGACATCGTTTCACTAATGAAATGGAACTAACACAGCACAATTTAGGACAAAAGAATCTACTGTAAACATGGAGAGAAAGGCAGAGAGATGTTTTGAAATAAAAAGGAAAGGAATCTATGAGAGGGTGAAGGGGAGGAGACATTGTTTTTGTTACTTCACTTTCTTTGTGGGGTAAAGGCGTGAAAGCAGCTCGCTATATGTTGCTGACTCTTCTTTTTTGACCTTCAAATCTTGAAACAGTGAAAAATTGGAGTGCTCAAAAAAAAAAAAAAAAAAAAAGCAGCAAAAAGAACAAAGGCAAAAGAAACATCGCTATTCACACTGAAACTTTGTCTAGTAACACATATACCAGGAATCAGGATTAATTCAGGATGATGATGATGCAGTCGGAGTGTTCTGCTTCTGTTGATCTGTGTCTTCTGTTTCTTCAAAATGTAAAAGAAAAACAGCCAGACATGAAGCCTTAAAAGGACTAGTTGTTTTTTCAGTTTTAGGCAAAATAATTTCACTTGGGATGACGTCATGTTTAGGTTACATCCTCTTCATATCAAGAGTATATATGATCACCACCAACCCACACAAAAAACTGACATACATTTTCATGGGGATCGACAATTGTTTCAGTGGAGCCCTCCAAAGGCACAATGGACAAAAACATAATTCAATAGTCTTTTTAGACCATTCGGTTTGTCCCAAATGGCCAAATGACTTGCTGCGGATGCTAGAGTTAAAAGGGATCAAGGCATCGAGGTTTGCTAACCTTTGATTCCCTATCAAAGTAGTGATGGAAGATGATTAAATTATGACTAATGATATTGATTAGGGTAGATGATAATGACTCGATTCAGGTGGTAAAAAAGTAGGACTAGTTTAGCATGATCAGGGTTCGAATATTAGATTGTGGGCATATTAGGGAAATTAAAATAACACATACGTAGTAACATATGAATGGTTTCGTATAAAGAACATACCTACCCAACCTGAATCCGAATATGTCGATTTAGTAATTTTAGATAATACCTATGCACAGACCCAAAAAAATAAAAGAAAAGAGAGAGAGAGAGACGAGTGAATAAATTAGTTTTGGAAATGGAATGGCTATAAGTTAATTGAGTGCCTCCCCTTAATAAAGGGGAGTTATTAACATAATGTAAGCATTCCTCTAGTAGGACCCTCTCCTCTAGTATTATGATCCAGGGCTGCCATGAAAGCACAATTTCGCAAACCCTGGAAAGCCAATTCTATAGAATCTTGGAGTGGCATCAAATGATGGCTTATCCACCATCAAATTCAGCAGTGAAGTGGCTTTGCATTCTTTTGTAAAGTTCTTTCTGCTCACTAATCATCGAACTAGGAGGGGTCGGGTTTTTGCTTGATGATGAGTTATAGTATTAAGCATAAGAATGTGGTTATCCACTTAATCGGAGTGTATTTTGACAATTAAAAATAGTGAGATTGAAAAATTTCACAAACTATATTTTAATTTTCTTTTAGTAACGGTTACATCGCAGCTAACAGTTGTTGACCTCTTAAATGCCAAAAGACGTTTGTAATAACGTAGCTCAAATTTACTTTAGTATGGACAATTTCATCACTCGTGAAACCGAACTGCATTTAAGAGACCAAACATAAGAAAATCAAACTTCATAATGAGAAAAATCCTCCTTAAGAGGCACATAATGAGGAGACCGCCTCAACAAAATAATAATATTAATTAAAACAAAAGGGATACAAGAAAACATTGAATCTTGAAGTCAAGAATGTCTTAGTAAAGAAAAAACGTCAAGAAGGTCCATCACAGAGTCATCCAATGGCACGTGAAACTCCAGAAGCTTTGAATTTGAAAGAACTGAGAATCAGATGTAATTAACCCAAAATACACGTGAATGGGTGAGAATTGATTGCCAAATTAAAACAGATGACAAAATCTACTGGAAAAGCTAACTTAAACAAACCTGGATTAATTACTATAACCACGAGGAATACGGTACAACATTAACTTAACTGAAAGCTTAAGATAAATCATTCACTAACCCCAACGCCTTTGTACAAGAAGTGAGAAAAAGAGGGGACTAATTAGCGAGTCCAGGTGCTCTTAGCCTATATTTTATGGTAACAGCCTACAAGTTAGCTAGTAGTCAAATTCGCGTCAGTCTCCGAATCTGGTTGTTGCTTGGGGACTGCGGCTGGAATGGTGACACCACCATTCATTCTAGCCCGAGCCTCTGCAAACATCCTTTGCTGCTCGGCTAATGCCTCTTCTTCAGTCATTTCAGCAGCATTGCTCCACTTCCCGCTTCTTACTGTATCCTGTTAAAAGCAATTTCGTTAAATCAGTAAGTTCTATGTTTGGGACGAGAGGAGTAAAGAACATATGAATCCTAAAAAGTTCAGTCACAAATCTTGATAAAACAGTAAGATGAATGGTGTAGCACTGGTGTAAAATTCACATGATCACCACAATTAAGTTTAACTAAATTTATATTAAACTATCTATGAAGTAGACGTCAGATGAGATGAAAAACAAGGTAAAACCTTACCACAGTCTCAAGTTTGTGTTGTTCGTATGCAGCATAAACTTCTTCAATATATTCCCCAAAACCAAGAACCTGCCACACACAGACCATCATCAGAAAAACAGCTTGAATGCCAGAAGAATTAGAGAAATAATGGCTATCACATAGTGATCCACAGAAGACTCCAATGGAAACCTGCAGTGCTTAAGATTCCCATTACATAAAGAAAACTATTTCGGTCAAGCAACTAACCTCTAAAGCCTTCAATACATGTTCAGGGGCAATCGTCCTTTTCTCTTCTCTGCTACAAACTTCATTTGATTCTGATGAAATCAGATTAATAAACTCTGCAAACATGTTTTAACTATCAGGTCAATACCAAAAAGGAAACCTAGGAACCATCAATTATAAGAAGTTAAAATGTATGAACTAAGAAGATCAAAAGTTTTAGTTTGTAAACTAACCTACACAACATTCAATCAGAAGATCTTGGGCATCTCTTGCTACACGTACATCTGGCGGCAGCATCTCTTTAATTATTTTTGTCATAGTGGCTGCGTATGACGACGTCAAAGGTATAAATCAGCAGATGATTCTCAAAATGCACTATAAACCAGCACTCATAATATCAAGCATCAATAATGCAATCAGTTTGGCAATAAAGAATTATTCAGCTAGATTACTATCACATGGAAAAGCACTCCACAAGTATTCACTTAGAAATACCTAAATAGCTTTGAAATTAATATAGACACAGCCTTTGGAGCTAAAGTTCGAGAGAAAACGATCTAAACTAGCAGAAGCTACACAATATAACCGCCAGAAAACAGGCCAGTATAGAAAGAAATCTTTCATACATCTATGTATAGCTAGTTAGCAAGGTATCAAAATTTTAACCAAAAATTTAAAACTACCATCACATATATCCATCCGAAGCAGGCCTGGTTCCAACCAGCCATACTTTTCCATAGAACTGAACAAAAAAATGGAAACTTTTCCAGATAAAAAAAATTACAAGCCAAAAAACTTCTCAAAAGAGAAACAGGTAAAGAAGCCAAAAAAAAAAAAAAAATTGATTGTTTATGCATATGATGATGGATAAAATACCAAATCTGACAAATCTATAGAGGAAAAAAGAGAGCAAGATGAAATCGAACCTTTTGGAAGAGAGGCATCCTCTTTCGTTCTGCCTACTATGTCCATCGGCTCCATGGTTGACCTTCAAAACCAAATCAATCCAAAGAATCCAATCAGCCGTCAGAAGTTCCAGAAACCAAAAGTACAATATCTGAATTTACCTAGGAAAAAAACACAGATCTGAACGGGATACCAGAGATAACAGAACTCGCAAAAGTTAAAACTCACCGAAAAAAAGCAGAACCGGGGATGGGTCGCGAAGAATGAAGAGATCTATCGATTAAGCAGCAACGTATTGGCCGGAAACGGGAGAAAAAAAATCAAAAGTAAGCGATCGGAGACGGAGGCGGTGGATCGTTCGGCTTCATATTCATGGTGGATGAATATAGAGAGAGAAAGAAGCGCAGGCGACTAGGGCAAAAGGTTTCTCCGAAGCGCGTTGAACAAGGAAAGCGTCCACGCGCCAGGTAGGAAGAGGGATGAGTCTGTGTGGGACCTACGAACAATAGGAGCGTGGCGTGCACGTAGTAGGTGAGAGAGTGGGGATTCGGCCATTAAAATTTATGGGTTGTGTATTTATATAGTTTCCGACTTTGAGGCAAAGGAGAAAAACTTAAAGACGGAATTTGTATAAATTTTTGGAGATGAGGATTGAAGAATTCAATTCTCCAATGAGACTGAAGCAAGCGATAGAGAAAGTCGGGGAAAGGGCGCTTTGGATTAAGAGGGCTTTTAGTGGACTTGGGCCGTTTTCTTCTGCTGGGTTAGGATCTGGATCATTGGGTTTTGAATACAGAAAATTTTACGGCCATATTACGAGTGAATCATCAGGCAAAAATTAATTAATTAATACATATACAAAATTTCATCTATCGTAAAATTAATATAAATTAAAATTATTACTCAATGTCTAACTTTGGATATCTAAAAAAATTTAAATATTGGTATAAATGAGAATTTAAATAGATGTTTGGACCAAAAAAAAATTATTATTCAATTAAATAATTATTAACATTAAATTTTATAATTTTTTAGTATATTTTACGTACTAATTAAATAATTTAATAATATTAAACAAAATAAAAAATAAATTAATATTCAATAAAAATTTTTAAAAAAAAAATGAATTAAAAAGTATAAAAATTGACTTCACCTAAATTATTATTCAATTACACAAGAACCTAAAATAAAGAATTAATAAAATTAACTACACAATAATGACATAAATAATTACATACAATTAAATTTTTTTAAAAAAATCAAACCGCGCGGATATCCAGCAGCCACGCGCCGTGCATGATTAGCACCCACAGGCCGCATCCAGCCTCAGTGCGTCGGCCGCCACCGGGCTGCGAGCTGGAGGCAGGCGCGTGATTACCGGCTATTTTTTTTTTTTATAATCTACGAACTTAAAAAGAAAAAAAATTACATACTTACAATAGGGGCAAGTTTTTTTTCTCTTCCTTAGGCACGATTCTCATGATTTTCGGTGTTATTTGTCCAAATACTTTCTTCAAAAGGATGGTTAAAGGGTTGAAATTAACAAGATTATATAGTTGAAGGATATAAAAAGGTTAAAAAGGAATTTATTAAAGTTATACTAAGAGGGGGAAAAAAAAATCAAACGTCAACAAGGAATATTATATGGGTAACATTTAGCATTACCCTTGACGATGCATTCATTTATTAGATCACAATATCCGTTCATATGAAAGTCATCATAATCTTTGCCTCTTTAAATCATTGATTCAAGTCATTAAAACGCAATTCCTATTAATAATAATTTTTTAATCATCAATTATACAATTCAATAAATACATAATTTTTTTTAATTTAAGTTTATTGAAATTATAAAAATATGTTAAGAGTGTCAAAAAGTGAGTATGGAATGTTGCATTTTGTTATGAGTTTTTGGTAAAACCTACCTCAAAAACTAGTAAATACTATAAATAATGGAGAAAGACTCAATGCCATATTATCACACATAGGAGTTATATTTGTTTAGCACGGGAAACAAATCCCCATAGTATAGTACTAGATGTTAAACCCACGCGATGCGCGGGATTTATTTTATACATTATAAAAAATGTACAAAAAAAATATAAAAAGTGTAAAATGAATTTTACTATTTTTATTTATAATCCATCAGTAATGTAGGTGTTTTGGAGTATATTTTACTATCCAAAAGTGGAAATAAATAGAGATAAATTGGGATTGATGATAATTGATTATCCAAAATTTCAGTGATAAAGATAAAGTTTATAACAATTTTTGAGATATTATTAAGAAAAGATTATATTTATTTGGATAAATATGATATTACACAAATAAATGCATTGGTTTGAAATTCAAAAGATAACATTTAACTATAGTTAAATCCCATCATTTTAGTAATAATTGAAGGTAAGTTTTGTACTTTTTTTTTCTTTTTAATTGACGAAAAATACAGGGTCACGTTTTTGGGAAAAGATTTTAAAAATAACATTAATGTTGAATGATTGTTTTTTTTTTTTGAATAATTCTGGTGGGGAGAGAATAATTCTGGTGCATTAATGTTCATTAATCCCGTCCATTAAATTTAATTAATTTTTATTTTCCTATTTTAAACTATAGTTTTAAATGTCATTTGATAAAACTTTATTTACATAAAATTTGAAGGACTATTAGTATAATTATTGTAAATATTTTTTGACTCAACCATTAGAAAAATGACACATAGAATTTTATCCTATATGGCACCTTTATAATTCTTTTTTGTTTTCTCTCTCTGGTTTCTCTCTTAGTATAATACTATAGATAGATTCGCTCTGTTTGGAAAATAATCCACATATATATTTTCATACTAGTAACAAGACAATCCAGATTATTTCCTAGTTCTGATTCCAAATCGGATTAGTCCGACCGACTTATTAACCCCTATATATACACTGACATATGAAGTTCTTTCCTTATATACACACTTTCAGCTATCAACAAAATCCGGGCTGAGTTTAATTCATTGGTTTTTCTCTCTCAAATTCATTGGTAATTATCAACCAAAATCCTGTGGCAGAAGGTCAAAAAGTTGGGCGAAGGAGGTTTCGGTACCGTGTATCTAGCCGAGGAAAATAGTTGTTTCCCGACGTCCACGCCTCCGGCAGCCATGGCAGTGAAGACAGCGGAGTTGCACGACAGCAAGAGCTTGAAGCGGGAAACACGGGTATTGAAGAAACTCAAAGGCAATCCGTATATCGTCGAGTGTTGCGGCGCGGATATCAGTCATGAAGGCGATGCCAGATCCAAGTACTACAACCTCTTGATGGAATATGCCAACCGTGGAACGCTCAATAGGTTGATGAATTCGTACAACAAAGGCGAATTGCCGGAATCCCATCTAGCGTGTTACGCCTTCATGTTGTTGAAGGGGATCTCTTCTATCCACAAGAAGGGTATAATTCATTGTGATCTAAAACCCGATAATGTGCTGGTTTTCAATGATCATGAGGGCTACAACTTTCTCAAACTCGCTGATTTCGGGGTGAGTAAGTCGAAGGACGGCGAGAACATTTATGGAGTCCGAGGAGCAACGCATGCTTCGGCGCCCGAGTCGTTAAGATACTGGATACACAAAAAACGGCGGATATATGGTCGTTCGGGCTTACGGTTCTTTACATGATGAATGGCAGAATGCGGATCAATAGAGAACAGAAGCTTCTAAGGCTTGAGATTCCTGATTACGTTTCTCCATCTGGGAAAGATTTCGTGACGAGATGTCTACAATTCGATGCGAATAATTCGAGGTGGACGGCTGACGAGCTTCTGGAGCATCCGTTTATCCAAGAAAACCTCAGGGGAATGATTCCAACTCTGGACTTGAGGCAGAGTGAGTTGACCAAGAGATCAAGCAACAATCCTTTATCCGGTTCGCAGAGCCTCACAAAAGAGCTGTTTGGCCAAATCCAAAGCAAGCAAATGCTGCTGCCTCATCAGTTATGTCCACTTTCTATAAGGATCGCTGCTGAAGTGAATTGATTCTTTTTCCCTGTAAGAATAAGTCACGGGATTGTTAATTATAGGATGGATATTAAGTGTGTGTAAATTTTCTGTACAAAACCCGAGTTCTCTGATCATTCTTCCTGTAAGTAACCAGAATTCGGGTTTTGGTTTTTTGCTTTGATTATGATTAGCAAGAAGCATATGTTGCCTCGACTATGGGAGATTTGTTGCTGACCCATGATTTAAAAACTCTTGTTTTTCTTGCTTTTTAACATGTATAAACAATCATATTTATCCAGTTTGCTTTTATTCTAGTTTTCTTAATGTAAAGCGCATTATACGTTACATCTTTTTAGTCCAAAAATTCGAAAATGGCCAGAATCAGACGTACAAGTTTTTGTATAGCGTCTGATTGAGGCAATCTATTTCTTCTTTGCCCTTAATTTTCACAATCATGGCGAAACTAGCTGAAAATTCTCTCAAGGGAATCATCTACCTTTTCATTTTTCCTCCAATCTTTTCTACCGTTCCAATCTAGGACCATTTTTGTTCACTGCGTAAACAGGGTGGAAAAATGAGGTTTCTTTGGCTTTTGATGCTAATAAGAACTATTGGGTCTAGTGGGCATCTTTCCAGAAATGTTACTACAAATGTGTCCGGAAGACCGAGTTTTGTGAATATTGGGTCCACACTAACATTGGATTCATTTATCGGCAAAGCTGCAAAAGTTGCCATGGACGCAGCAGTGGAAGATGTGAACATCAATTTAGCAGTTCTTTCAGGAACCAAGCTAAACGTAACAACTTTTGACAGCGGTCATAGTGGATTCCTAGGCATCGTTGAGGGTAATCACCTCGTAACATTGTTGCTGATAAAGTTCTCAAAATAAGTTGTGGGATATCTATAGGTGAAGCACTACTGGTTCTACTGAATTGACTATATGTTTGTAGCACTACTGGTTTAACTCAAAAGAAAAGAAAATAATCACTGAACAATGCATGGAAGCCGTTTTCACTGTTCAGTCTTAGCTTATGCAGTGTACCCACATTCAACTTTATAACCTTCTATACAGCGACCCAATTAGGGAGTGAAAAAGAAGTGTAAAAGTCACAAAAAGAATTATACAACAAAAGTATCTCCGGGAAGGATTCATAATCAACACTTACCTCATATTTATCTAAATAGTAAACCTCTATATATGCATATACATTAAAGCTAAAAAAACCCCTAGTGGTCTGTTTGTCCGAAATACAACAACACCTGCAATATAAGCAACCAGTATCTTGTGCCAATAGGATACTCAACATTTACCTCATATTTATGTGAATAGTAAACCTGTGTGCATATACGTTGCTAAAAAAATCTCTAGTGGTATGTTTGTCCGAAATACAACAACACCTGCAATATAAGCAACCAATTAGAAGACTTAAATTAGGATGCCTCATGTCGTCCTACTTGTTTATCTTGTGCCAACAGGTACTCTCTCTAGCTCTGACTGATTTGGAAATACGGAATATCAACTTTGGGATAAAACTTGCAAGATCCACTTCGAGATTATCGTATTTGATGTAAGCGGATGATTCCATAATATTTTGGAATGTAAGGAACGAAGCATTGAGGCAATCACCAATGTTCTGAAGCAATATACCAGTCTCTCAGAACAGAAGGTAAACTTTGATAACAGCAACGGTTAAAAATCTTCTTGTGGACCATTATCGATTCTAACACTTGAGTGATTTTGACCATATTTTGGACAAATTCCTTGAAATTTATTGTTAGACTATTGTATGGCAAGTCAAAATTCTTCTTCTGAGAGAAGATGAAACATTTGCCACAATGAGAAAATTTTTTTGTTGTTAAATTATTATATGACAAGTCAAAACTCTTCGTCTGAGAAAAGATCTGACATTTGCCATAATGAAAATCTCTAGGGATTGACTCAGAGGTGACTTTCCTTTTTGTCTGAAATTTGTGGATCAACTGAAGTTGATTTGTGAAAGAAAAAAAATTGGTTCAATGGATTGATTTGTGAAAGAGTTGTGGGGATTGTGGACAATCATAGGAGAATCGAACCGGGGTATAGGATTAGTAGTGGAAAAGAAAGACAAAATAGTGATTTGAGATGACTTTGGAGTTTAAACATGACACAACTGCAATAATATAAATGAATATGATCATGAAATCATTTTTTTAAAAGAAAAATAGTGAGCGGAACCAAGAAACCATAATTTAATTTTTTGAAGGTAAAACAAAAACAGTAAGCAGAAGCAGGAAAGAACCTGCTCTGATACCAAGAAGATAATAAGAAAGTGATAAAAATAAATAAAGAGAAAGAAATTGAACGGAAATATTTTTTGGATACTACATTGTGACTGACTAACTTACAATTTAAAAGGGAGATGCCATATTTATAGGTTATATCTACCATATTGGATAAAAAATACTCTTAATAATTACTAAATCAAAATACTCTTGATAATTACTAGACCAAATCTATGACTCTTGATAATTCTTCAGTAAATATTATCACTAAACTAAATCATTCCTCAACTACTAATAATCATTATCTTTAATAGTGTGGTGATGCTCCTCACTTGGCCTTCATTTTGATCAAGGGATTGACGGAAGGTTTTGTGATTGTTTAAACAAATGGCTTATACAAGCTCCAGATAAAAAGGTCCTTAGAAAATCCTTTTATATACTCTGGTCAACTTGGTTAGACAGGAATGATAGAGTTTGGAACAATAAAAGTCAACATCCCAGGGCAATTCAACAAAGAGCAGCAATGGATTCTCAATCTTTTGTAACCTGTATTCAAAAGTGATATCAAGCAATTGACCAGGGCATCTCATTGAATACCGACCCACCAAGGATTGCAGGAACACAACCACAATAGAAATTCATAGTTCGGGTAGATGGAGCTTTTCAGGACCAACAAAAGAAAGGAGCAGCGACTTGGGAGATCTTAGATGCAACAGGAAAATACATTGCTCATGGGTATCAAACGTTTTACTCATCTTCGCCAATTATGGCAGAAGCTATAGTGTGTTTGCTGGGATTACAAGCTATCATCACTAGAGGATTCTGTTCGTGTCAAGTACAAACAGACAACAAAGTTGACGCGGCTGGATAACTAATGCGATAGCTCGGAAATAAAGCTAGAAATTAGGGTTTTTTAAAAGGCTATTTTTGTATTTTTATATTAGTTGATTAGCGTTTTATTTTAATCGGTCTTTTTCTTATTTAAAGGCTTTTAGGCTTCACATTGTAGGTTGGTTTTTTTATTAATGAAAAAGAGATTGTTTCTCAAAAGCTAGTTTTTTCTGTTCCATATTGTTTGTGGAATTGATTAGTTCTAATCGTGTTTTGTTCCATAAGGTTGGTGATTCGCGATTAGGCCTTATTCTATGATTGTTCCGTATTGTTGGTGATCGTGTAATGGGTGATTAACTCTAATCCAGTTTTGTTCCATTGTGTTGGTGATTCTGTGATTAGGCCTCTAGATTCGGTTGTTCCATTGTGTTGGTGACCATATTAGGGTTAGTTCCAATTGATTATAGGCTTCCGCCTGTGATGAAGCCTGGATCTGTACGGTGCTTAGGGAGGGTGGCAATGATGATCTAGACGGCAAGGGTAGACTCTCCGATGCTTAAGTCAATAAGAGAATAGAGAGAAAGGTATGTGTATCGTGTGTAGAAGGTGTAGAAGATAGGTAGAAGATGTCCATTATGGGAGAGGCACCACCTCTTTATATAGAGGTGGTGTTACATGTTTCCTGAAACCCTGGCGGAATAGGTTTAGGCGGTGACTTAATCTCCAAGCAACCTAAACGTAGGCCCAATAGGCCTAGGATTTATTTTGGACTCGTCAAGTGCCCCTAACAAGCCATATTCTCGAGACTTAATGAGAAGGATATGGGTTGCTACGAGTGTTGATGTCTTCTCAAGTTTCATGGTGTTGCTTCAGTTCTTGAACTCTTTCGTTCTCGGGTGTTATCTATATGAGATAAAGAGAGTAGAATGTCTTGATGAGATCTTATGTTAGTGAATTCCTGATTAGGAGGGGGAAGCCTGTATATGCCAAATCAGGAAGATGTCGCCTAGATGCCTAATTAGGAGGATGGCGCCTGGATGCCGAATTGGGAGGATGACGCATGGATTTCCTTATATGAAGGAAGGAACCCTATATGTTTGGATATTCAAGATGCGATAGATAATGTAATAATGTAATGACATATAGTGATAAGATGATTATGAGTAATATCAGTTCAAGCAGAGGATATTAGGATGATCCCTAAAATTCCTTGCCCCAAGGGTATGTCCATGTTTGTGCCCCCGAGTACGTTTCCTTGTTGAAGGGTGATAGGATTTTACCGCGAGAGGGTTGGTAACTTGAAGAACTCCTTTAATCGTGCTTAAAAAGATATCTTGATATAATAGTAGTAATATGGTAATGATATCAACAGTAGATTGATTTAGATTCGAGAAATATATTTAAAAAGGTTTGAAAAGTACCTCAGTCTTGAGATAAATTGATTACTCAAGAAGGTGTTACCTCAATTCCGAGAAGATATTATGAAAGACAAGATACGTCTTCTTGAACACTTCAAGTAGTAGTATGGTGCTTGAGGGATGCTTGCCCCTTCGAGGAGATGTATCTCTTGAAACTTCAATATTCGAGATTGCCCATTGCTTCGAAGGACTTGAAAGCTTATTTGTAAATTATAAATGTATTAGAGTTAATCAACCATAAGATAAAAATCGCCCCTTGTTGGCTTGTTCGTCGGTTTGTTTAGGTTGGCATGGAAGTCGACAGCGTCTTCATCCGCTTCGTCGTCGGCTGGAGAAACTCAACAAAAATGTTGACAGAACTGTCGTCAATTGGATAGTCGATCAAAGGAAGTCGGCGTTGAAGTCGACGGTTGTCAGTATAGGAATTTTCAAATTCCTGATTTTGGGTTTTGCGTACATGGATTTGCACATCAAATCAACCCAATGATCAATATGAAGAACAAACAAATTTCCACTTCTTTTCAAGAAATATTTGATTGTGAAGACCAAACAAATCGATCCCACCGAGCGTGTCACTTGACGAAGCCTGGATCTATACGGTGTTTAGGTAGAGCGGCGATGATGATCTAGACAGCGGCGGACGGCCTAAAACCTACAAGACAGAGCCTCGGGTGTCTCCCGAGGGTAGACTCTCTGATGCTTAAGTCAATAAGAGAATAGAGAGAGATATGTGTATCGTGTGTAGAAGGTGTAGAAGATAGGTAGAAGATGTCCATTGTAGGAGAGGCACCACCTCTTTATATAGATGTGTTGTTACCTGTTTCCTGAAACCCTAGTGGAATAGGTTTAGGCGGTGGTTTAATCTTCAAATAACCTAATCCTAGGCCCAATAGGCCTAGGGTTTATTTTGGACTCGTCAGCCTGAATCAGTTGGTATTCAGAGCCGAAAGATCCTAAACTAATATGTGTGAAAGAATTTTTTTTCTGATGTATTAAGTTATGATCCGTAGGAAAATCATAATTTGGATTAGAGTTTTCCACCAATCTATGATATTTATCCGGATGATGTTGAAGAAAGCCTCACGAGGGGATATACGTTTGGCTTGATCTCAAATATTGAGAATGATGAAGGCTTCAAGAATGGTGTTGTTTCGAATATTCTGGAAAATGAAGCAGCCCACTTATTTGAAAGTGCGGTCGTTATAACTTTCCACGGGGAGAATTCAATTCATATTGTGAAATTTTGTCCATTCAAAGAGAAGGAAAATTATTTTTGTCAATCTGGTGCTTTTATTGTAATTCGGCAGAAAGATGATTTGCCTTTGATGATTACGTGACTATGCCACGGCTTCCCAATCCAATGACTTCATCTCCAAACTGGAAGTTGGATTTTCATTCATGAATCGTGGATTTTACAAGTTCAAGCAAAGGCCACTTGTACCAATTTTGCACGTAGTCAATTGGGGGTCGCGAGGAATCAAGCTATGTGATGGGTATGTTGTCATTCTTTTTGATCGTGGGAAATGGATTAAACTCGAGGACGAGTTTATTTTTGGCTGGTTAGAATGATGCGGCTGGATAATTAATGCGATGACTCGGATAATAAAGCTAGAAATTAAGGTTTTTTAAAAGGCTATTTTTGTATTTTTGTGTTAGTTGATTAGGCTTTTATTTTAATAAGTCTTTTTCTTATTTAAAGGCTTTTAACCGTTACATTGTAGGTTGGTTATTTTATTAATGAAGAAGAGATTGTTTCTCAAAAGCTAGTTTTTCCTATTTCATATTGTTGGTGGAATTGATTAGTTCTAATCGTGTTTTATTTTATAAGGTTGGTGATTCACGATTAGGCTCTATTCTACGTTTGTTCCATATTGTTGGTGATCCTATAATAGGTAATTAACTCTAATCTAGTTTTGTTCCATTGTGTTGGTGATTCTGTGATTAAGCCCCTAAATTCGATTGTTCCATTGCGTTGGCAATTATATTAGGGTTGGTTCCGATTAATTATAAGCTGTCGCCTGCATCAAAAGTCATAACAGATGCTTTGACGTCGAAAGAAAAGGTTCCCTTCCACATCAAAGGCATAATAGATGACATAAATAGTTTTACAATTCAAATTCAGTCTTGTAATTTCCTTAAAGTAGATTTATGGTAGAAAATGCTCACAGAATGGCAAAGGCTTCTTTAGCCTTAGGTATCAATATCTACGCTACTGCTTAATTATCAATGCATTGTAGAATTTTCAAAAAAAAAAAAAAAAAACTGTATCATCACATTAGAAAAACTCCTGTAATATTAAACAAATAAAATGTTGTAAACTATCTTAAAAGGGTCCAAAAAAAGTGAGCTACTTACCAAGGGTTGGCATCAAAATAGAGATCATTACACATTTGTTCTGGTGAATAAAAAGAAGCCCAAGTTTAATAGTCCAAGAGGTTAATGAGTCCAAGCTGAAAGCTCAACTTGAAGAAGGAAATGAAGCCCAAAGTTATGAGTCCAAAGGATCAAATATTAAGTGCAATTGGGCCATAAATTATATCTTAGTGATTTTCGAGTTATATCATTTTTTGACTAAATTTTGATAGGTTTACTTGATAGGCAATTTATCGTAATTTTCTTTTTGAAATCGTAGGCAATTTTTTTTAGTCTGTCGATAGGTATTGATTTTGAATAATTTGGGAAATGTTTTTGCAGTTTTAAGTCAATTTGTTCCCAATTTATACATGCAATGGCTTGCCTTATGAGTTCAGATCCACACTTTAGTTAAATCCTTTGATAATTCGAAAATAAATTTTTATCATTGCTTCTTCTATCCCTAAATTATTATTTACTTTAAATTTTTATTTTTAGTAAAAAATGAGCTAAAAGTGACAATTCAAACTCGAAAACAATTTAGGGCGGGGGTTGTTTCTACGAAACTTAGTTTTATAAGTTCTTATAAACATAGTCATTGGAACGTTCTTTTCCCCATTTGCAGCATCTTAAATTTCCGTGGTTTTTTTTAGATATACATATCTATCTATATATACACACTGTGATAGCCATTAGGGTTAGTATGACTGTGATAGTCATTAGAGCATCCACAATGGTTTATACTATTGTGAGTATAATGTCATAAATTTTTAATATTATACTTTTATTCTACTTTTCACTATATTGGTTTACATTGTAAAAGTGTAACAAAATGAAATAGTTTTAGTATTATCATAAATTCACATTAATTACATTTCAACACGAAAAAGTGTATTATAGAATGTAAGATTTCTTACTCCGTATAATATTGTTACACTCAACGCAATGATAAATAGTATAATTAAGTGATTATTTATCACCATTGTGGATGCTCTTAGGTTAAGCGCTGGTTTCTTCGATCAAAATTTCATTTTTTTTTGGTATCTATGATGGAAAAAGGCAGAAGGGTTTGATTAATTAAATTTTAACTTTTCAAATGTGAAAAATATTATTATGCTCTAATACCCATTAATAACGACGTATCAGTTTTCCAATTTTCAATCCTACTTGCGTAGCCAAATTTAGGGTTTCCCTCGGAAAGAAAATGTTCTGTCATCAATTTATGAAAATTTCTAGACTTGAGTATCCCATGCCCTAAGAATTAAGTTCAAATCATAGGGTGATAATATGTTATTAGAATTGCATCAACCTTAATTACCTTTACCTGTATCAGCACCTGACTTAAATCCTACAATATGTTTTTGTTTTTTGTAGGTTGTAATAACCTGTTTGTAATATTCAGGAGACAAATGACTTTTTAAAAGTGGAAATTCATTTCTGAGCAATTTACCCCACCCGAAGTTTTATCATTGTGTACAAACTGCAAAAAGTGCCACAGATCAATTTAAAGACCTTTATAATTGGGACCGGATGTGGGTCTTTCATGCGGATGCCACTTTAGGCACAATAATTGATTGTGAGTAATTTAGATGCATATTACACTCGTAAATCTCTGATACACCATTGCTTAATAATGTCATTTCTGTGTCAAATATATGTTTAATCAGGTTTCAATCAAATTTGAAAAAACCATCCTTTTGCCTAACTGTGACTATAAATTTTTTACAGTTTACAAGATTACATGAAATAAACACTATGTTTGAAATTTTAACAAAGTAAATACTAATATGAAATCAAAGCGCATGATACAAATTTTATTGAGTTCAACCTGACAGAAACAGAAAAAAAAAATACTGATTAATCTGATAATTAAGAAGAGTTCAAAGCAAAGCACTGAGGAAAAATTTTGTATAAAGAATCTCTTCCATCTTTTCAGTCACCAATAATACTTGGTTCTTCTTCCCTTTTTGCAAAATGTGATGTGACTCTATAATCATCTTATTCTCACACTTTTTACCTATACTTTTCTTCTAAAATAATTGTTTTGATAATCCTTTGGGTTACCTAGTAGTTTTTGAACAATGAAACCAAACGTACAATATGTATCACACGTATGACTTATTTCACATGTAATTTGCATGTACAAAAAAAACTCCTTCTCCCCTGTCTCTTCTCTCAAAATAAATACTAAAAATGAAAATCCAAACTGGACAATAATTTTGGGATAGAGAGAATATATATATATATATATATATACATTTTTTTTTCTGCTTTCTGGACTCCTCGTCAGCTGCTTCTTTAAAACCTAACCAACTCGAAAACCTGATTGCCCTTTACAAAAGAAGCTCCCTGTCAACGTTAATCACTTGTAGTACGATATGTATAATACGATGATCAAAACAAAGCGCGCACTAACGAAAAGTTCTATGAATAGAGATTCTCTTCGTTAATCATATCTTTCAATCACCAATAATCCCCACCTGTTTTGCAGTGTGACTGTATATGGTACCTTTCAAGTCTTGGTCTTTTTGTTTAATCATTATCGGATTCCTACAAAAAGTAGATCGGCACATGCATAGTACAAAATATGTAATAAAAGAGAACGTAAACGTGAATCACATGTACTATGACTTGACCGTTGAAACAAAATTGAGGTTAGGTTGCTGAAGATCGATGTAATAATTGAAATATACTAACCAATTTACACACACACACACACACACACTAGCTACTCCTCCACCTCCTCCTCCTCTCTCTCTCTGGATGGAAATGAAGGACTCTTCCTTGAAGGAGAAGGTGGTTTTATGGGCTTATGTTTTGGTCCTTTATGGAGTCGTGATCAGCTGCTGCTTCAAAACAGCATTAGGGATGTTCATCTCCCGTGATTGCCTTTACAAAATATGCTCCCCTTATGCCGCTTATTCCTCTCCATTCAATTGTACCAACCGAGTTTCTCGCCCAGACAGTACGTTAATTAATCTGAACCCTTTTTTTCAGTTCAAAAAGCCAACAAACCTGAATTAAGATTTTGCATTACTTCTTCTTCTTCTTATTTGTAACTATTATTAATTTTCAGGTTCTACTGTAAATTATATCCTTAGGCTTCAACCTTTATCAACAGCTGATAACGGGTTCTATTGCTCAAGTGACGTGGTTATGACATTCAGAGGGTTGATTAAATGCAATTGCTCCGTTGCCAATCGAACTTTACGTGTTGCTTACATGTACATCAATTATTCTTCTTCCTTGTTCTTACTTTGTCTCAGTGAAGGATTCAAGGGGGTCAGGGTGGTCGATCGACCCCCCGGCTGGTCGGATTTGGCAAAATTTTTTCTTAGTAGGGTGTCCGTTATTTAAAATTTTTTCAGTTTGACCCTTCAGTGATGGTTGAATAATCTTATTTTCGACCCAGCGATTTGAAAATTCTCGTTCCGTCACTGCTTTCTCTCTCTCTTTTTCCCATTTAAAATAGTTCCAATTGCACTCTACTACGAATAGAAGAATACATTAAATTTTTCACCAAAAACAAAAGAAAGAAAAGAAAAGATTACATTAATTGAGTTGATGCTACTGAAACCCAACTAATGAATGATCGAATTGAGTTATTTGAAAACGGAATTATTGTTTGAAACATTTGTTTTGTGTTTGTTACCGCTCACGTTCCATTTTTCTTTCATATGTTGCGGAACTTTTAGTTTTCATTATTTTTGTTTTAATAATATTGCCAATTTGTAAACCTATCTACGGTTACATCAAAGTTTTTTTTTTCCTGCTTTAATTACTTTTTATACTCTCTCCGTCCCATAATTATTGTCCAGTTTGAGTTTTTATTTTTAGTTTAAATTGTACTAAAAGTGAAATCTCAAAGTGAACAATAATTTTGGGACGGATGGAATACATAGTTTCCTTTCCGCGGAAAATTCATCTGAAATTAAACCAGAATATCGGATAATAAAATGGAGTAGTAATATTTATGAGTGTTCTCACTTTTAAATTTTGATGAATTGCAGTGATTTCTCAAATATGAATTTGAATGGCACGTTGCCCAATTCTATTGGGAAGCTTACTTACCTGTATCACTTGTAAGATATCCTGCTCTCCCGTTTTTTCATTATTCCTTTTTTTTTATTTATTTCTTTCTGTTTTTAGTTATTTTTTTCCTCAATAGTTACCTTAGTATTTGTGGAGTAGAGAATAAGGTTATAGAATTGATGATGGATTTAATTGAAGTGGAATAAGCATACATTAAACAAACTATTGAGACATTTTGAAGTCTTAAAAGACTTTATTTGGAACAGCCACATTGAGGATAGACAGACCGTTTGTTGTTTTAAAGTTGTGTGAAAACCGATTCGAGCTCAGACAGCAAACTAAAAAATTAAGACGGTTTTGGAATGTCCTAATTAAGTTATGACTTTTCTGTAGGGTGATGAAATATTCCAAGTATGAAAATATGAAATAGCTTTTTTCTGCAAGCTTAAAAAAATGAATATACAAATTAAAAGTTTAGGTATCCCTTATTCTGTACTGCGAAATAATTTATATGCCTCAAATTAACAATATTCCTAATTGGGAATTGAATGACATGCTAGTGATTAGGTTGGTGATAGATCAGGGTTTAATTTCTATCAGGGATTGTAACGAGAGATTTTACCCACATTTAAGTGGAGTCTACTAGATGGATTTTTTGAAAAAAAAAAAAAACCAATATTCCTAATTAATTAATTGACTGGTCTTCATTTGTCTCGCACATTTGCAGAGACTTGAGTGGAAACCAACTTTCTGGATTGATTCCCCCATCTTTGACAAACTTGACGCAGCTTTCATATCTGTGAGTATGGTCTTGTGTATACGTGAGCTTCACATTTCCTTGATTTACTTTAATTTCCTCATTTCTGAGTAATTGTCCTTATCATAAAATATTTTAATTTGTCATAAATTTCACTTAATTAATATATTTTTTCAATTGAGAAAACACCTTAAAATTATATGTTCACATTAATTATGTTCTCTTAATTATTAGAAATATTTTTAAATTTTTTTCAATTGAAAAAAATTATTAGATAAAATTTACCTTATAATAAGTACCAGAGAGAGTATTTGGCATTAAAAAAAAAATATTTGTAAGAGTCATCTTCTAAAAACGTACTATACTTGCATGCTCGAGATACTAAAAGGAGCTGAATTGGCAGTAATCTTTGCTACAACAACTTGGAAGGACCTATCCCGGCTTTCAACGGCACAAACAAAGCATTGCAAAGCTTGTAAGTTTTGAATAAATTTGTTTTTAGTTTCTTTAGTGGTTTTTTTTTTTTGGGGTTTTGTGGACCGTAATTAATTATTAAGAAGTTACTATATTGTTATTATCGCATAAAAGGAAAACTGAGTAACCAACTATCAGATGAGAAAGGTCCTAAGTCCGATTAGATGGGATTAGATGAGTGTAGTATAGCATTTCTTTTATCTTTCAAAAATAGTCTATATTATATAATTTAATATTTGTGTTCTATAAACAATACAAAATATAAATTCTAATACGGTGAAGGGAGTATAAATAGAAGAGAAAAGAAAGGAAAAAGGTAGTGTAATGATACAGGAGTCAGACCTTGATACATAGACTGATTGTAGTAATTGGGGATTCTATGGTTGGAGTCTCTACTAGAAAGGGTTAAATTTAAGTTGTAACATGATATGATGGGAGTTATACATTCCCATAGTCTAATAGTGTAAGTTTCAGGTTATGTCCAATTCATTGTGTACTGAAAAACTAAAGGAGTGGTTTATTAAGTGTTTGATTCTAAACAATGACTGAGATTATCATAGTAAATAATTATCTGTACAAAACTAAAGGAGTGGTTTATTAAGTGTTTAATTATTATTCTCATTCTTTCTATTTTTTTTTTTTTTTTTTTTTTTGCAAATCCAGATATTTGTGTAGCAATCGTTTAAATGGATCTATTCCCGAAGGATTAGGTCAATTGTCATCACTTCTGTATTTGTGAGTATAAATTACATCTAGTCATTCATCTCACTAAATTATAAATTTTTTTGTCTGACAAAAATAGCCCACATTATAAATTGTGATTTGTATTATTTTTAGTACAATTTACAAAATATAATGTCGACTATTTTCTTGAAATAGAGGAAATATAATTTTTTTCTAAAATATTTTCCTTTAATTTATTTTAAATTTTTTTTTGTGCCACCATTTAATTTTGTCATTTTCGTTCAAGGTATCTGCGGTTTAACGCATTGACGGGGACCATTCCAGATGAGATATGGAACATCAAAAGCCTTGTACAATTGTATGCATGTTCAACTTAAAAGTGTTAAGTACATTTTTTTTTTAAGTAAAACAAATATTTTAAAACTTGTTACTATTACGTTGGCCATAAATCAATTCTTCTTTTCTTCTGATTTTGGCTTCTATTTTTTTCATTTTCAATTTCTATTACATTATATTTGCTTTTGTCTTCCCCATGCACAGGAAACTACAAGATAATCAGATACATGGTTGGATACCAAAAGAAATGGGAAATCTTAAAAGTCTCGAACAGTTGTAAGTTTTTTTTTTTTTTTGGTAATATGTAAATATATTGATGATTGACTTTGAGTTTATATTGACAACCAAAGATCCTAACTTCCAGCATAACTAACCAAAACACATTCTAAACATTCTGTACAGCAACCTAATTAAACAATTGGGACAAATTTTTTTGAGTTCTAGTTGATCTTTTCTGCCATATGCAAACTTCAGCTCTCCATTGCACCTCTTTTCTGATCACTCCCAAAATCACCTCCATAGTTCTACTTTTACCTGAGAAAATCCGGGTATTTCGCTCCTCCCAAACATGATAGATTGTAGCAGCAGTAGAGCCTTCTTTTGATCGTAGAGTTTCTGCTTATTGTAAGTAGCTGAATTCTCCACAAAGCTTGAGTTTCTGAGAGGCCTTGTATCCCTAGCCACTGTACCTCTGCCTTGAACAGATTTTGAGCATACAAACACTCAAAGAACAGATGGTCAGAGGATTCATTTTCCTGCTGACACAGCACACATTCTGTCAAAGTCACCTTGGACTCCCATCTCAAAACCAATTGGCAATGAGTGGGGTGGCCTTTGGTACTTATAAACAGGTGACAGATCCTTCACGACACCGATGTGAGATTCTTTTGTCCCAACACCCTCCCTCAAACCCAATGGGGTATTTAGCCCATTGGGGTTGCACAATACAACATAATTCTCCAGATATACTACTGGGTCAGTCAACAAGCCCGTACACACAGGTACATACTCCGAATATACTGTCGGATCAGTAACAAGCCCACTCGTGCGTACGGAAGCGATTGACGCAAGTCCAAGGCACACGGATCCAAGATCCAAGCCCGCACACGCAGGTCCATAGTTATCACAGGTCCACAGATCGTGGGCTCTGTTACCATGTCAAAATCACCTTGGGCTCCCATCTCAAAACCAATTGGTAATGAGTGGGGTGGTCTTTGGCACTTATAAATAGGTGACAGATCCTTCACGACACCGATGTGGGATTCTTTTGTCCCAACACATTCTTTACCATTTCTCAATATGTTCAACCTTTCCATCCGGTCCTTTGTGAGAAGTCTGTTTTCCAGCACAACCAAAATATAAAAGAATGCTTTGGGACAACACCGGTCCAAATGTGATCAACAGCTGGAAGTTCCTCCAAATTTCCCATCAACCATTGATAGCCTGAAGAAACAGTGTATCTACCATCCTTAGTATGCTTCCATTTGGTGTTTTCAAATTCATTCTTCACGTGGTCCTTGAGCAGCAGAAGTTTACGCCAATGCCAATTTGCATTTTGTGTAGGTTGCACTTGCCAAAAATCCTGCTGTCTTATATATTGCTAATGAACCCATTTGATCCGCAGTGCATCCTTTTTTGTAGCTATCTACCAAATTTGCTTAATCATAGCAGCTTCATGCCATTTCTGCACATCCTTGATAATTAAACCGCCCTCCTTCTTCCTTCTGCATACCTGATGCCAGCCTACCAAAGCCATACTGCTGCCAGTTTCCTTCTTACCCTATAGAAAACTCCTGCATAACCTGTTGAGCTGCTCTGTTACACTATGGGGAATTAGAAAAACAGCTGACCAATAATTCGTCATCGCCATTAACACAGAATTAATTAGCTGTAATCTTTCATTGTAGCTAAGGTGCTTGGAACTCCAACATTTTATCCGGGAAGCCATTTTTTGTACCAGTAAGTCACAGTCCAACTGGGTCCATTTTTTGGGAAGATAAAGGTATCCCTAAGCATTTCATGGGAAGGTGCCTACTCTGAATCCAGTCAACTGACAAATCTTCGGTTTCAACTCATCCTTCACACCTCCGAAAAAGACTTCTGACTTGGCCTGATTAGCTACCAACCCTGAAAACCTTTTGAGTACTTGCATTATTTTTGCCACAGTGTACAAATCTGCTTTGCAGAAGATCATTAGATCATCTGCAAAACATATATTTGTTAACTGTAGGCTCTGGAAGTGGGGATGATACTGAAATCTTGAATTCTCCATGGCTTCCTTCAATAATCTTGTAAGGTACTCCATTACTAAAACAAATAGTAACGGAGATAACGAATCCAACTGTCTTAGACCTCTTCTACCCTTAAAGAAACCACAACTCTCGCCATTCAAAGAAAGAGAATAGGAGGTGGTTTGTACATATTCAAGCACTATTTTCACAAAAGACTGGGGAAACTCGTAACCATGCAACATTTCATCAATAAAACTCCATTCCACAGAAGCGTAAGCCTTTCTAATGTCTATCTTAAACACACATCTTCCACTAATATTTTTCCTTCCATACATTTTAATCAGGTCCTATGGTAGGTAATATGTTGTGTAAAATCAACCTATCACTTCCAAAGGCATTCTGATTGTTATATACCAAATCTACCAAAACAAGCTTTAATCTTTCACATAACACCTTAGAAATACATTTATAAATTACATTGCAACATGCTATCGGGCAGTATTCTGAAGCATTAAGTGGAGAATCATTCTTAGGAATCATATTCAACAGTGTGGAATTTACCTGTTTTAGTAGCTCTCAGTTTCGAAACACTCCATTACTGCCTGGAGGACATCATCCTTCACCACAGGCCATGCATCCTTATAAAAACCGCTGCCGAATCCATCAGGGCCATGAATCTTACAGCTGTGAATGTTCTATATCGCATCTTTGACCTCCTTTGGCGTAACCTGTTTGATTAGCTTTAGTTGCTGTCTCCATTCCAAAGAAGGACCCTTTCGAAAAACCTCTTCATCAGCTTGCATCCTTTCACTGGTTTGCCCCAGTTGCTTCTCAAAAAAACCCACAAAGTGCTCACATACTTGATCCTATTCAGTTACTAGTTCTCCATTCTCATTGACAAAAGAAAGGATTTTATTCTTCATAGTTCGAATTCTCAGTTTAGCATGAAAAAACAAACTATTAGAATCTCCCTGCTTAATCCATAGTTCATTTGTCTTCTGATACATATAACTTTCACAGGCTCTACTGACAACACAGTACTTTTTATACTCTTCCCTTTCCATTCTATGCAAATTTTCATTTGTAAGGTTATTGCTGATCTGTTCTTGAAGGGCTTATAACTTGTTCCAGTTCTGTTGCACCTATTGTTGAATATCTGAAAACTTTGATTTATTGAGCTTCTTCAAAACTGGTTTTAACTTCTTTAATTTCGACACCAGCTGATACATGGAGGTGCTTTCAACTGGTATCTCCATACTTCCTTCACCTTTATAAGAAACTCCTTAGATTGACTCCAAATATTAAAATACTTAAAAGATTTTGGGTCTTCTAAGTATTTCTACCTCCATTTGGACCACCAACGGGCAATGATCCGAAACCCCCTCAGCTAGAACTGTGACCTTTAATTCTGGATAAGCCATCACCCATTCCCCATTTACAAGAGCTCTATCAATCCTGGAAACAATTCTACCCACTCCTACATGTTTGTTAGACCATGTGAATTTAGGACCTTGATGCTTTAATTCCAGCAATTCACATGATGCAACACACCTTTGGAACCCCTTAATTTCATTTAATGTCACTTGATTACCTTCTATTCTTTCACCAACATCAAGCACATTGTTAAAAATCCCCCCAATGCTAGCCATTTTGTATGAATACTGGCACTCAGGTTTATCATTTCCTCCCACAAAAGGTCCCTTTCTACCTGAGCATTGGATCCATAAATTGCTGAATAATAAAAAGCCTTCCTATAGCCCAAGATTTCTGTCCAGCAATGTATATATTGCTTCCCCATTTGTATACACCTAACTTTAGTTACATTAGGATTCCAAATAATCATATTTCGACACTTTCATGTCCCACTGCATTACTGCTATATTCAAACCCCTGCCAAAACTTCATCATCATTTCCATTTCTTTACTTCTATTCAACTTAGTTTTCACCAAGCTAATTACAGCAACATCATATAAACTACAAATTCTCCTAACTTCTTTCTGCTTAATGGGGCTATTTAAACCCCAATGTAAGATTTTACTCATATACCTGGATCCAGGGGATTGAAACTCATAGCATCACATTGCTGTGACCCTGTCTCATCTCCCTGCGATCGTGGTGTTGCTTTATCCATGCCCTCCTAACTTCTTCTTTTTTTTTTTTTGAAAAGTAACAGTTGTATGTTAATTTATGAACTCGCGTTGAATTGTTTCAAAGTTTTTTGGTAGTATGAACTCTCTACTTTACAGTCATTATAATCTACTAAAGGACGACCATGGACAAAAATTATCCAAGACAAGAATTATTGACCATATATATTATATTAAGGGTAAATTAAAACATTTTTCTTGTCTCAATGAAAGTATTCATCTTTTTCTACCATCAATGTTCACAATGATATGGTTGTATGATACGTACAAATTCTTAACGGCTCAAGTTTCTGCCGCATTTGTTGTATTAGGGTTTACTAATATACAAAGAATGGAGAGTAATCATCTCCCTAATTTACAATACAAAATCCCTATCTAAGGTAACCATATGATTTACGATAAGTACAAACACATATACCATATATATATACACCGTAATACCCTCCCTCAAGTTGGAGCATGAAAATTTTGAATGCCCAACTTGGAAATGAAAAATCGAACTGAGGTTTACCCCAGGCTTTAGTAAAAATATTAGCAAGTTGAACGTGGGTAGACACATAACTACGGAGTATTGTACCCTTCAACACCTCATCCCGCACAAAATGACAATCAACTTCAATATGCTTTGTGCGTTTGTGAAACACGGAATTTGTTGCGATATGCAAAGCAGCCTGGCTATCACAATTAAGTCGAATAGGGTGTGGATGAGGGAGACCAAGAAAATGAGGTAAACTCTTCAACCATTTCAGCTCGCAAATAATGAAAGCCATTGAGCGATACTCAGCCTCTGCAGACAAACGAGCGACAGTTTGTTGCTTCTTTGTCTTCTAAGAAACAGGTGAAGTGCCAAACTGAACAAACCAGCTAGTAAGTGAATGTCGGGTCAGCAGACAGCTGGGCCAATTAGAATCGCACCATCCTGTGAGTTGTAAATCAGAATCCACCTAGAGAAGAATGCCTTGGCCAGGATTACCCTTCAAAAAGTGCACCACTCGAAGTGCAGCTTCCCAATGTGCCTGCATGAGTTTCTGCATAAACTGAGCCAGTGTGTGAACACAGTAAGATAACTCAGGACGAGTAACAGCGAGATAAATCAAGCGTCCCACCAAACGCTGATATGGAGCAGGATCTAAAAGAGGAGTATCAGTCACCAAAGAAAGATTATGATTCTGTTCTAATGGGAAACCAGCAAGTTTATCCCCTAATAACCCGACCTCAAAAATAATATCTAAGGCATATTTACACTGACAGAGAAATATGCTAGAAGGATTACGAGCAACTTCAATGCCCAAGAAATACTTGAGAACCCCGAGATCTTTCATGTGAAAATACCGACTCAAGTAATCCTTAAAAGATTGAATGGCCAGACTATTATTCCCAGAAATGATCAAGTCATCAACATATACCAAGACAATAAGTTGCATTGTGCCACGACGCATAACAAAAAGGGAATAATCAGAAGACAACTGCTGAAAACCATATCGGCACAAAGCACTAGCCGACTTGGCAAACCAACATCGAGGAGCCTGTCGCAAACCATAAAGAGACCAATGCAAGTGGCAAATGGAGCCAGGGGCAGTAGACCGAAATCCAGGAGGGAGTTTCATATACACCTCCTCATCCAGATTGCCATGTAGAAAGGCATTGTGAACGTCCATTTGATGAAGTTCCCAGCCTTTAGTAGCAGCAACAGTAAGTAAGGTGCGAGCAGTCACCATCTTGGCAACAGGAGCAAAGGTCTCATTGTTTTCGAGACCCTCAATATGATTATTACCTAAGATCACCAGGCATGCTTTATACCTCTCAATGAAACCATCTGAATGGTACTTGATTTTGAACACCCATTTGCACCTAATGGCCCGCTTCCCTGGAAGTAATAGTCCAAGTGCCAGTTTTCTAAAGTCTGGATCTCATGTTGCATAGCTGCTTGCCATCTAGAATCAGTGACATCCTTGGAAAAAGTGCGAGGCTCAATACCTGCAGTGACACTAGCAAAAAATGCGCGATGTTGTGGAGAAAAAGAGGCACAGTTAACATAATTGTGTATGAGATATGACGCACCTGAGGAAACTAAAGTAGCGGATACAGCAGGAGAGGGGCTTACGGACGTAACGGTATGTGAAGCAAAACCTAGTAACCGAGTAGCTGTTTGATGCGATGCCCACGACCCAATATTTCTTCCTGTTGCTCAGATCAAGAACCCCCACCCCCCTGTCTGAAGTGGGGGATAAGAAGAAGCAGATGCGCAGTGCCAATACTAGAAACCGGATCAGAGACCGGAACAGTCTCCACAACAGAATTAGAGAAATCATCATCAACAAGTACATGCAGAGAAGGAGGCGAAGGAGGAGACACCTTATCCGAGAACTTAGTCAAAGAAGCAAATTCAGATTCCATAAAAACAACATCATGGGAAACAGAAAATTCACCAGTTTTCAAATCATAAACACGCCACCCCTTTTTGCCATAGGGGTATCCCACAAACAAGCATTTCTGACTTCGACTAGTAAACTTATCACCATGACGATTATGATTATTCACATAATATAGACAATCTAAGACTCATAAATGTGTCAAAGAAGGTGGCGTACCATACAAAAGCTCACAAGGGGTCTTGCCATTCAAAATACTCGAAAGAGTACGATTAATTAAATAACTAGCAGCTAGCACACATTCACCCCAAAATTCAATCGGAAGATGCGCTTGAAACCGTAAGGCTGGAACCACATTTAAAATATGTCTATGTTTACATTCAACATGACCATTTTGCGCGGGGGAGGAGGGGGTTCCCACACAAGAAGTTTCATGTAAAATTTCATGTTGAAGGAAAAAATCAGTCAAACACATAAACTTGGTGCCATTATCAGTACGAGTATGTTTCACTAATTTGCTACGCTGACGCTCGACCATAGCAATAAAATTACTTAACTTCAAAGAAACATCTTTCTTATCATGCAACAAATAAATCCATGTGGCACGAGAAAAATCATCAATCACAGTAAAAAATACCGAGCATCAAAAAATGACAGAACCCTAAACGGACCCCATAAATCACAATGAATTAACTGAAAAACGTCAGAAGTTTTGGTGATACTAATGGGAAACGAAGATCGAGACTGCTTGTCCCTAAAACACACATCACAGTAGGAAGCAATGCTAGAAACTTAGAGGATGGATGTCCTAGATGCTGATGCTAGAGTTCAAGTAAAGGCAACCCAGAAGTTGTTACAGCCGCGAGAGACTCCACGTCCCGGAAGAAATAAAGCCTTTCTCGTTGCTCACCCGCTTCAATCAGCGTCCTTGAAGTGAGGTCCTGAATAACACGAAAATGAGAGGTAAAGTGAGCACTAGAGGAAATATCGCGCAATAACTGAGACACCGAAATTAGGTGACACATCAAACTGGGCACAAAAAGTACATTCTGTAAAGCCACTTTATCACTAAGAACCACAGTGCCTGCCTTGGTAGCGATAGTATACTGGCCATTTGGTAATTGAACAGATACATCCGGAATATCATAGACGGTCATAAAATAATTAGTAGAACCTGTCATATGATGAGAAGTACCGGAATCATACATCCAATTATCACAAATACGCTTAGCAGACAGAGAAACACCCAAACTCGAACTCGAACCCTGCTTAGCCGAATTCAATAAAGAGAGAAGGGTATTCCATTGGTTCGAGTTTAACCCGGTCACAACCGAGTTTGAAACTTCGCTGCCCGAAACGGTCAAGGAAACTGAATTTGCGGTTATGGTGGGCTGAAATCCACCCAAACCAGAAACAACCGAACCAACTCCGGGTGAAGATTCTTGACCGCGACCAGAACCAGCGCCACCACGTCCACACCTGAGTCCACCGCCACGTCCCCAGGCCGGCCAATCAGCGGGATATCCAATCAACTTGTAGCAGCTGGTCACGTCGTGATTTGGGCGATTACAATTCATACAGTAGAGGGAATTGTCGCTGCCAGCAGCATCAGAAACCATCACGCTACGCCCTGGATTTTTGGAGCCAGCCGAAGCTGCCATAGCCGCCGCTACATTAACAGAACCTGCTGGAACTGACGAACCAAGAGTAGAGACCGCAAAGTTCATGGTCTCGGTGGAAATTTCCCGCGATTGATACATCAACCGCATTCGTTCTTCCTGAATTATTGTCTTGTACACCTTGTTCAATGGTGGAAGAGGATCTTGCGCCAGAATATTGGAGCTGGCAGTGGAATAAACGCCATCATCGAGACCAAGGAGAAACTGGTGGATCTTCTCCTCCTCCAACTTCTTTGCAGCCAAGGCAGAAAGGTTGCACTTGCAGCCGCCACATGAACAAGGCAGAAGAGAGTCATAGGAGGCTAATTCATCCCACAGCAATTTCAATCGACCATAATAAGCCTCAATACTAATACCCTTTCGACGGCAATTTGCAAGATCGGACTTCAACTGTTGAATCCGAGGACCGTTAACAATGGAAAGACACTCCTGGAGGTCAAGCCACAGATCACGGATGACCTCTATGTGCGAAATCGTCGAGCGAAGAGAGGGCTCTATGGTGTTCATGATCCATGAGATCAGAAGGGAGTTAATCGGCCCCCAATCCTAAGCATCTGGAGAAGAATCGGCCGGCTGAGTGATAGAGCCGTCAACAAATCCGATCTTCTTCCAAGCCCAAAGCGCAATAGTGATCGCTTTCGACCATTCGACGTAGTTGGCCTCACCGCGGAGTTGCACCGTGGTGATCACATTGCCAGGAATATCGTTGGCGATAGATCAAAAGGAGAGATAGTGCGATGTCGGACGCCCGAACTGCCTTCAACAGCGAGCTGTTTCGTCGCCGAGAACCTGTGTGTTCGTCATGACAGCCCGGCGAAAAAGAAAGGAGCAACAGGATGAATAATCAACCTGCGACTGATACGATGAAGTGAAGCCGAGAAAATAGAGAAAACGGCTCAAGCTTCTGCCGTTGTTTTATTAGGGTTTGCTAATATACAAAGAATGGAGAATAATCATATCCCTAATTTACGATACAAAATCCCTATCTAAGGTAACTATATGATTTACGATAAGTACAAACATATATACCATATATATACAAGGTAATAAAATCTTAAAAATATTTTATAATAATTAATTAGAAGAACATAATAAATAGGAAAATATATAGTTACTGTTTCATTTTCAATTCCAAAAAACATACTAAATAGAAGGTCGATGGGAGTATCTATTACTATGTATCACATTGCCAAAAACTAAAAAGGTAAACATTGTCCAAAGTGAAGTATTTCTTTTTTTTTTGGATAAAATGTAAAGTTCATTAAAGCTCAATTTCACCAGTTTACAAAACTCCTCCCTATTTACATTCCTTGATTAACAAGTTATAACCCTATTTTCCTGAAGTAACCAATTTCCCTGCGGTTCAATTTTTTCAAACAACAACTAAGTCTACATTTCAGCTCTTTTTATCATTTCAACTCTCATCTCAGTCTTCTCTTCTACACATCCAAACCTTCTACCATTAAATCCTTTCTTTCCATTAATACTTGCAAACAGAAGCTGCTGTTTATTTGTTGTGTATTTCCATATTATTATGAGGGGAAGTATGTTTTTTTTTAAAACTTCGTGTTTAACTCGTGTATAATATATATACATATAATATCTTTGTTTAAGCAGTGAGTTTGTAAGTTTCTTATCCTTCAATCTTGTCAAATTAAAGATATTCTCTCATATTCATTTTAGGTATTTAAGGAACAACAATTTCTCTGGTGAGTTGCCGGAAAGCATCGGAGAACTCAAGAAATTGCGATATATGTGAGAGCCTTTTTTTCCACTAAGTTATATATGAGAATAATAATTATTTTATGCTAAGAAATGAAAATGGAAAACATGTTCAGGATTTATTACTTTATAAGTTTTCTCTACAACTTTAATACTCATTCTGTCCTAAAAAACATCTACATTAGTTTTAAGATATTTCTCTCGTCTCAAAGAGATTGTCATATTTGGAAATCACTTTTTTTTTAAGAATAAATTGTTCAAAAAATAAAAATCCAAACTCGACAATCATTTGAGACGGAGAGAATATGAACTATTTTTAATACAAATTTTAAAATTCAATATGAATTCTTTTCTTAAGATAGAGAAATTAACAATACTCTATATATATCATTGATGTAACGCGTTATTCCAAGAAACATACTGTCTTCTTGACATTTATTTTTGTTCTCGAAGACAAATTGTTGGGAGTAACTTCAATGGAAATATACCAGATGCAATAGGCCAACTCCCAGCCCTTCGGAGTTTGTAAGTCAAATAGATGAGTACTTATTCCTAAATAGTAGTCTTTCTTTTCCCTTCTTCTCGACAAGAAAAAAAAAAATCATACTCTCTCTGTCCCAAAATTATTGTCCAGTTTGAGATTTCACTTTTAGTACATTTTGAACTAGAAATGAAAATCTAAACTGGATAATAATTATGGGACGGAGGGAGTATTTACCTAATTCTGGTGTTTTTGCACTTGTACAGATGGCTGGGTGGAAACAATTTTTCAGGACCTTTGCCAAAAGCGTTCTCATCACAAGAAATTTTTTCCCTGTAACTAATGAATGGATTGCGGGTTAATATCATTTTTTAACTTTGTCATGACAATGATTTATTTTTTTTTTAATTTTCCCTTTTTGCACACAGGACTATAACTGATGTATCAGGAGGCGGAAGAGGCAATTCATTTCCGGATCTTCGAAGTTTAAAAAATTTGAAATTCTTGTAAGTAACCTAATTTATTAGATGTCCATAGTTTTATCAAATAAAATTTATATACGATTTTTCTTTTCTTTTTTTTTTTTAAAAGAAAAACTATTATATGGTATTTACTGACATTATCAAATTTTTTTTATGATTTCCTATGATGGGTAAATAATGTACAAGTTTTGTTTAGGACTCTAAGGAACTGCTCACTCACTGGTTCAATTCCTACTTACATAGGGCAGTTGGTAAAGCTAACTCAGCTGTAAGTACATCCCTATCAACTTGAAGTAGACTTCCATGTTCAATTCAACGTTAATTATACTGTATTAAGAAAATTAACCCTTGTAAGTTGCAATTGTGCAAGTGTATACTCAAGCTTTCAAAGTACTTTTATACTCTTTCTGTCTGAAAATCATTATCTAGTTTGTTATGGTAAAAATATATATAAAAATTCGACAGTCATTTTAAGATGAATGGATTATTTTTATTTCTTTACACAGGTGTGATTTAGTTTTATTAAACTGGAACATTACAATAAATTAAACTTTTAGTAATGCAAAATGGAGGAAAACAGCTGAAAATATCAATATCATTAGTCACATAACCATTTTTCACATACGTTCTGCACTGTATCATTTTGATTTTTCCAATGGATATTTATACAGGGACTTGAGCTTCAACGAGTTGAGTGGAGATATTCCATTAAGTTGGCCCAAAAATTTCAGCACACTGTAAGTCAATTAAGTTACTCTGATATCAATTTTAGCCAAGTTCCCCCATTAATTCTACCTCAAAAGTGGTTTTCAAATAGATTATCTATACAGATACATTGTGTGATATACTTTTTCTATTCTGAAAAAATAGTCTACCCCTTTTATCTTTAAAAAAAAAAATTTCCAAATTTTGAGATATCAACTAAAAATAATAGTATAAATTTTAAGACTCAATGTGACTTTTTTTTTTTTTTGGGACATAGGAATACTTTTTTGTTAAAATGTGTGTGTAGCATAAAGGGAATACATGTATATTTACATAATATTTTAGGATTATTGCAGAGTTTTCGTCGTTATTAATTATTATTACTGTGAATACATGTATATTTACATAATATTTTAGGATTATTGCAGAGTTTTCGTCGTTATTAATTATTATTACTGTACACTGATAATGTGTGTATGTGTACAGATTTTTAAGGAGCAACAAATTAAATGGATCGCTTCCTTCATGGGCTTTCAATGGGACTAATGGAATAAACGTGTTAGTACTTAGTACTTCATCTCATGTCTCTCTTATACATGTCACGGTATTAAGTTCCATACACTATTTTAATGCACTAGACTACTAGTTTTTTCCTCTTTAATTGATTGCACTCGATGAAATTCAAACCCTGACCTTGTTAACATAACTACAATCTCTCAAGTGTAATGTTATTGTCTTACTCAACTCTCTCACCGCATATGTTGTTATTGTAGTACATATTCGTAATATTATATGGAATTGAACGAATCGGGAAAATTTTAATTTTATTTGGGAATGAATTGTGACACATTTTTGTTGTTTATTATTAGCTGAAAACTAGTATTGACTGAACTATTAGAGATTAATAAAATTTAATTGTCACATAGGCATATAACTAAAGCTAAATTTAGTGTAAATTTGTGATTCATAAACCAAACAGCATACAGTATAATTCTAACGTACCATACGGTTTGGTTATAATTTTTGCAGAGACGTTTCGGACAATCGTCTCTTTAATAATGCAACAGTATTTCCGAACGGAACCATATCCAGTGACAAGTACGTAAGAGAATGATTTTATTTGTCTTTCTCTCTTTCTCTTTTTCATACTTCTAATTATTTCACATTCGTTTTCACTAATTTTTATCCAGTTTAAATATTCATTTAACCTGTTATTTGTTTTCCACGATATCTCTCGCCAGAAACTTGTTTGCCTGCTGCATTAATTCAAGTGATGTGTAAGTAAATTCTGGCTTCTGTATGTTTCCCCACGTCTTTTGTGTTCAGAAATTATGTCACCTCTGATGTTGTAAATTGTTTTGATTAATGCAGGAAGAATAAGTGGCTAGACGTCAATTATCAGTGTGAAAATGACTTTGCAAAATGTGAGTAACAAACTACGACGAAAATAAACTTAAAACATTTTCTCAATTTGATCTAATGAAAATTAAATATCTACTATTGATAATATACAGTAAATTAAAATAGTTACTGATGTAACACATGTTATAAACATTAGTCATTAAAACCATTTTGGATGGTCTGTATTTAGTAGTATTCCTCCCAAAAATCCTTCAAATCATTTGGATAATGTTGTTTGCAGTTGATCGCGTATACATCAATTGTGGTGGGAATGATACATATATAGATGGAAACTACTATGAATCCGATCTGAACCCAGATGGGAGGTCAACTTTTGTGTTGAGCAACAATTCAGCTTGGGGTTATAGTAGTATGGGATCATATATTTATGCATCGAATGATCAGTACGTTTTCAGTCAGACATGCAACGTTTCCAATATAGCCGATGCTCCTCTTTACACTGGTGCCAGAGTGGCTCCAATTTCACTGAAATATTATGCATTTTGTTTGAGAAATGACAACTACACTGTGAGACTTGATTTTGCTGAAATTGGTTGGGATCCGGCTAGCATCCTTCAAGGGAGACGAGTCTTTAATGTAGATATTCAGGTAAGTACTTATTGATTGTTTTGACTTGAATTTTTACCAAATCGTTGACATTCATGTTTTAGTCTTTCATAAATCACACTCCCTTTAGTTCTAATTATAAAACATAAATATAAAATGAAATAGTTTTAATTTATATTTTATAATTAGGACGAGAGGGAAAATAAATGACAGTTAACCATTATATACGCGTATATATAACATAACATCTGTTTGACTCTCTCTCTCTCTTCAATTTTGATATATGAAACTAGCCTCCTCCAATTATGAATTATTCAGATGGTGATGTTTCATTTCATTCGCGTCTAATTAATAAATATATAAAATGCACATGCATGCATATAAAAGTAATAATTTTTTTTTCCCGAATTATAAGTTCAAAAATTATCAAAAAATGACATACATACATGGAGCTTGAGGAGCTAATCAATACCCAATAATAATAGTACTGAGAAAAACAATAATTTGTGCAGGGAAAAAGAGCATTGCAAGATTTCAACATAGAAGAACAAGCTAAAGGCATCTACCGAAACGTTTCAAGGGAGTTTCCTGTAGTTGTTGACAAAAATAAGCTAGAAATTCACTTTTATTGGTCTGGAAAGGGATCTATTTCTGTTCCTCTTTATTACGGTCCACTCATATCTGCTATTGCCGTATCTGCTGGTAAGAGCAACTAATATTTTTGAGTAAATTAATCACACATTAAGTTATGTTTTCTTTGCACACATGTTGATTACTATAAACAAGGTTTCAAAAATGCTTATATCACTTTTTACATTAAATTAGTTAATGGGTTCCTGTTGATTTTTCTTTTTTTGAATTCTAGTTCCGAAACCGCCCAAGAGACTTTCAGCCCTAAGTATTGGAGCTATTGCCGGATCTTCATTCATCTTTGTGGGATTGATCCTAGCTTTGCTTTGGATGTTTGGTTTGATTGGTGGAAACAAAACAAAAAAGGATGGTAGGCACATCTATTTCATTTTGGACTTGGACTAAACCAATTGTTATACATACATGAATTTCTTAATTACTTTGGTTCACTGACTTATTCTTGGCAAAACTTGGAGGTGTGGAATTGTATCCTGGAGGTATTTTCAACTTTCAAGAAATAAAGACGGCTACTAATAATTTTGATGCTACAAAAAAAATTGGTCATACTGGGAATGTTTATAAGGTCAGTGATGAAAAATTGGTCACCCTCAAAGTTTCACTATTCCTTTAACAAAATAGATTTTCTTGTTAAGTTAACAAAAAGTTGACTTTTTTTAATTTTGTTTCTGATGAATTTGCTACTGATTTGGAGTTATATATATGTGTATGAATGATTAAACAGGGTATGCTAACAGATAGTACTGAGGTAGCAGTGAAACAACTTAGTGTGAAGTCAAAACAAGAAACTCATCAAATTATAAATGAAATTGGGATGATTTATGCACTCCAACATCCAAATATTGCAAAGCCAATGGGCTGTTGTGTGAAAGAAAGGCAGGTCCTACTTGTCTACAATTACATGGAAAACATCTCACTTCAACATGTATTATTTGGTAATCACCATTTTCTTACTCTCCATGTTTATTTTTTACGGTTATTTCCTCAAATTATTGGATATTCAACACTTTTTATCCATACATAATCATCCCTCCTCCCCCTTAATTTATTTTCAGATTCAGATGATGAAGAAGTTAGATCAAAACTGAATTGGCGAGCAAGGTTCAAGATCATTCTTGGCATGGCAAAGGGTTTGGCATTTCTTCATGAAGAGTCAAAACTGGATATTATACACAGCAACATTAAGCCCACAAATATACTTTTGGACAAAGATTTTAACGTAAGGATTTCCGACTTTAGGTATTCCGAGCTTCATGATGGCCAATCTAATAAAGAGGAAACTACTTTTCGCAATATGCCAAGAGCCAAAGACACGTAAGTGCCCCATATTTATGTACCCCATTATGTACCCCTTAATATTGGAGATGTTAATATTTTACTCATATTGTCTTTACATACTATTTGATCTGAATTAGCTCGTAATTAAAAATTAATTGTTAACTATACATTGAGTTTGTGATTTATAGGGGACATATGGCACCGGAATATATGCAAGGCCTCCCATTAACACCTAAAGCAGATGTCTACAGTTTTGGACTTGTGACACTCGAAATCATTAGTGGACTACCTCATATCATCGTCAAAGCGAAGGAAGACATCCAACTCCTTAATACGGTGAGAAATTTTATAAATTTTAACATCAATTTCCAAAAAAAAAAAAAGGGGGAAAAAGAAGAAGAAGAAGAAGAAGAAGTAATGAAGTAGATGTAACACTTTGCAATCACTCCCTCCGTCCAAGTACAATAAAAAAAAATAGTATTTCATCTGTTCCAAAAAATAATTCAGATTGTATAAAATTTAAAAAATTCAATGTGAACTTTTCTTTTTTTTTTTGAGACGGGGTTGTATTATATCTTGAGGCGGTTGGAGTAGTAGACTTGATCTTCTAGTTTCTAATACGACTGGGTCTCTATACTTCTTTTGTTGGACAATTGGTTTAATCTCCGTACTTAACATATTATTGGAATTTGAAAATTGACTTAAATTCAGTAAAACTGATTATATCAATATTTTCTGCATATAATTTGTGTGTAGGCTTATAAATACCATGAGGAAGGTTGTCTAGAAGCTTTGATTGAAACAAAGCTAAATCAGAGCAAAGACTATAAGCACAATGAAGTGGTTACCATACTGTATTTGGCAATGCAGTGTGTGAGTCCAAGCTTTGATCTCAGGCCTGCCATGTCTGAAGTTGTTCAAATTCTTGAAGGAAAGAAGAAATTCAAAGGCAAACGCATCAATCCTTCACCCGTGATTGAGTCAAGTCCTAATGTGGTGACCCCAACTTCAGAATCCAGTGCCAAATCCGAACTCATTTCTGAGGATGAATCTTCAACCATCAATTAATAGTTAGATGGTTTTATGCAATTTGTCAAATCAAATATTCTGGGAGTTTCAAAATTATATATATAGTTTGCACTATGCATAAAGGCATTTCTCAGAGGCTTGAAATTTTTCCCTGGTTCATGTGTTACTTTTGGGAATATTGAATAGGGCTCAATTTTTAGTGCGTGGGTAACATTATTAGGGTTACAGGGTTTTCGTGGTTCAATCACAGTCAGAAAGGATTTGTTAGCATAATTTTACTTTAGCTCATAGATCAATGTGTATATTTAATCGAATGATTTCTATTCGTGATTTGAGCTTGTAACGAATGCGCATTTCCACAGTTGGATTTCGATGTTAATTGGTTGTTGGTTTTTTTTTTTTTTGAGGGGGGAATAAAAATAAGAATCTATCGTTGAATTATACTTGTTAATCGATTTTTGTTTTTACTCTTCTTCAAGTGTAACTGTTAAATTCTCCCTTTGAAATTAAGAAAAAGTGAAAGACACTTATCCGACATTGGAACAGAGAACTCAACTTGATCAACGTATATACCCCGTGTCTACTCCTCTTTTTGCCAATTGATTTTAAGGTGGAAACACATGTGAGCTTATATGGGCCTTCAAGAGCAACTTTTGTGATCAATCTTCAAGAATTCTAAACCTTAGTATTCCATAGCTTGAAGATTAATTCATATCGATACGGCATGAAGTTTTCATTATGTTGCACAAACATTGAGCGTTTTGAGATAACTTGTAGCAATTTTAGGGAGAAAACGACTTTACAAAAGTTAGAATTTCATTGTACCCCACCAAGAAAGGTATCATCGTACAAAAACTGCAAAAAGTGGCATTAATTTAGATACCTTTGGGGATGAGAGTCTAGCATGCGATTCCAAGCTAGGTACAATAATTGATCTTCATGTTTTTATGTCTTGATCTGAACATGTTTCATCAAAATATTAATGTATTCCTAAATTTTCTATGGTTGTATCAGACTATCAGTTAGTTCTCGTGACATTTATCAACATCACTGTCGCCAAAACGAATTTTATACTAAGTCAGATTTCAAACACTTAACGATGCATATATATTATCAAACTATCACTACAAGTTTATTACTTATTCATAGTCACGCACGCACTTTAACTAAGTAGAACTTTGATAATGGAAACTAAATTACATGATGCAAAATTTTACGGAGTCCCACCTGATTGAAAAGCTAGAAAAAAAGAAATATTATGATATAAGAGTAAGTTGACAACACGATTTCAAAGTAAAGCACTAAAGAAAAATTTTATGAAAAGATCAGATGATCTTGCATCTTTCAATCACCATTATACACCCTTTTTTGCAGCAGAATGACTTTAAATGGGACCTTTCAAGTCTTGGTCTTTGTTACTTGTCCGATTGTCACACTTGAACAAAAATTTTCTTTCCCGAAATTATTACTATGTGCATTAATATCTGGATTAATTTTCATGTCATTTTTATAAATTCTTCCATTTAAAAAAAAAAAAAAATTATTTCTAATTTTCTTCCTTTTTTTTTTTTTTTGGTGGGAGGGGGGAGATAGAAGGGATTATGAAAATTCATTGATTTTCATCTTAAGAAATTTATTTACAAAAAGATATATTGGAGTATACATACAAAATTACGCAATAATGAAAGCCACACATGTGATTCACATGTATGAACACTTTCTGTGCAAAAACAATATATTAAGGTTACATAACAACCCTTTATTCGCTTTCTCTTCTCGGGGGACCCAAAGATATATAATTGAAATGCTTTTTACAAGATGGCTAAAAATACAGTGAGATCTTTATAATTCAGATGTCAAAAATTATATATATATATATATATATATATATTCAAGTGGGATACCAGATTTAAGTTGTAAAAACCAATTTATACGTTGTCACACACTTGCTACTAGCTAGCTAGCTAGCTTAAATTTCGTAATAATTTGCAGGTACAAAAAAGACTCCTTTTCCTCCTCCTCCTCCTCCTCCACCTTTCTCTGCATGGAGGATATGATGGAAGATTTTTCCTCCAAGAAGAAGAAGATCAAGAAGCATAAGCAGAAGAAGGTGATGTTTTGTTACGTTTTGCTGCTTTCTGGACTCCTCCTCATCAGCTGCTGCTTCAAAACGACAGCTGCTGCTGGTGGTAGTACTGCTACTGGTCGTCCATATAATTCGAGAGTTGGAAACCCTGATTGCCTTTGCAAACTATGCGCTTCGGCCTACTCCCGTTCTTCCCTTTCCGACGGTGGACCGAATTGCACTCCAAGTGTTTCCCCTCAAGATAGTAAGTTAATTGGTGCTCGTTTTGCCCGAAATGATTGTCCCAAAATGATTCTTAGTTTCTGATTGTTAAGTACAAAATTAACGTATTCCTCTTTTCCAAAATTATTGTAGATGAGTTTCGATCTTTATTTTTAGTTCAATTCGTACTAAAAAATGAAAAATCTAAACTTAACAATAATTTGAGGACATAGATAATACCGAACAAAATCTAAAACGGAACAATTAATCATTTCGGCAGGATAGTTTCTCTTCCACTCCGCCCCAAAATTTTTTGGGCGATATAAAAACTTTCGGTTATAAATAAACTGACGATCAAGTTGTAAATATGGATTTAGGATTTCTTAGTTAATTAATTAAACTGATCAAAATGAATTAATATTTCACATTTTTCCTTTGAATATTTTTTTTTCCTCAAAATAATTAATGGATGGAATGCATACTAATTAGTTTTCGAGAACTTAATGTTAGTGGGATCTTCTATAATTAAGTCCCTTTTCACTTTTTTTTTTCATGATATTTTTCCCTTATCTTTTTTTTTTTTTTTCACTTTAATTCACAGGTGAAGCTGTAGATGATTTGCTTTCGCTACAGACCCTATCAGCTGCCAGTGGGAATGTTGTGAAATACAATCAGTTGATTAAATGCGATTGCTTCGCTGCTAACGACAGTTTACGTGTCACTTACCTGTACATCATTCTTCCTTTCTTCTTCTGTTCACTTACATGTCACTTACATATTTATATTAATTAATTATAAACGCACTTATAAATCGTTTTTAGTTTGAAATATAATAAACTGTAAACGTTACAAAAAGTGTCACGTGAATATATATGAAGAATAATAATACACATTTCACCTGATTCATTTTAACATTGCATCTCGCCCGACGTAACATTAACTATTGGGTAAAATTTCATAAGTTAATTTAATTTTTTTTGGTTAGATTTATATATTTTTATACCCAAAATTCTAAAATAACTAGACCCTAACCTCGTAAAAATAAACCCTCAAGGATAAAAATAAGCATTCAAAAAATTATCAATTAATAGAACGAATATTAATAATAAATATACTATTTACATTAAATTATTTAGAGGTAGAGTAAAAAATATAGTATCAAAAATATAGGAAGTCAATTGTCCAATAAGTACATGTTATGTGAGGTGAAATGCGATAGTAAGATGAATTCATCACTTATATCGTAATACATTTTTGCCCCTTATATATATATATATATATATATATATTTTTTTTCTCACATTACATTTCTTAAATGCAGAGACTTCTCAAATATGAATTTGAATGGCACGTTGCCCTCGACTATTGGGAACCTTAGTTACCTGACTTACTTGTAAGATGCTGCTTTCCCGTTTGCTTTATTCCATATTTATTCCTTTCTTTTTGGGTCCTCAGTGAATCATTAGCATAAATTAGTGCCTTAGGTGGCGTTTGGTTAGGTCATGGATTTCACTATAACGATGTGTATGATTAGTTTGGTCTCGTACACAAAAAAAATTTCTTATTCAATGAATTAAAACAGTTCAATTAACATAACTGACTTGTTCTCATTTTAGATAGCGAGATAGTACCAAATGTATCTTCGTACATTCAATGTTTAGCTAGGTTGATGCAATATTCTCTTTCTGATTTTATTTATAAGATGAAAAATAAATTAAATACTCTCTATATCCTAAAATAATTATTGTCCAATTTAGACGAAGTAGAATTTAAATTGATGCCTTTCACTATGCTTGAATCTTGATACATACTTTTGTAAAACAAAAATGTCATGACTGGTCTTTGTCTTGGACATTTCAGAGACATGAGTGGAAACCAGCTTTCAGGATTGATTCCCCCATCATTGACAAATTTGAAACAGCTTTCATTTCTGTGAGTATAGTCTCGTATGTATGTACCAGATTCACATTTTCCCTCATTTACCTTTCATCACTCCGGATGGAGGGAATATAAAAAATCCTCTCCATCTTAAAATTATTGTTTAATTTGAATTTTTACTTTTAGTATATTTAGATGAAGGATGTACAAATTTGTTATGAATTTCAATATATATATATATATATATATATTACTCTTTCTGTCCAAAAAAAAAAAAAAACAAAACAGTCACATGAAGTTTAGTATTGTACTAAAAACAATACCAATGACTAATTTTTTAGGACAGAAAGATTATTACTTATTATTATTCTAATGGAATAGTTATAAATAATTTGCAGCGATCTTTGCTATAACAACTTGGAAGGACCTATTCCGGATTTTAACGGCGAGAACAAAGCATTGAAAAGCTTGTAAGTTATGAATGAATCTGATTTAATTTTTTTTAGTGAAATACTTTCTTAACCGTTTTTCTTTCAAAAAAAAAAAAAGAAAAGAAAAGGAAGAAGTTAAATTGGTTACCGTCGCATTGACGACGAAAAGAACGAGATTTAACATCAACATGATAAGATGCATTTATTTCACTATATGAAATTAGCTATACAAATCATATGACGTGAATATGGTGCTCGATCGGATGATAACACGATATTCTATTCCAGATATTTGTGCAGAAATCGGTTAAATGGATCCATTCCCAGAGGATTAGGTCAACTTTCATCGCTTCAGTATCTGTGAGTAATATATACATAGGAGTATCATTTTTTTTTTAAAAAAAAGAAAAATTTCCCCTTTTCATTTTCTTTTTTTTTTTTGGGCAAATCATTTAACCTGGAAAATGCTTTGTAATTCTTTTAGGTATCTACGCTTTAACGAATTGACGGGAACAATTCCAGATGAGATATGGAACTTGGGAAGCCTCCAACAATTGTATGCATGCACAGTGGAACTTCTAAAGAGTATTTATTTTCTTTCTTTTAATAATGTTCTTACTGTTTTAAGAAAATAGCCCACGTCGAGTTCTGAGATTTGTATTAAAAATAATACGAACTGTAAAACTCAATGTGGACTAGTATTATGTTTCTAGGACAGAGGGAATAATGTTTAATTCTTATAAGATACTTTTAAGCTTGTTGTTATAGTCGATCATAAATATTCTCTTCTTCTGATGCAATCTTTGTGTCATTTCCCCTATTATTATTGTTGTCTTCTTCCCCATGCACAGGGAGTTGCAAGATAATCAGATACATGGCCAGATTCCAGAAAAACTGGGAAACCTTAAAAATCTCGAGGAGATGTAAGTTTTTATATTTAAGAAAACCATGCATGTTAATTTCTTTTCTATTTGTGTTTCACTAATTTCTTGAGAAGAGATGGAGACTGCACTGACATATTTACTCGTAACTTTTTCCTTAAACCCTAATGACCTTATGACATAGGGCTAAAGGACTTTGTTCGCATTCATACGCATTCCAACCTCTCTGTCCCAAATAATTGTTCTATTATCTTTTACTTTTAGTACAATCTGTTCTAAAATTAAAAATTTAAATATATCAATCATTTCGGGTACATTATTATATGCAAATCTCAATGTTTTTTTGGCATGAGAGGGGTTTAATTATACTTTCGATTTACAAAATGACGAATCGAAAGAAATTATTCGACAATAATGTGTTACTACTGGTTATTGTCTTTGAAGCTAGACATCTGTCCTATAGAAATAGGTCGGTTTTTAAAATATTTATCTTCTACCCAAGAAAATTATTTTTTACATTGCCAATTTTTCAATAAGATTATGAATAAGAGCTTAGAGGAGTATATTTTTATTTTTACTTTTCAATAAATACATACCTCGCACAAATGGACACACTAGATATAAATTAGCGACATGTAATTAGTACTCTATAGACTATATAATTATTACTCTTCAATCTTTTCAAGTTGAACATATTCTCATCTTCTATTTAGGTTGTTAATGAACAATAATTTCTCCGGTGAGATACCGAAGAGTATTGGCCAGCTGACGAAGTTGCAATCTTTGTGAGTAGCCACTTTTCACTTTCTCTTTCGAAGTAAGATGAACTCGCTTTATCCCAAAAAATAGTTCACATTTTATTTGTGAATGATCGAATAGTGATGCATGCATAAAAAAATTACAGTGAAAATTCACAAATTATGATATTCTTAATATTATTCTTAAATTATAATGTGAGCTATTTTTTTTTTGAAACAGAGCAAGTCTATGTTATGAATTTTTCAAGCACTATATTATTTCATGTGTTCCAGAAAGATAATTCACTTTTTTAACTAAACAATATAGCAACATCGACAATTTTTCCAGGATGAAAATAGTATTATTTACTTTCCTATTTTATAATGGTTGTCTTTTTCCAATATTATTTGTACTAAAAATAAAAATTTAAAGTAGAAAATCGTTTCATCGAGACAAAAGGAGTAATAATGTAATTCTTTTTCCAACTCAATTTAAAAATTCACTACAAGAAAATTATTGTCATCTTGACATTATTTTTGCTCTCTGGAAGACAAATTGTAGGAAGTAATTTCAATGGGAGTATACCAGATGGCATAGGTCAACTACCAGCTCTTGGAAATTTGTAAGTCAAATGAAGCAAGATCATATTGTCAATTCTTTTTCCTGTCGTGTCGCTGGTTAATTAATTAATAATACATATTATTTCTAGATGTGATTTTCCTTGGCTAATTTGTTCATGATTTTATTTTCTTGGAAAAGTAATAAAAAAAAACCTAATTTGAGTCTTTTTGCATTTGTACAGATGGCTGGGTGGAAACAATTTTTCAGGGCCTTTGCCAAAATCATTCTCATCTCAAAGCCTATATTCCCTGTAAGAACTACTGCATGGATGACGTTTATTCAAAGAAAACAAAAAATGGATTGCAAAAATATCAATATATTTTGGTTGTTCAAATGTTTATGTTGCTCCCTCAATTTCGAGCAAAAGTTCGTCATAATTCCTTATTTTAAAAAATTAAAATTTAATGGATTATTGATCCCATAATTTCATGGTAAGTTTTGTGCATTGTTATTTGTGCTTAATTCATTTTACATAATAAATCACACACTATCCTCCTTAGGTATCGTTTCGATTAATAAAAAAATGACTCTTATATTAAGACGGAAATAGCTCAAAAGATGATTCCAAACCGCGAGTCGAAATTGATAAACCAATAGACCTTACATTAATAATATTTTGGTTGACACATTCTATATTCAACTAATCATCATGGAGTATTTCTGCACGCAGGACTATAACTGATGTATTAGGAGGCCCGAATGGCAATTCATTTCCTGATCTTCAAAGTTCGGTCAAATTGGGAACCTTGTAAGTACTTAACTTGTTTATAAAATCAGTTTCATGTTCACTCTTTTTTTTATGGTTAATTACTTTTATTAACATTATTAATTATTTATTGTGTAGGTTTCTTATTTAATTGGTACATAATTTACAAAATTTTTTTGATAGGGTACTAAGGAACTGTTCACTCACTGGTCCAATTCCTCCCTATATAGGGCGATTGACACAGCTAACTCGACTGTAAGTACATTTGTATTCCCTTAAAGGTAGACTTTTTCCATGTTTAAAGTTCTCTGTTTGTTGAACTATTTTAACATAACGTAGGAAGTAATATATATATATATATATATATATATATATGTATATTTGGTTTTAATTTGCTCAATGAATATGTGTAGGGACTTGAGCTTCAACATGTTGAGTGGAAGTATTCCATTAAGTTGGCCTGAAAATTTCACTTCAATGTAAGTTCCTCTATTTCCAAAACTAGCTAGTTCTAATACTATATCAATCTCCAAAAATAGGGTGATGCATAATCTCCAAATCGAACAATCATTTCTCAACGGAGAAAATGTTAAATAATTATATTGCAGAAATCCCCTGATAACATTTATCTCTTCCCTTCTTGATATTCCTATTTTAAAGGGTTTTTAATCATTATTAATCAGATTTTTAAGGAGCAACAAATTTAATGTATCACTTCCTGAATGGGCTTCCGATGGGACTAATGAAGTCTATGTGTAAGTGCTTTTCTCATATTTTTTCTCATATTTCTTAAACCAGATATTTTTTCTAGAATAATAATAAATAAAAAAAAAACTCTTCAAACTATTTTACTAGGAACTTTTATTAGCTACTAGCACTAACTATATTTGAACTACACGTAACACGTCATAGTTGCAATCGTCTCATTCTTATACGTCTCACATAATTCTCACTCTCGTGGCCTGTTTGATAAACTCATTCAGCACTTAAGATAAACTCATTCAGCACTTGAACTTAATAGATTAAGTGCTTAATTGATTGGCATTATTTGATAACACATCTCATAGCAACTTAGGGCCTGTTTGATAAAAATTAGTGCTTAATCCTGAATGTTTAATACTGAATTAGAAATGCTGAATTCACTAGGTAGTTACGGAATAAGCAATAAGCTAACTTTTATTACTTATATTTTGTACTGCAGTTTCAGCATTACTTAATTCATTAAGAGGTTCATTTTTTGTTTTCAAACATGCTAAAATAAAAAAATAGTTAATCCAATAATTTTAAGCATTAATTGGTTTTATCAAACAGGCCCTTAATTAATTAAAAACTTAACTAATTAAGAATTTAAAATTTAAGTACGTTTGATAACTTAAAATAAGATGTCTTTATAAATTAAGCACATCTGAAATACTAGTACAAATGTGAGTATAAAAATAAGTGATAGGCCTATCAATTATGTCTGAACTCTGAACTGAATTCTTGAAACGATTTTTTTCCTATTTATTTACTTTTATGTTTATACTTTTGATGTTTTCTCTTAGAAAATTTTTATTAATTTTGGTGTTTAGTTATAAAATAAAAATTACATAAATCGTTTTTTATTTAATATATATTTATTTTAATATGGAAAATTAAAATACGTATAAAGTCCATGATAAATGTATATTTACCATAAAGATATGATTTTTTTTGAAAATAATATTATATAATTTTTTTATAATGATAAAGATATGATATTATTACTATTAACTACAAAAATAATTACAGAATAAAATTTAGATATTTTTATTACATAATTTCATAACTATTTTTTGTATATAACTTATTTTTTTTTACATAAAATTATAACTCGAGATATTTTAAATTTCAGTGTTCAGACTTCAGATTTCAGACATTTTATTCAGTCTTCAAATTTTGATTTTTATCTCACATGACAAACTTAATCAGTTCAGTACTTATAGTTTAGTCTTCAGATTTCAAACTTTAAACCCAAATTAAGTTTTATCAAACGGGGCCACATTGACGTTTAAAGATTTATAATTGTTTTAGTATATATAAATTTGAGAACTTAATATAAATTATCTTTTTGGACACAGAAAAAATATGAAATAAAAAGTTTATACATGTCATGTGATGCTTATAAGTTAAAGAATTTTCAATCTTCAGTTATATTATAACGCACAATTTTAAACTTACGTTTTAAGTAGATAATGTGATATTAGCAAGGGGAATTGAATGATAACCTAATGGTTAAGGTGTTATATTTACTGATAATAGATCAGTGTTCGATTCCTACAAGGAGTTTGTAAGGGGGGTTCACTGTAGTGAATTTTTTTTAAAAAAAAATAATAATGTGATATTAGCAAATAGGTTCATGTATTACTCTCAATTATTCGTTTTGTGCTAAAATGATTATTCGGTTATATTAAAAAATAAAAATTCAAACTGGACATCTTAGTTCAAAACAGAGAGTAGTATAAAATTCTAAAATAGCATGATTTGGTTCTATATTTTGCAGCGACGTTTCAGACAATCTTTTCATAAATAGAACAAGGTTTCCGAATGACACCATATCCCGTAACAAGTAAGGTTTAAGTTTATTCTATATACAACAGTTTAATTTGTCTTTCTCTCTCCCCCCATCCTCATTTTCACTTATTAAATTTATTCATTAATTTCTTTAACATATTAATTATTCCTTTCCACAACCTCTGTTAGAAACTTGTTTGGATGCTGCGTTGATACAGGAGATGTGTAAGTTCATTTTTGCTCCCTATTTTTTTTCTTTTCTTTTCTGGGTTGTTTCTAAATTAGTTCGCCCTGATTTTGTACATTCATTTTATTAATGCAGGAAAAATAAGTGGTTAGACGTTAATTATCACTGTGAAAACGATACATCAAAGTGTAAGTATTAGCAAACTTTGATGATTTATACTTGACACATTTTTTGAATCTGGTCTAATTAACCTTTTAACTTTCTTTTTGTAAAAAAGAAAAGAACAAAAGTAATTTCATACCTATGAATAAATGACTAATAAAAATATGTGAAACCATTAAGTAACTGACTAGGTCACACGGAGAAATGTACTCTCTAATTAACTAACCAATTTTGTTCCTTAAAATAACATACATAAGAAAGAGTGTTCTGGTCGTTTCACACATATTATACATCAGTTTGAAACCATTTCATCGTGTGTAAATTTATTGTCTGAATCATCATTTGTCGTGAAATCATCCTCATGTTTGATCTAATTATACATCTTTCGTATATTAATATTGTTTGCAGTTGATCGCGTATACATCAATTGTGGTGGAAATGATACATATATAAATGGAAACCACTATGAATCCGATCTGAACCCAGATGGGATGTCAACTTTTGTGTTGAGCAACAATTCAGCTTGGGGTTACAGTAGTATGGGATCATATGCTTATGCATCATCTGGGCAGTATATTTTGAGCGAGACTTGCAATGTTTCCAATATAGCGGATGCACCTCTCTACACGGGTGCTAGAGTGGCTCCGATTTCACTCAAATATTATGCATTTTGTTTGAGAAATGACACTTACACCGTAAGGCTTGACTTTGCTGAAATTGGTTGGGATCCTACTGGTGTCCTTCAAGGGAGACGAGTGTTTAACGTCGACATTCAGGTAGTCGATACTCCCTTCGTCATGGAAAAAAAAAAAAAAAAGAGTTTTGTCTGTTGTAATGTTTTTTTTTTTTATTTTTTTATTTTTTGGGACAAGAAGGTACTCAATAACAATAACATTGCACAGGGAAAGAAAGAATTGCAAGATTACAACATAGAACAAGAAGCTAAAGGCATCTACCAAAATACTTCACAAGAGTTTAATGTGACTGTAAATGATAGTAGATTGGAAATTCACTTGTATTGGTCTGGCAAGGGCTCGGTTTCTGTTCCACTTTACTACGGTCCACTCATATCTGCCATTGCAGTATTTCCTGGTAAATATTATATATATCATATTGATAATTTTAAGTTCAAACTTCTTTACATTATTATTATTATTATTATTATTATTATTATTATTATTATTATTATTATTATTTTGGTTTTTTTACACTCAAAGTTCATTAATTTTTTTAAATCTAGTTCCGCGACCACCCAAAAAGAACCACAAAGTTTCTCCTGTGACTGTGGGGTCGATTGTTGGATCTTCATTCATATTTGTGGTGTTAATCCTAGCTTTGCTTTGGAGGTTTGGTTTGCTTGGAAAGAAAACAAAAAAAGATGGTAGGAACATCTACTTTATGTTTATTCGAACTAATCCAAGTTATGAATGCATTATTTCTTTCTTTGGTTTACTAACTTATTTTTGGTAAATCTTGGAGGTGTTGAGTTGTATCCTGGAGGTATTTTCAACTTTCAAGAGATAAAGACAGCTACTAACAATTTTGACGCTACAAAAAAAGTAGGCCATACTGGAAGTGTTTATCAGGTCAAGTAATGATAACTTTAGATCCGTTTAATTAATAATTGGTTTATTTGACATTATATGGTTATTGCTCTCTTTATTCCAACAAAAATAGTCTACGCTGAGCTGGTACAAATTTTAGAATTCAACTATATTTTTTTTTTGTAGACAGAAATCGTACTACTCATAGTTGCATAATTCTTTTAAGCAAAATGGGTTGTCTCTTTAATTTAAGAACAATTGATTTTTGAACTTTTCCTTTTGAATTCGCAAATGTTAGAATTATATGTTTGTAAAACAATTGAACAGGGTGTGCTAGCAGATGGTACTGAGGTAGCAGTGAAACAACTTAGTTGCAAGTCAAAACATGAAACCCATCAAATCATAAATGAAATTGGGATGATTTACACACTCCAACATTCAAATATTGCAAAGCCAATGGGCTGTTGCGTGAAAGAAAGACAAGTCTTACTTGTCTACAAGTACATGGAAAACATCTCCCTTCAATATGTTTTATTTGGTAACAACCATTTTCTCACCATCAAATTTTATTTTATTATTTCCCCATCATTTTAGTTAAGTGTTTGAAATTCAAAAATTTGAGTCCTCAAGTTCTTGTGCAGATTCAGATGATGAAGAAGTTAGATCAAAACTGAATTGGCGAGCAAGGTTCAAGATCATTCTTGGCATGGCAAAGGGTTTGGCATTTCTTCATGAGGAATCGAAACTGGATATCATACACAGCAACATTAAACCCACAAATATACTTTTGGACAAAGATTTTAACGTAAGGATTTCCGACTTTAGGTATTCCGAGCTTCATGATGGCCAATCTAATAAAGAGGAAACTACTTTTCGCAATATGCCAAGAGCCAAAGACACGTAAGTGCCCCATATTTATGTACACGTTACTAGTTACATTTTCATTATTGGAATTAGTATTTTACTCATCTTATCTTAGTATGTTTGATTTAATCGATTGGTTCTTAAAATTAAGAATTAATCAACAGAATCTTGTTAACTATAAAGAAGTGACTTATATAGGAGTACTCAATATTCTAAACAGGACAATCCCATTATTTGTTAATTTTGAGTTTTTGTATTTTTGCAGGGGACATATGGCACCAGAATATATGCAAGGTCTTCCGTTAACCCCTAAAGCAGATGTCTATAGTTTTGGACTTGTGACACTTGAAATCATTAGTGGACTTCCCCATATTATCGTCAAAGCCAAGGAAGACATTCAACTTCTTAACACGGTGAGATATTTTCATAAAGAATAGTGGCACATGCGCAAAAAAAATTACAAGAAAAAACAATAAGAGATGATGCGTCTAAAATTTAAATTATCACCATAATACCCAAAAGGAAAAGTATAAAATTTAATGGATGTAATTTGATTTACATCATTCCTTTTCACTTTTTCTTGTAATTTACTTATTTGACATATCATTATTCTTTTATAAATTTTAACATCAGTATCCATTTTTTTTTAAAAAAATAATAATCAGGGTAGAGATGTGACACTTTTGCAATTATTTACTCCCTTCCTCTAAGCACAATAAATACTAGTACTGCCTCTGTCCTAAAAAACATTCTATATTGAGTTTTAGAATTTGTACTAAAAATAATATAAATTTAAAAATTTATCGAGAACTATTTTTTTCTGGTATAGAGAGAGTATTATATTGAGATGGAAGGAGTAATAAACTTGATTTTCCAGTTTATTATACGGGTCTTCGAACTTCTTTTGTTGGACATGATTGGTTTAATCTTTGTACTTTCCTCAGTATAGATAGAAGCCCACTAAAAAGGAAAACAATGGCAGCTACTCTTGCATATTATTGTAAATTGACATTAACTCAGTAAAATTGATTGTATCAATATACATATTTGTGTGCAGGCTTATAAATACCATGAGGAAGGTGGTCTTGAAGCTCTAATTGAAAAAAGGTTATCTCAGAGCAAAGACTATAAGTTTCATGAAGTGGTTACCATACTGTATTTGGCGATGAAGTGTGTGAGTCCAAGCTTTGATCTCAGGCCAGCCATGTCTGAAGTTGTTGAAATTCTTGAAGGAAAGAAGAAATTCAAAGGCAAACGCATCAATCCTTCACATGATATTGAGTCAAGTCCTAACGTGGTGACCCCAACTTCAGAATCCAGTTCAAAATCTGAAGGTATTTCTCAGGAGGAATCTTCAACCATCAATTAATCAGTTGGTATTAATCATAAATGTAAATTATCAAGTCAAATAATCTTGGAGTTTCAACAATTATATATTTTGCGTAAGTTGTTTATTGGAGATTTGAAAGTTTACCCTGGTTTTATGTATTACTTTTGGAAATATTGAACAGAACTTTTGTTTAATGTGTGAAACCTTATTGTATGTTATGTATATGGTTCATGGGAAACTCAAGAATGCATTTGTTAATATTTTCGTTCTGTTTTGTTGTTTAATTACACTCTCGATTGTGAGGTCAAAAATCATTGTCCCGAATCATTCAAGAAAAAACGTAACTCTCTTAAAAAAAAAAAAAAAAAACTTTCAATCCATATGCAAGATAGTGCATTATTAATTGTTTTAAATATACGAGTTTTTAGAGGATTGATATTAAAAGATTTGAGCACTAAAATACTTGGTTGATATGCATCATTTACACACTTTTCAGGAATAACTAATACTTGGTCGAATAAGAAATTTCTACGGCGAAGAGTGTACTTCGTAAGTAAATCAATCCTAACGCAGCGAAATAAACACAGATTGATTTTATGCCAAGATCATTTTGTAATCTATGAATAATATAAATAGTTTAGAATTATATATATTTAACAGTTAATCCAACAATCACGATCAACACAACGTGAAGCTTGATCACAAAATTATTCAAGTGTCCAGCCTCTAACGGTATCCACACGAATAATTCTTGAGACACAAATACAAGGCATGACGGCTAATTCTCCGGATTATAACTAGAGTTTTTAACCAACAGATTAATTCCAGAACTTGTGTCTGTGACTTAATTATATAAGTCTACGGGTTTAGATAATTACCATAAAGCCCATGACTTATTTATTAATAAGTTCTTATGATTAATTTATCAATCCCTTAAGTATCCCAAGTAATTATCCCATTGTGTGTGACCCTTTAGGTTTCCAAACACGTTGGCAATAAATATAAATTCCAATCCAAGTGTTAATTGGCTTTTGGACATAAAACCAACATAGTTATGAAATTGATTCCTTCCTTTGTTCTTTGGGAGCTGTGGAAGTGTAGAACTAGGGTTGTTTATGAAGTGATCTCATGTTCCTCCGAAGTGTTATTGGAGTCATTACAACTAGTATTATGAATGTCCTAAAAGTTTATTTCATGCAGGTCAGCTCACAAGTTGAGTCGACATTTTTTGAACGGCATTTCCATGTCCAAAACAAAACTTTTAGGAGAAGGAAATGTAGTGTTCTTAGCTGGTCTACTCTGCAGCCAAATTCCTACATGTTAAATTCCGATGGCTCCGCGGTCAATAATAATATTGGATATAGGTTTATTATATGGAGAGAAGGTGGTAGCTTTGTTTATGGGCAAGCAGCATACTTAGGAAGTGGTGATAGTCTGAAGGCGGGGAGATTTATGGTTTTCTGTATGGATTACAAAAATGCGAGCAACTATAATTGATGGAAGTGCTGGTTTAAACTGATAATGAGGTAATTGCAAATCTTCTAAATTGGAAAACTATTTTTTTGTGGAAATATTTTTTTGCTTTACAGGAGATCTTGACAATATTGCTGCTAAGGAATTACAAAATCATACATATCTTTAGAAAAACTAATGGCGTCACGGATAGCTCAGCAAAAGAGGAATCTCAAGGAAATTCGGTTGTATATGTTTCTTTCATGAATCTTCCATTTGTAGGATTATTGATCCTTGATCAAAGATACTTTTCTTATTTTGGAATTAAATTGGGTTAAATGATTGTAATATACATGGGTAATTCTTATGCACTATCCTTTTTTTTTTTTGGTGATCTATAATATGGGGATGCAACGATAATTTAAGGTCTAATATTGTAATAGGTTTCTAATATCTAAGCAAATGTGACTTTGCCAATGATATTCCTATCAGAAATTTTTTTGCTTTCCCGCATGATTATTTTATGCAATTTTTGAATAAATAGAGTGTATTACATAAATTTCTACTTCTTGAACAGAAGAAAATGCGGATGTTGAACTTGATTCTTCTGCCTATAGAGAAATTTCAGATTCAGAATTTGGTAAGTGAAAATTTAAAATCATTTGTTGTGTGCATAGAATAATTACATGCATAGATCGATATTATATGTTCTGATATTATGTTCATTTCTGCTTGTCAAACAGATGAGAATTTCGATGTTGGCAATGATTTTTCTTCCCAACTGAGTTTTTCTGATTTTGAGTTTTGTAAGTATCAATTACGACGTGCTTAGATTGATCCATGCACTATAAAACTTTTTTGGTAATATTTTTTTTTTTTTGGTTTATATATGTAGATGAAGGTGACGGAAAAGCTGGAAATCAATATTATAGCCAATGTTGTCTGATGAAAAATGAATTTCCATATATGATACTCTTTTGGAAAAAAGTGATAATGGAAAATTGAAAAGAGGAATGACAACTGTGGCTTCTTCATTTTTGGTGTCTAAGAGAACCGTTGAACGGATTTGGAAACATGGAAAAGAAATTGGTGATGTAAAATAGAGGAGAACCGGAAATTGTGGTCATAAGAGAATTGCAATTTACTATGATCAATTTCGTGCAACACCTTTGTGAGATCGAATGACGTTGAGTTCATTATCAAGTTCCATGAATGTAAGTAAAACTACATTGTATAACAGGCGTAAGTCATGAGAAATACGGTGACATACTTGTGATGTAAAGTCTAAGTTGACGAATGAACATAAAAAAAATCACGCTTTCGATTTTGCTTATCAATGCTCAAACAAGGAGCCAAATCTGGTGATGCCAATTTTAGGAGTATGAATGACATTATTCATGTGGATGAAAAATAGTTCCTTATGATGAAGAGGTCTAACACATTCTATTAGGTATCAGATGAGCAAGATCCATATCACATGGTTCAAAATAAGAATTTCATTGGGAAAATTATGTTTTTATCGGTTGTAGTTCACCCAAGATATGATTAACAATGTAATGAGATTTTTTTATTGAAAAATTGGTATATGACCATTTGTTTTCCAAGAGCCAACTAAAAGGACAAGTGCTAATAGAGTTAGAGGGACATTAGAATTAAAGCCCCAATAACAAGAGATGTTATGAAAGCATTTTTTCTTGATAATCTTTTGCCGACAATAAAGGCAAAGTGGCCATTAGAGGACTTTAGGAAGCCAATATTTGTTCAACAAGATAATGCAAGGCCTCATATGATTATTGATGATCAAGAATTTGCTCAAGCGGTTGCCCAAGATGGTTTCAACATTATTTTGATGAGTCAGCCTCCAATGTCTCTAGATTTTAATGTTAATGATCTTAGATTTTTTAATGTTATTCAGTCAATAGAGGATAAGGAATTGACTAAAACTTATGGAGCTGTTTTGAGGGCCTATGACAACTACCCACCAAAAAAGATTAACAGGATTTTCTTGACATTACAGGCACGCATGATTCAAGTTATGAAAGCTAAAGGTTGCAATAGGTACAAATGTTTCTACTCCCTTGTCTTTTACTAACGTGATTTTTACTTTATTTTGTTTCAACTTTGATTGTTTTCTTCAAATATTGTGGTGCATAAGGGCTAAGCTCACAGACATGAAAAAGACAATGTTAGGAAGGCAAGACAATCTTCCCAAGACATTGAAGTGTGCTTCCCAAATTACTCAAGAAGTTGTCAATCATCTAAATCATGTTTGCGATCAAGAATACAGTGATGGAGCTCATGTGTTTTTTTCCTTTTCTGATTAGTTTTTGATTGACTTGTGTTCTAAAAATTGATCAATGGAAATAGTTATCTTTTGTTTGTTTCTCTAATCTCAATAATTGAGTGCATATTTGAGTGTGTTTTCATTATTAATCGGTACTTGTCCAATTGAACATGCTCCCTTTTTTCATTTTTTTCAAATCTAACTTTGCCCTCAACCAAATCTGGTAAAAAATTACCATAATGTTAGGCAGGAACGATTCCTTGAACTGTAATTGAATAAACATTTCAGCCAAATTTTGCTGATGTGAATTGAATAAAACTTTTAGCGAAATAAACCTTTAATTGAATAAAAATCTACTCAAATATTTAAGTCCAATTAAGCTTGCAAACATAAAAACATGCCAGAATTTTCATTGGAACGTTCTCAGACCTTTTCATGCCAAAATTTTCATCACACCAAAACAAATTGACAGAATTTTCATCAGTATCTATACATCAACCCCTTTTGAATGTGAGAAATTTAATAAATCTTTCAGCAAAGATATTTAAACAAAATTTCCAAGAACTAAGAACAAAAAACATGCCCGAATTTTCTTCCAATTCATTGAAATTCATTGAAAAGGTTACGACATAACAAAATCCAGAAATACTACTTTTTCATGTAGTAACTAGAAACATAAATTTCTAACATGAATCTAATAATTTCTTCTAGTTCCTTTGATTCAAAATTTTCTTTCGATTCAGTCGGAAGTTCGTTCAAGTTGAATCGTTCTTCCAATTCATCTGGAATTTCGTTCAAGTCAAAAACAAGACTTGGCGCATCATTCAAATCAATATGTAATGGAGTTTTATGTAGTTGGTCATCTTGAACTTCATATTCATAATACTCTCTAGTTATTACAAAGAAATCTTCTTTATTTAGTAGAGAATCTTGAATTTTATCTTCTCTATCATTCTCTCTTATTGTTTCAAAGGAATCTTCAACCACTTGATCTTCAAATTCTTCTCATGTAGTTTCAAAAGAATCTTCAACTACTTGATTCAATGGGTCTTTAGCATCCTCATCCATCGTAATTTTTTTTTTCGATGAGAGTAGTGAAAGGATGAACAATAACCAAAAAGAAAAAAAAAATAAATTTGATATGAGTATGGTGAATAAGGTTGGAAATCCATAACAAAAAAAAAAATAGACTTATCGGTTGAAGGAATAATCAATTCTCATTATTGATGAGGAGGATGTATTGGGATCATAAAATATAGTAAAAGTCATTTTGGAACTCTATTCAACATAGTTGTAATTGAGTTGTATTGGTATTATATAGTTGATTAATTGTAACAGGGGAGCAAGGATAAAATTAGAAAAAATGCATTAAGACAACCTTGGAAGAAAAAGATAGATAAAAAAAAATTGCAATCAACCTAAAGCGACAGATATATGTGAATAGATGTAGTATTATTGTGTAAAGCAGCAAACAATTGTTTCTTAATTATTGACTTGACTCAATCTGCCCTTCTTGTGTGCCTCTACTCCATAAGAAGAAATCCAAACAAGAGCTAATGAGGATATAAGCCACTAATATTGTGTCAATGATTAAATCTTTTAGTCATTATCATGACCCAAAATTACATTTTAGTTATCTATAAAATCATAGTAAGATGTTAACAAATTATCAGAATCACTGGATATTTTTTTTCTCCTTCTTTTGCTCTGTCTCTCTCAATTTCTCTTGTCCACAAAAATAACTCCATTGCAGTTCTTGATCTCAAATCTTCTGATTTAGTCTTCAATCTTCTCTCTTATTCCAATGTGACCTCTCTGGATGGTAAAAAATTTGCTTCTTTTGATCCAATCTAACTTGTACACAGAAAAAGCCCCCAATTCTTATTCCTTTTTGTTCTATAATCAACAACATGATTAAATTAAACATCAGAGCACCACCACATCCCGCTGTTCATTAGGCACCTCCTCCCCGTCCCAGTTATAATTGGGAACCTCCACCGCCTAGTTGGCTAAAGGTTTATATAAACGGTTTGTATAAGATATATGAACGTTTATCCACGTCAGCTGGGATAGTAAGAGATCACCATAATAACTTTGTGGCCGTGTTCCATTGCAAATCATAAAATCCTGAGCACATGAGCTCACATGTCGCAAAGTTAAACACGATGTTGCTTGGTGCCACACTTGTATGATCCCATTTACCCTGTGAACGATATATGGATAAGTCTGATGTAGTAAATTTGTCTTCAACCTCTTCATCACTCCCCACGCTCCCTTCAGATACAGATTGGTCTTCATCACTTTGTTCACTTACCGATGTTTATTTATCATCTTCCATATCATCATCACCTAAGTTATCATCTTCCATGTGATCATCATTCTCCAAATTCGGCCCACTCATATCCATTTCTATATCATCATCTTCCATTTGATCGTCATTTTATATATTCGGCCCACCTCTACTTAACCTTACTTCTAACTGAGACCTAGAATTACTCGCCACCTCCAAATCTACATACAAATCAATATATGACGAGTTTGGAAGGAAATACAAGACTTGCAACGATGCGTCGTCCTTGATTTTAGCCTAACGCCTAAAACCATTGCCCATCATATCATACAAAAGTGATAGACCCGGATTCACATTTCTTCTATTCTACCTTGCTCTTTCACAAATCAATCTAACCAAATCATAGTATGATACCCTATGACCAATCACCATGGAATTGTTTGGCAAATTGTTAAAAGTATTAAAAAATTCCATTCTTCACAACAAACTTACTGGACCAATACACATTAACAAAATATGGACCGTTAAATGTCATTTATATCTATTAATTACATACATTAAAGCACATTTGTCAACAACAAATTATCAAAAATACCATAATCAAGATATAATCAACACCCAAATTTACTAAACCCTTATAAATTCAAAATTTGAGGGCAAATCAAGCATATTACTAAATTGAATGCTCAATATCGCGTGTACAACAACAATCACCAACTAAACAAATCTTCAACCCTAAACCCTTATAAACATTCATACTTCTACACTTATACAAAAACACCAAGAATAGAATAAAAAAATCAAAATAGTTACTAATCTTCCTGTGAAATCGATTCAAGACATCCGTTGCAAAGATTCGTGGAAAAGATCTTCAAACCGCCACCCAAATCACCTCCTCCTTCAAGAAAAATGAAAAAAAACCCGATCTGTGAATAATGTTTTTTTCCCAATTATATCACAGGAAGAATCGGATTTGGCAAATCTGATTTTACTAATAAAAATAGATTTCGCAAATTCGATTTACAGGTAAAACCGGATCTACAAATCCAACCTTCAGTTGAAACCGGATTTAGCAAATCCAATTGACTCCCCACCAGTTTCCTCCATTGAATGCGAATTCCTACCGGTTGGTATGTATTTAATGAAGGTCGGATTTGGGAAGTCCAACTCTCTATTTTTCAAATCTCTCCCCATGTGCCCTTTTTTATTATAAAAAAATAAATGTCAAATCCGACCTTTAACTGTTCACATGTTGACCAGATTTTCTCCTTTTCTTTTCTTCTTTTCAAAAATGATTTAAAGATAATATTTAATTTAGTAAATCGGATTTCCGAAATCCGACTTCCTAATTTTATTAGTAAATCGAATTTTCCAAATCCGAGATAAGTATTTTTATTTACAAAAAAAAGAAGAAAAAATAGATCTCTCTACTCTCATTTGTGAACCATTTTTTAACCAAAGCAACCTTCAAACGCTTCAAAGGATTTAGTTCAATAAAAAGTGTCATATTATTTTGTATGTAAAACAAAGTATTTTTTTAATATATTATTATATAATTCATAAAACTTGAAAGTTTAGCACAATAATATGTACACCCAGCACTCAACTTTATAATAAGGTGTACTATCTCAAGTTACAACCCCTAAAATATTCTCAGAATTATAGTCTGCTTTGTAATCAAATGTTGTAGCTTATTCTTATGACTTCTTCCGATACAATCTCAACTTCTGAGATTCAAATCTCAAGTTATCGCTTTCAAGAAATGATTGATTCCTGCTGAATTTCTGCAGTATGCTGGACCGTATTGAAGTACTAAACTCAACTTCTCAACTTCAAACATTATTTCAGTTTTAACTAGGAAATGGTGGATTGTGATGGATGGTAGGAAGACTTTGAAGTCTTGAACAGTAATGACGTTTTGCTTTTAACCTTGAAGTGAACAACAATAATATTTGGTTTCGTACAGTCACAAAGGTATGCAGAATGCAAATACAATAATTGAGAACTTTTTAGTCTGAGGTCCAAGAGTGTGTAGTATAGACTAGTTGTAAGTTTTAGGGTTTTTGAATTTTCTTTATAGTTACAACAAAATAACATGAATAATAAATAGGCAATTGATAAACGAAATTTTAAAATGTAGGTAGGCACCCAATATTATTATTGGTTCTAACTTATGGATGGGCAAGGAGTTTTTTTTTTAAATAAAGCAACGGACTAACTACGTACTCTACTGTATCCAAGTTTGACGAACTACATTGTATCATCTCTTTTTGAAACAAATAAAAATAAATTAAAAGTAACAAATTTACTTCATTAGGAGTAGGAATTGAATACATACTAGTACTAGTACTAATACTATACTACATACGAATTCAACAGAACAAAATAGTACTAGCTCCAGAAAAAATAGCCTAGCTAGGTACCTCCGAGGAGTAATTGTCACTCGTATCTACTTTGTAACCATACTGAAAAATTACTTCGAGATCATCACTCCCGTCGAACCTTCATCGACAAGAATGGACTAATTTTTCGCTATGTTGATGTTGATAAAGGTTTCTGCCTGAACTAGGACACAATAGTCATGTGTGGTGGTGATGCCAAGCAATCCGAAAGACTAAAAGAAGAACTTTGATTAGAACAGGTTGAGAAGAATCTCTCTCTTACTCCATCTATGGTGGCCAAATTCTCTTTGGAAAGGATGTTGACTTACGAAAAGAAAATTGATAAAGTAAACTTCAAAGTTCTTATCGGAGGATATGAAAAGGAAAGACCCGTATTGTACAAGATCAGACCGCCCGGGATTTTGGAGGTCGGGCAATCCTTATATATCAGGAGTGGTAGTCCATATGCAACGTGCATGATGGAGATTTGCTTGAAGAAAAAGGAAAAAGTCATCCAATTGCCGAAGTTGCAAAGAGTGCGAGCAATTAAATTCGTTTTGCAGCGAAAAAGGATATTTTTACGGGAGGTTACGCCACTGTCTATCATCTCTCTATAGACGGAATTGTGATTCCCTATCTGCGAGAAGACATATAGCTGATTACCAAATGAGAATAGTTCATTTGGAATGAAGGTGATTTTTGGGGTCTCGTTTTTATTGAATGGTTGTGCCTGATATGGTGTGAATATTTTAACTAAAAGGCAGAAGTTGATCTAATATGGTACTTGCTATGTAAAAGCCTAAAAGTAGGATGGATAACATCATCTTCCCAAAACGAATCTCACCAAGACCGAAACTAGAATTGTCCAAAATATATGATGGGTGAGTCGTTAGTTCTAACTTCATTCCATTATAAAGTAAATAAATTCTACCAATAATCTTTTTTATAGTTATTGTAGAAGTAAATAATACTCCCTCCATCCTGAAATTTTTGTCCAGTTTGAAGTTTTATTTTTAGTTCAAATTGTACTAAAAGTTTAAATCCATTCTAGGCAATAATTTTGGGATGGAGGGGGTATTATTTGAAATGAACGAAGGGAGTATTATTTGAAGTAGTATTCGTTCCTAAATAAATTTAGACCCCATTTGGAAATTAATTTTTAATAATTATGAGAACATAAAGAATGTAAAAATGCGTTTTCGAAGTTTTTTTTTTTTTTTTTTTGAGTAACATTGTGGTTTGAAGCATACCAATGAAATGATGCGACTAAAATCAATTTGCTGACTTGAGATTCAACACCTCTGCCAAAAAGTAGCTGCACCTTCATCCATTCCAAAAGTGCCTCTTCCATACAAAGTCACAATCTTGTCAAATGGTTTTTGGATTTCACTTATTTGACCATTGTTGATCTTGTTTAAACAGGATAGTCTCCCAATTTTGTGTAGAATACTGTGCCTCCTTTGAAGTTTGCCACCAGTTTATCCCATGGTTCACTAACTTTTTGGGTTTGAATGTAAATTACAATGACGGATGTCAACTGTCTTATGAAAATACTACTGCTACCAAGCTCATTTTGTAGTGTCACTATAGAACTACTATTCCAAGAGGCACCAAGGACATGATGATCAATATTTGCCAAAGCCAACGTGCTGTTTTGGAAGCTACAGCAATATAGCTCAAGGGGATTTTCTTCAAATTACGATACCACTGCACCACAAAAATACGAAACATTTCCCCTACTTTGGACTTTTGAGAGGTAAGAATAAATTCAATCCAATGCAGAATATTCATTTTGCATTCAAAAGTCAGCCATTGTAACTTCATAAGAGAACATCCACTCCATATGTCCAAGTTACTCAAAGTTTGCCATAATTCTTTAACCCAAACATAGAAAATTTGTCTCAACCAAAGTAGAGAAGCTGCTTCATTCTCGGATAAATCTTGCCAAATTTATCTTAAAACTAGCTTCAGCTTTGTACTTTCACTATTACTAAGAAGATGTTTTTTCCTAACATAAAAGATGTGCACTCCATTTTAAGCTTTCACCCCATAACACTTAGTACTGTATGTCTCTATTTCCTTCCAAGATTGTTTAGTTATTGACAACAATAGTTTCATCCTTTTCAAATAATTATGTATACTGTTGATAGTTCCAGCAATCACCACAAGAGTGAAACAGAAAAACAAGATTATAAAACTTGCCTTGAATATAGTTGTAACTTCAAACCATGATTACTGAATAGAAAACAAGATTTTGAACTTTTTGTCGCGATCATTGTGTCAAAGAGTTAGGAAATTGAGAAGTCGTGAAGGCAGTGAACTTAAACATGAGATTTAGACTGCAATTTTAACACCACAAGAATTGAACGAGCTTTGTATTATTGTATAGCATTATTATGATTGTTCTTTCCTTCGTTAAAGTGGATGGCTGTGACATTAACACGTGTGTGTGTACTCGTCTATTGTCTGAAGGCAAAAATGTTACATTGTGTATGTCTTTTGTGTTGTTATTCTAAACTATTGATGTGTTTGTTTTGGCTCTTCAGTTATTACTACTACTTGGGTATTAAAGAGACAGAGAATTGGACTATTTTTCATCAACAGTCTTCTCCCTACTAGAATAAATGGACGAGCACACATGAATTCAAATATTACTTACATTATATTATTAGTACTACGACTTAGCCCATACTCATTCGAAAGAAACGACTCAAAAAAAAAATTCTGATTTCTTTCCATAAAATGAATCCAGACTTGGGTTCCGAAATTAATTTTTTTCCATATCGGTCTTTATTTCAACCCCAAGTTCTCAAGTAGTATTTGTCAATTACTACCTCCATTCAATTTTATCTGTTGCTCTAAGATTTGCACAGCGATTAAGAAAACAATGATTGGCCATTTGATATCTAAGTATATTGTATTTTTTTAACCTTATTTATTTGTTCAACCATACATATACCAATTTCCTATGTTCAACCATTAAATATAACTACACTACATCATCTAAGAAAGTTTTTAAATTTAGTAGTCAAACCCCAAAAAAATACCCGAAAATTTCTCAAATATAACTTCATTTGTTTATTTTGTTTTTTTGGTCTGAAATAATGAAACAAAGCTGGAAATGAATTTGAATAGCCACACATTTACATATTCTGTACAAATTTCCCACAAAAACTTTTCAATCAAAATTTCCCTCCAAATTGAAAAGTTAAACTCCCACCAAATTTGATAATAGAAGCTATAGAGACTTAACTCTTTAAATTTGTCTCGGCCAAAGTATATTCATTTCATATTTCCTATGGAAATGGGCTCAATACACAAACAACCTCTCCTTGAAAAAGATTTAAATGTTGAGCACATACAATCAACTATTGAAGGTGGATGTATTATGAAGAAATCCTATAATCATTTGCCAGATCTTTATATTGATGCTATAAGTGAGTGAATTTTTTACCTTAATATCATTTCTAGTTCTCCGATGAACGAGATTTTAGCATCATCTTAACCGGTGTTAAATAAAAAGTCAAGAGCCATCAACACTTTGTCCGCAAAATAATGGTTTGTAGTATACTAACTCATTCATTTACATTTACATTTGATTGCGTGGTAGCACTATTATTAAAATAGTTTATGGTTCCTTGCAATAGCTAAGAGTACCAGTCATTGTACTCTCATTTCTTTGAAAAAATAAAATGTGAATTGCATGTGACTGATTAAATTACATCCATGCCAAATCTCTTGATGTGACTATCATGTAGTTAAGGCTCTATTTTCAGTTAAAAAATGTTTGGCCATAAAAGACTTATTGGAGTAGCAACTAGATTAACTTAGTCAGAATCTTCCAAAAAAGAGAGTTCCTTGAGATAGAATCATTTTTAATGAAACACCTCGGTTTATATTTTACCGAAATTTTACTCTTACATTTGTTCTTATGTCAATAGACCACATAATGGATTTCGGGTTTGACACTTACGTGGAATCAGATTCTTCATCTTCAGAGTTTGGTATAGAAATTTCCTAATATTTTTTAAATGCATGGTTTTATAGGGGGATGCCTGCCAGGTACCATCCCAGTTAAACCAAAAAAAAAAAAGAAAAAGATTTGAGCTAATATAATTATCAAGGGGCCTTTCTCACGAGTTTCAATTACTACGTGTTAGTTCATTCGATATCAATCTTCCATCCTCCAGTTTTAGTTTTGTTTTCCCCTCTTCTTGAAATTATAACTTTTTTGCCATCAATCTTCAAGAATTCTAAACTTAATTAAGTGTTAATATATTATACATGCATCTGACTAATTCACAGCGCGGGATGTAATATTTTTTAATTCCTAACTAGACATGTCCCCACACTTTCCTAGAAACCTGATTGATGTAAAATATAATGTAAAAAGGAAAAAGAATGAAAAAGATCCTATTTATTATAACTAATAAACCTTGAAATTCTTTTTCGTGGGGTTGGAATACTTATTGTAATTTTTGGGAGAAAATGAATGTTTGAAATTAAGTGGGAACTCATTTCTCTTATTAACCCTAGCAAAAATGATATAGAAATAGAAAAAAAGACTTTTAGAAAAAGAATGAGTCTTCCATACTATGCCAAGCTAGGTACATATATATACAATGGTCGATGCTAGAAATTGATTTTCATATTCTTGTGTTTGATTATAGTTTTATTCAATTACTGTACCTACTTTTTTTCTTTCTTCAATTTTGTTGTTATATTTATTTCTTGCAATGTATGTCGGAATTGTCATATGAAGAGAAATAAACAACATCACGCAAATTTTATATGAGTTCAACTAGAAATAAATATGTTAAAAGTTTAGCAAAAAGTATGGAAATTGAAAAACATGACGCATCCAAATTTTATATGAGTTCAACCTAATGGAATAGAAAGAAAAAAAATAATTAGGATTTAGGAATCAAAGCACTACCCAAAAAGTTTTACTATGAAACAAGATTCTCTTCCATCATTCAATCACAAATAGTTCTATCCATTTTTCCATCAGAATGACCATACAGTATACAAGGGACCTTCCAAGTTTTGGTCTTTATTACTTTTCGATTCACACACTTTAATCACAACTATTATCTTTTTTTTTTTGAAAAAATAAAATTACCACCGCTTACATAAATATATGGATAATCTCACTATTTTGATTATTCCTTGAATCCCAAAATGATATTTTTTTTATAGAGGAAATACATATGATAGTTCATTAATTTTCATTTTATGAAATCTATTCACAAAGACATAATGGAGTAAGCAAACAGATAACATAAGAATGAAGCTGTTGAAGCAAGATTAAGGTTCTCCTCCTAATAAGTAAAACAATTGATTTTGTTTTCACAAGATGGCTAAACATACAGTTCATTTTTGAATAATTCAGATGGTACGAGAATAACATTTATTCTTTGCTTCACCTTTGAATACATGCATTAGGAATGTATGTATGTATAATTTTTTTTAAAAGAAAAAGTCAGAATTCAAAGCTTATAGAACATGCGTTCAAGTATCATCATAAAGCTAAGTGCCACAGAACGTGTTCAAGTATCATCACAAAGCTAAGTGCCACATAATTTTAACCTAAAATACTCGATGGCATTGCAAAGCACTTAATTGCATCCCGCGCGGCCTGCACTACCTCCTTTGCACATCCAAGGAGGTGCTCTGTAGAAGGCAAGTCCCAAAAAATGATGGGAACAGTGGGGGGCTAGGCACTATCTTGATGTCATCCGCTCGGTTCCCCTTTTTGTTTTTCGAGCCATGGGGACTTTTGCTGCATTCCTTCACCTTCTTGTTCTTCATCTTTCACTTTGGTGAGTTGATGCTACAGGAGAGTGTGTATGTATGTATCATTTTTTCTTTTAGTTTTACCTACAAAAATATACTCCCTCTGTCTAACTTTTATGGGATGGAAGAGTAACAATTATATGAGAATGTAACGTAAAATATTGTATCAAAGCAAAGAATGTGTAACGAAAGAGAATTTTGCACATGTGGATCTTTAAAACACTACCATGATTGAATAACTATTTTATGCTCCACGTTTCCTTTTATAAAAGGAAAAGAAAACCTCTAAAAAGATACATTCGACCCGCTCGAAGATTTTATAATTAGCATGACGATTATTTTATAATAGAGTAAAATTGATATTTATCTTTATGCGAATGTAATTTGATTATAGGCATACAAACAATTCTATCAAGAAAGTATTTTTGAAGCGATCGAATACAAGTCGGCCCTACATTAGAGCAAAGAATATAACACAACTGTAGAAGTCTCCGTAACAATTAATTGGTGTCTTCGAGTTTTTCTACATTTTGTATAAGACATTTATCAGAGAGGTTATTCGTTGTGTGTATTTCTTTTGAAAATATTGAAGATCAAAATTGTGTTGTTGTGTGAGGAACCTAGAAAAATTATTTGTTGTTATATTTCATTGCATGGTTGAAGTTCACGAACATTTAAGTTATTTATGAGATTATACAAAATGGTGACTAGCAAGGTCTTTAATGTGAAATTCAAAAGGTTAAATATAAATATTTATTGTCTACATAGGAATGAATTTTAAATAACAATAATATAGTCTTTTTTTTTAAAAAAAAGAAAAATTTGAAAAAAATTTATTTTCATTTCCAATTAATTTTTGTCCATAAATTGAAACTTAAACATAGATGTTATTATTCACAACACTACACAATTTTTTCTTGGTGAATGTTAGATTTTTCTTCTTATAAGAAATTCCATTAAATCCAAAAATATATATATTAACACTAAATGGTGAATTACACTGACCCACAGTTTAGGCATGAAGGCCCAAACGGAAGCAGATTGGGCCTAATTATCACAATACTCACCTGACGTACTAATAGTAAAATAGACTGAAACGCGCCAAAGGCTAATCAACCACGCTTTCGACAGGGGGTTTCTTTCTTCTTCTTCTCCTCCTGCTTCCTAATTCTGTAATTCATTCATTCTCAACAGAATCAACGCCATATTTGTTTAAATCATTGGGGGGATTTTCAATTCGAAAAGTTCCTGTATTCTGAATTCCTGATTCCTTACTCAAACCATGGATGTGGATGAGGAGGATTTCGTGTTCTACGGTACGCCGATTGAGCGCGAGGAAGACATCACCACTCGGAAGAAGAAGGCCGTGGCTGAAGCCTCCGGTCAGTTGCGGAGCGTTGTTCCTTGGAAGCAGGAGGTAATTCTTTTGGATTTTTCGTTTTTATCATGTATTTTAGTTCAGATTTTACTTGTATTCTATCAAAATTGTATTAGCGTTTAAGAGGTGGGGACTGTGATATTGATGTTCTATAGAGTTTTCGTAACCTTAAATTTGAGTTACAGTGTTCTTTACTTGAAAATTTACGTATGCGTTGAACCAATGTTGTCTAGTCATTACTTTTAGCTTTGGTGCATATTGTTGGATTTTATTTCGAAGTACGGGTTATGTAATTATTACTTTAGGTTTCGGTTTGGGTTCCAGTAGCCCGAGAACTTGGGATTTTGTGTTTTGGTTCCAGTATGGATTTGCTTAGACTTATTTTTTTCTCAGTTTGTTTAATTTGGTTCGGGAATCATTTTAGTTTAGTGTGGCTGGTTATGAGCTCTTGCTATGTCTAGTACTCTAGTTGAGTTAGATTCACGAATTTGTTTTCCTGTAGTGTAATGCTGTTTTTTGGTTCCTAAAATGTGAAACATATAGTCTGGAACTAAGCCCGTGTGGTTATTATTTCTGTATGGGACTAGATGTTAAATGTTAATTTGCATACTTAAATGCAGGTGAGAGATGAGGAAGGCAGGCGGAGGTTTCATGGGGCCTTTACTGGTGGATATTCTGCTGGATACTATAATACAGTTGGTTCTAAAGAGGGTATGGTTTTTTTTGTTATTCCCGTTGCAAGCTTATTATTTGGGCGATTCTTTTCATGGCCAGTTCGTGATAACTGTTTGCCTAAAACTTCTGTAGGATGGACTCCACAGTCTTTCACATCTTCTCGGAAGAACAGAGCTGAAATTAAGCGACAGGACATTATGAACTTTTTGGATGACGATGAGAAAGAGGTACATATGCTGCTCATTTATCTCCCCTTGCTTAAAAATAAAGGCAAATTTATCTAGCTATAAGCTTGTTAATATGGAAATTGTAGGCAAAACTGATGCATTAGAATCCCAGTGAAACTTTGTAAATTTGTTAAAAATGGTTTAGCATAAGTGAGTATTGCAAACTTACAGGAAAAAAAAAATTTAGGACCAGCAATACTCAGAAGACAGAAATCAGATTGTAACTTTGTTTCTGGACAAAAGTATCACAAGTTGAGAATGTCGAAATGGATGTGTAGACATAGTACGTCAGAGAAATTATGTGATCAATGCAGTAGAAAGAAAGTCAGCCTTGCATCAATATATAGGAAAATGAAGGAACACTTGGAAGGTGGTTTAGATTTGTTTAAACTGCGTTTAGCCTCATTATTAATTTTATAGAAAATAGGGAATTATAAACTAAAATTCAAAAGGAAAGAGAAAAACCTAAAAATATCCTTGGAAAGATACTATTGAACTACATGATATGTAATATCTCTAGTGAAAACATTTGTTTTGATGCGAAACTATTGTGAGCTATGATTCGCATATTGTATAAAGGCTTCGTTTTGTTTGTAGCTATGTTTAGTGAATCGTTTTCATTTACAGTTTTTTAAGACTTCAATATTTGGATAAATTCTTTCTTTGTTCATGTCATACGACTTAAAACCATACGTCTAATTACTTCTGAACTTTCTCCGATATGAGGACACGAAGAATAGTTGGCAGGAGATGTATTTTGTCCTTCTTTTGTATTTTGAACATTTCAAATTGGAGAAATAGTCAACAGCTTCGGATCAGTAGCTGTCATAAAAGAAGAATTCATAGTAGAAGATATTTATTATGGTTGCGATTGAGTTCCCATCTTAATTTTACAATATTTATTGTGATAGGAGCTGGACAACCGTTCCCTTGCTACATCTACACAGTTTGACACTTTTGGATTCACTGCAGCAGAACTTGCTCGACAACAAGTTGAGAAGGAAACCAAAAAAAGGTAGTGCTTTTTAATATGTTAGTTCTTCTGGTCAGCTAGAGCTCTGCTGTTGTATTTCAACTCAAACTTAATCACTTTCTTCCCAATTTACTTAGGCCATCAGCCATTCCTGGACCTATTCCTGATGAATTAATAGTTCCCGCCACAGAATCTATTGGTGAGTTTCAGTTATTTGTGATGACGTGTATTCAGTTTGATTAACTTTTTTTCTGTCTCATTGAGAGCCGTTCTGATGGTGATCAGGTGTCAAATTGCTGCTGAAGATGGGATGGAGGCGTGGTCGTTCTATTAAGGATTCAAGTGCCACTTTACTTAAAGGTATGTCTTTCGCAGTGCATCTTTAGGAGTGAAATTTTTGCAATATGAAGTGTTACCTTTGCAGTTTACTGCCTTAGTTTCCCTTTATAAGTGAGTGCACGTTATGAGCGGTGATTTTTCAATTGAGTTCACACTGTTATTATTACTGTTTTTAACTGGAGTTACACTTGAAACCATGTACCTAAAATGATGCTTTTTGCATGTTGTTTTTGTTTGGGCTTTAGGCAGGCCGTCTTTAATTTTTCACATTCTCCCATGTTTGATTATATATTCACTGTTTGCAGTTTGGTTAGATCTGTCATTCAGGTTTAGTAGGATAATTTTATGTATTTGCAGTAAATCTAAGTTAATACCTTTTAGTAAGCGTCCTTTCATTTTAAGATTTGACTTTCTTCTCTACCTGTCATTGGAGGAAACATTGAGTTATTGGTTCATGGTTAACTTTGGACTTTGTTACAGATAAAGAAGCTAGGAAAAATTTTGTTGCATCTTCAGCTGACAATAAATCTGCAAAGAGCGCAGATTCTGAGCTGGTTGAAAATGACACAGAGGCTTGTTCGTATTCACCAACTGATGATGGTGGTATCCCAAAAAGTACACCTGTAAGGCTGTGACCCTGTTCTGCTTTTCTAAGAGTATCCAATCTAAGATATTCTCCTCGGAAGCTGGAAAGTTTCTTGTCGTAGCACTTGTTATTTGATATTGAAGTTGTGCTTTTACTTCTTTTCTTTCACTAATTTCCGGGAACTTTTCAAGTTACAATCTGTCCTCATACTCCCTAGAATTTTTTTAGATCTTTTTTAGATATGAAGTGGTTAACAAGTTAGAAAGAATGCTGAAGTTAGCCAAGTAAGTTGAAAATAATAAAGAGGTATTTGAATATACATCAATTGGAAAATGTTCCCACTTTCCAATTTATCCCTCACTGTGAGTACAAAATTAAAATCAACCTGGCTTATACAAGGATCAAATTACAAAAAGGACTGCTAACTAGCGATTATTGATGGCATGTCTCAACAAAGATAGGGATTATGATTACTTCGTTACAGTAGCAAACTTTTGAGCTCTCGATCTACCTGTTTGGATTGTGATGGTATTTTTTCTTGCTTAAAATTGTTGTACGGGACACTGGAACCAAAGAAGTTTCATTTAATATTTTCTTTTGCATTTAAAGATAACATGTCCTTATCATTTTTTTGGTTTTGGTTTTTTAGGTGTATGTCATCAATCCAAAGCAAGACTTGCATGGTCTGGGTTATGATCCTTACAAGCATGCTCCTGAGTTTAGGGGTATGTAAATTGTTTGAAGTGTTTAATGTTTTGCAGAATATCGTTTTGTTATCTCCTTTAGAGCTGACAGCCTAATTGTGTTTTGTATCTGAAACTCAGAAAGGAAAAGAGCACGGATGCTTGGGACTAAGGAGACAAATCCACAGAAACCTTTTTCAGTGGGTGATGGTCTTTTTGGTTTCAAATGTATGTCATTCAAAGCATCTTTTTGTATGATAACATTTCTTGCAGATTTTCTCGTATTCTCTTTTTAGTTAAAATGTGAATTTCTTTTTAGGTGGTTTATGTCTCCACAGAATACTAATACCCTTCTTACCCTGGTATTGTGAATTTTTCAGCAGGAAGGATTGCTCCTGGTTTTGGCATTGGCGCTCTCGAAGATCTTGATGTAGAAGATGAAGATGTATATGCACCAGGTTAAACTTTGTTGGCTCTTTAGTTACCTGCATTTCACTTTAGCCTACTGTTTGGGGGATTTTCTCACCTCTCCGTAATCTAGGTATCTGTATACTAAGTAATATATTTACATAAAGGCTCCTATCTTGTGTGATCAATGATCTAGGTCCCAGTGAAAGCCTCACCTAAATATTCTAGTCCTTGCTTTTGTGAACCCCTTTTTTAGTCATGAAGATTGAAGTGCTGTACTACCGTGCAATTAAGTTCTATCTTATTATTTAAGGGTTCTCATAGAATCTGGTGATTCATGAATAGAAACTTGAGCTTATAGAGTCCTGATAGTTGAAGACCAAGAAATGTACACGCGAGTGTGAATTTCTTTGTGATATGGTAAAGGAGAAGGGAAAGACAGAGTGCTTGTTTATGTAACTCTGGTTATGTAATTTCTCATTAAATTTTTTCCTTTCCCCTCTGACCATTCGAACAATTTCGAATTTACCTAAAAGGTTTAGGAGTCAAGCATGACCTCAGCTCGAAGTAAAGCTTCAAGCTTTTTTTAAGGAACTATAAAATGCTATCAATTAATTTTATTGATGCCATTGGATTTCTACTATCTTCCGTATTCTCAAAACCTATCAAATAAATAATATGAAGTAGGTTAAATTTTATCCACTCCTCTCCACCTTGAAGAAATGATGGAAGCTAAAAGGAGTTCTGATTTTTGTGATTCTAGAATCCAGGATGTCCTTAAAATAATCCCTGACTTCTTCATACTATATATTTTGCAAGTTCTTAACCCTAGTTTTCTTTATTAGGTTATGACTTTGAAGAATTCCAAATCAAGGAAATTGAAGAACCTTCAAGACCAATGATTGAGAATGTGAAATTATTGGGTAATAAGGAAAGTGGTTTCTTGTCTGGTTTTAAGCCTGCATCAAATTCTGATTACCAGTTGGAAAGGTAGTCGCTGTCTTTTTCTTTTGGAATATTTTGAAGATTATGTTGTCATTGGATGCCAGCTGATTAGACTTATTAGGAAACTTGACTTTGGGAAAACTGTATGTTGTTTTATTTCCACCTTGGTTGTGCATGTAGGTTAGTTCTCATCTGTTTCATTATTATGTTTTGGTTCATCTTCTCTTGCGAACTGATTTGCCATTGTTTCAGATTCTGTTTGTCATCTTGTACTCATCTTTTATGCACAGTTTAAATTCGTTAAAAGATAAATGTTTTTCGGAGGTATTAGAAGCCTGCTTGCGTTTGTTCTAATGACTTAGATACAATGTCCATGAAATGCTTACCAACCGTTGAAATACAGAATGGCTTGCCCGGGGGTTGTTCGGGAGAAACTGTTTATATGGTGTTTTGTGTGTTTGAATTTACTTGGCAAAGCCTAGATTTTTGATAAATTATATATGTTTTTGCAGTCTTCTGTTTAAGCCTATATAGTTTCATCAGTTTGGCTAATGATGAATAATTCAGTTTCTGCTACAATTTTATGTTTTGTTTTGTGATGGTATCAGACTTCGTCTTAACTACTGTTTCTTCCTTGATGTTTGATCACAGATATGGACCACCAGATATTCCGAAAAATTTTGTCCCTCGTCATAAATTCACCGCCCCACTGGATGTTGGCAATAAATTGAGTGGGGCAATGCCACCCGAAGTTCCTCCTCCGGAGGATAACAGTCTCAGACTCCTAATTGATGGAATGGCAACTTTAGTAGCTCGTTGTGGGTTATTGTTTGAGGACCTTTCTCGGCAGAAGAATCAATCAAACCCATTGTTCTCGTTCTTGTTTGGTGGAAATGGTCAAGATTATTATGAGAGGAAGCTCTGGGAGGAGCGGCAGAAACACAAAGATAGGAATACATTGCAGTTGAATGAGCAAAAGTTTCAAAGTGCAGAGAAGATGACTGCGGAAAATCGTGGCAGAATTCTGGGTGAAAAGCCTCTCGAAAGAAGCCTCAAAAATTCAGCTACATCTTCTAGTTCTGCGGACAATGTCAATCTTCAATTTCACCTCTCCGATACATTCACCACTCCTATCTCATTTGTGAGTATTTTCAATGTTTTTGCTTTATTCAGCTGGAAGATATGTATTGATATGTAATGACTCTTGATCTTGTTGTCTAGTCTGGACCAGCTGAAGTTGTAAAACCTTTCCAAGAGGACCCTGCAAAGCAGGAAAGGTTTGAGCAGTTCTTGAAAGAGAAGTATCACGGAGGTCTTCGCTCTAAAGATGTTGGTGGATCAAGTAAGATGTCAGAAGCTTCCCGTGCTCGTGAGAGGTTGGAGTTTGAAGCTGCAGCCGAGGCAATGGAGAAAGGTAAAAGGGTGAGTGAAAATAAGGACCCTAGTCGGTTGTTTGGAGATGTGCTGCCGACTACAGGTTTGCAGTTCACTTCTGGTGTACTGGAGGTGAGTAATGAGAAACATCCTTGTGTCAGTAACTTTTAGGTTTGTACACAATCTAACATTGACAATCTTTCTACAGCAAGTCAAGATTGGTAAAGAAGAATTGGTCAAAGAATCAAAGCTTCCAAAGAGAGAGGAGTACCCGTGGAGGCCATCATCTCTTCTATGCAAGCGCTTTGATTTAACTGATCCTTATATGGGGAAGGTATCCTTCTTATCTTCCTTTAAGAAAACAAATTTCTCTTTCTGAAAAATGGATATACACCCAGCTTTTTTGTCCACCATTTTCTGGATGTTCCTTTGCTTGTCTTTTAGGTCTTCCTTTTTCTTTTCTTTTTTTCCTCTTTTTTTTTTTTCATTTGGAATTGTTATTAAAGATGTCTTTAGGTGTACTTCTTATGGGATGTGCTTTATGGTGAAAGCCCAATTACTTTTCCACTTACTTCACTTCCTTTTTTATCATTTGTTGTTGAAATCTTTTTCCTTGTTAACTTTATCAGTAACATCATTATGATTCTGGATGTGCTACACAAGGATGAAGTTTCTGTACTTCACTTGGTTTTAGCAGTTCGTGATATTATACTTTGATGAGTTGCAGGATTTTGGTTCCTTTAGCATTTTTGCTGACATAGAGAATTGGCTTTTTGTGTCATCTATTTTGATTTCCTAAATTTGAAGGATAAAAGGTTCGGTGAACTTGTTAACATTAGTATCAACCTACAGATAAATCATGAAAACCGTCATGCACACTCTACAAAATTGATTATGTCACACATGTTGTCTGTATAAGAATACATAGGTTGCCAAAAAGGATACAAAACAGTATCTAACAAACCTATTCCATAGCAGTCACCAATTTATTCATTCACCGAGGAAATATTGCACATTTTTTAAGCTAATCTCCAAATCTTTCTCTCCTCTACTTCCACCCTCTCTCTCTTTAAGTTTACTTGCACAAATCACATGCATGCCCCAGGACTAGAACGCAAGACTCAAGGTTGGAAGTGACAACAATAACTATTTCTACTTCAGTCCCCAAGCCAATTCCAAGTTTTTATATTATTCTTTTTCTTTCCTCAATTTTTATTTTATTTTATTTTATTTTATTTTTTGTAAAAAATCATAGGCACATGTGAAACGTCTCCTCTTCTCTACCTTAAATGTGGAGATTGTCCTTAATTTCCAAATTACTGGAGTTTTCTGTTTTGTTTTATTCTGTTTTGTTAATATCTGCTAGGCCACATTTTGTTTGTTTTTCTAGCTATTTTAATTTTAGATTTTACCTGAATGCTTTATTTCAAAGAAGGGAGCTGTTTACTTGTCTCCCTTTTTGCAGCCGCCTCCACCTCCACGACCTAGGAGCAAAATGGATGCTCTTATCTTGATGCCAGATCCTGTTGCAGCTGCGGTAGTAGAACATCAGATGATGCCAGTTGGGAACCAATCATCTAGTTTGCAGGCAGGCACTGGGGATAAAGCCGAAGGCTTTGTTACCGAAGATATTAAGGTGGATGCTGAAAATATAGAGAGGCCTGTTGATCTCTATAAGGTTTGTCCTTGTTTCACTTATTCTGATCTTTTAAGATTCCAATTTTTATACAGTATTATAGCAACTTTTTGCTGAGAACTCATTATTGACATTTTGCATATTCCATTCTCTATAATGCTATATAATTTCTTGATTTTAGTTTAAGAACTCATTATTGACATTTTGCATTCAGGTATTTTCTACTTTTCAATTCAATGTCTTATGTGACGTGGTTATCTGTTTGTCCCACAAATCTCTTTGTAGGCTATATTTTCTGATGACTCTGATGCTGAGGATGAAAATAATAATCCAGCAGTCCCGGGAGAGGATCCGGAAGAGAAGATGGAAGTTGCGAATAAAACTCTGAATCGCTTGATAGCTGGGGACTTCTTGGAATCCTTGGGTAAAGAGTTAGGTCTTGAGGTTCCTCCTGATGTACCTTACCCAGAAAATAGAGATAGGGGAATGCCTTCTGGGAAGGACAGTAAAATTGCTTACAAGGGAGGCAAGGACATGGAGCAAAGAGTAAATGATCGCTCTTCTGACAGCGCTGGTGGTGGAAATTTGATGGTCTCAGAAATGCGTCAAACAGGTCACGAGGGCATGATTCATTGGATAGGGAGATCTAATCCCGAAACAAGCAATCCTGCTAATGGTAGAAAAATGGCTGAGGCTGGTATCCTTGAGAGAAGTGGAGATGAGAACATTGAACCTGCTGCAACTAAAGAGGAGAAGAAAACTAAATCTGCCACTCATCAGCACAATAATTCGGGCAGTGACTCCTCAGAAGATGAAAGAAGCAGAAAACGTAGTCATCATAGGCGCCGGAGAAGCTATTCAGATAGTGAATCATCTGATTCTTCTGATGATTCGCGACGCCGTTCAAGGTCCGAAGGAAAGAGGAAGAGATCATCCCGTGAGAAGAGTAGCAGTCGAAGACATTCAAAGCACCATAAACACAGACATAGAACATCTTCCAAGAGAAACTCTCATTATGGTTCTGACAAAGAGCATCGAAAAGCCAAAGACAGAAGCAGATACAAGGACTGAGGAAAGTTAACCTCATCATGCTCAGTCTAAACTGCAACTTGGGTGGAAATGGATTAGGCCTTTGGATTTCTGAGGAATAGAAGGGCTACGTGAACCAGTTGTGATTGCATCGTTTTGCAATCCCCTATTCTGGCAATTGCTCTTCATTTTCTCCGATTTTGCTTCCCAAAGAAGATCGCCGGCCTGCAGTATTACTTGAATTAGTGTTTGGGCAAGTGTGCTAAACAAGTCAGATGTTGACATGAGAGTTAAACTACCAAATGACTTTGCCTTTTCTTCCTGCTGATAGAACTTAGTCCTACTAGCTCCATTCAAGCTCACACGGGCTCAGATGACAACACCGCGTGAAACATATGCATCTTCAGCTTCCTCTCCACCAGTGAAAGAAAACAACTGTCAGTACATATATAGAGCTCCGAATGGATTCCATTTGTAAGAAGAATTCGCTTCTTTGATCGATTTAATCAGAGATGTATCAATCAGCTGTGTTCGTCGATATAAATAGAAGTTCCAACATTTTGATCCCAGCAAATTTATCTCTTAGTTTAGACTGTTACTTGCATTTAACTGGAAATTCACATTTGAGTATGTATCTTGATTTCATCTTTTTGCATACCCTTTGTAGCCAACCAAAGGTGCTGCATAGTGAGCAAACTAGTTTTATAGAATTTACTTTCCATTTTAGTTCATATCGAATTTCGTCGAGTTCATTCTACATGTTACAAAACTCATCTCTAGCCGTGATCCGAATGATATTGGAATCCTGCGAGATGTCGAGAAGCATTGGCGTTTGATTCCAGCTTCCGGATTGAAAAATTTTAAGGGATGAATGAATGCTAGTACTTGACAATAAAGTGCGCTTCTCTCGATTTCTTACGCAAAAATAACCTTTCTCATTGATAGAGATTAACCCTTAGGCCTTGGGCAATCGGGAATAGTTAGAGATTAACTGCGCCTATCATGATGGTGCAAGTAATATTGGTTAGTCAGACATTCTCTTATATAGAAACTTTCTCTTATTAGTGAATTGGCGGAGTTTCATTGAAATTGAGGTTTATGTATTGCAGATGTCTTTTAGTGAGATTAGGTTTGGAGTTCTGCATCTTATGATAGCTATCAGTCAGGAGTTTCAACCAATTCTTGTAACTTTGTCTAACTGCTAGAACAACTATAGCTACTTTGAAGTTTGAATTTTCAATTTTTGGTTGATGTTTGATGTCAATTCCGCATCTTTGACCTTTCACCTAACAGTGGATGAGTTGATGCTACTGTGAAAGTACCAAAGTTTGTGTAAATTTGTGTTGAAAGAATGTCTAATTGGTAGCAGTATCTGTCCCTTTCACCATTTACAGCCACTCATAATTGCATGTATGCACCTCAGTCAAGCCAAGCATATCCCTGATTTCCACGAATATTCACGACCAATTTCTGTTCAAGTGTTCAACAATCCATTACTGCTCATTTTCCCCCATTTTTCTGCAAAAAAAAAAGAATTATATTTTTAGGTTTTGAACAAGATAGGTGTCAATACTTTATTGCTGTAGCTTTTTTCTCCCTAGTTCTATTCCATGACTTGTATCTAGTTATGTTGACAGAAACTTCATCCCTGTTCGTGGTAGCTCAAGCTCATGTGGGCTTTAATGAAAAACCATGTGAAACATATGTGTTTTCTTCAGCAACCTCTTTACCAGTCAGAATGTATTCTCTGTTGATATAACTCTTGATCGATTCAATTAGGTAGATGGGTTTATCTGTTTTGTGTTTGGTGAAGCTATTTCTAAAAGGCTACTCCTTATCTAGTCCTATTACTAAAGTACTTTGATGTTTGGGACTGTTAGCCAAAATGCCTTTTGCTTGCTGGTATGATCTCTTCAAAAACCTCACTTTCTGCACTTTTAGAATCCAAGGACGTTCGAGTATTCGATCATTCGCATGATGTCTTTGTAGAGTACTAGTTTATTGATTATTCTTTTAGCCAACAGAAATAGTTTCAATGAATTGAATAGAAGAGCTCATTTATTGAAGCCAAAAATGTCTGTTGGTACAAGGAAAAAGCAGCATTTTAGTAGTGTCAGTAACCTCTCTAGGCAAGAATCTTTAGAACATTCTCTTATTGGAGGTACTGGCTTTTCAAGATTAGTTTTCTGCAATGAACCCGAAAGTATTGAAGCGCTTCCTCTAAGTTACAGAAGCAACTATGTGAGAACTACCAAGTACACTGCTTTATCATTCCTGCCGAAATCGTTGTTTGAGCAGTTCAGAAGAGCTGCAAATGTGTTCTTCCTGTTTTCTGCAATTTTGGCCTTTACACCCTTGTCACCTACATCTCCTTTTGCCTCTGTTGTTCCATTTGCTTTTGTGGTTGGCATTTCTATGGTGAAGGAGCTAGTTGAAGACTTGAGGAGGAAAAAACAGGTAATAGAGTTTGTACTGAAACTTCTATCTATTACTGTTCTGATCGTTTTTCTCAATGTTAATTAGTGTAGTTTATAGTTCAGGTCTTGAGTTCTTCTGTTTTCTTTATTTCTTAGGGTTAGTAGATTGTTTGAATTTGAAACCTCTGGTTTAGTCTGTCCTATTGCATATATGCATACTTTTTATTGTTTCTGTCTTCTTAACGCTGTTGAGTTGCTTGCATTCTTTCTTGATTCATATGTAAATGCCCTGGTTTGGAATTTGTACTTCTTTCAATCGGACTATTTGGTTCTTGGGAATAAAAACAGGACATTGAAGTAAACAACAGACAAGTTAAAGTACATCAAGGTAATGGCAGGTTTGACAATGTCAAGTGGATGGATTTGAGAGTTGGAGATGTGGTTCAGGTGGAGAAAGATGAATTTTTCCCTTCTGATCTTGTTCTGCTTTCATCAAGTTATGAGGATTCAATCTGCTATGTTGAGACAACAAATTTAGATGGAGAAACAAATTTGAAGCTGAAGCAAGCGCTTCCAGCAACATCACAGTTACATGAAGACTTGGCCTTCAAGAACTTCAAGGCGCTAATTAGATGTGAAGATCCAAATGCGAACCTGTACTCCTTTGTTGGCAGATTGGAGCTTGAAGGACAACATTATCCTCTTACGCTTCATCAACTACTGCTAAGAGATTCAGTGCTAAAAAACACAGACTACATTTATGGAGTAATTATTTTCACTGGCCATGATACAAAGGCAGCCCAGAACTCAATAGGATCCCCATCCAAAAGAAGCAAAATAGACAGACAGACAGATAAACTGGTGTACTTCTTGTTCGTGGTGTTAGCTTTGATGTCATTTATTGGCTCATTGTTCTTCGGAATCATGACACAACAGGACCTCAAAGATGGGAGGATGTCGAGATGGTACCTTAGGCCAGATGAAACCTCAATATATTATGACCCGACGAGAGCTCCAAGTGCTGCAGTGCTGCAATTTTTCACTGCAGTCGTGTTGTATGGTTACTTGATCCCCATTTCCCTGTACGTTTCGATAGAAATTGTAAAAGTTCTTCAAAGCTCGCTTATCAACCAAGATTTGCACATGTATTATGAGGAGGGCGACAAGCCAGCACGAGCACGTACATCCAATTTGAATGAGGAGCTTGGTCAAGTTGATACCATACTTTCTGATAAAACTGGAACCTTAACTTGCAACTCTATGGATTTTATCAAGTGTTCTATTGCAGGGACCTCTTATGGGCGTCGCGTCACTGAGGTAGAAAGAGCTGTAGCTACAGCAAAAAGACCTCCTCTGGTGCAAGACCAATCAGGCAAAAGTGTTACCGGCCTTTCCAGCAAAGAAAAGCCATCTGTTAAAGGTTTCAATTTTGAAGATGAGAGGATCATGCATGGTAATTGGATTCATGAGCCTCATGCAGATGTTATCCAGAAATTCTTTCGGTTATTGGCAATATGCCACACAGTCATACCTGATTTGGATGAAGAAACTGGAATAGTGTCTTATGAAGCTGAGTCGCCAGATGAGGCTGCTTTTGTGGTTGCATCAAGGGAACTTGGATTCGAGTTTTGTGAGCGGTCTCGGACAAGCATATCTATCTATGAGACAGATCCATTATCTGGAAAGAAGGTCAAAAGGTTTCTCATTATGACTATCTAAAAGACTGATCTTGTCACTAACCATTCTTCTTTAATTTTTGAAGTTATGCTACTTTATAATGTGTTCATTTCCTAAAACATTGTTGTGCTTATGGTTTTAGGATCTTTGATTTATTTTAACAATGACCTTCTGTTTCCTCAGAGTTTATGATCTTCTAAGTACTGTGGACTTCAGTAGCTCAAGGAAGAGGATGTCCATGGTTGTGAGAGATGAGGAAGGCAACCTCTTTCTACTTTGTAAAGGTGCAGACAGGTTAGATAGATGAGCCTTAAACTTTTTCTCAAGGTATCCTCTTTGAATTTCCCCCTTCAACTGAAAGTAACGTGGAAACCAAAGAGATTCCATGAACATAGCATCAAAGTTAAATTCTTTATGCAACGTTTGATGGCTTGAGATAGCTGGATAGGTTTGTAGACCTACTCATCTGAGTGATATTTTTTTGTCACTGGACTCTATTTTACCACTCTGGTGAAGGCCCTTGATACAACGTGTGGTGCTTAATGATTAGACCAACACGTGTCGCATCACGTATTTGTGCCTACAGAAACACGTTATGCGCACATATTTCTTACATCATTTGAACTTCATCCATGCTAAACCAGCTGTTGTTCTGATAATTCTTTACCTTTCAGTTGAGTATCTTCTTGTTGACTTGCAGTGTAATGTTTCAAAGGCTGGCAACTAATGGGAGGGAATTTGAAGAGCAAACTAGAGCACATATCAATGAGTATGCTAATGCTGGTCTGAGAACAATGGTACTTGCATATCGTCAACTTGATGAAGATGAGTACCATAAGTTTAATGTGGAATATACAGATGCAAAGAACTCAGTCAGTGCAGATCAGGAGAAAATTGTTGAGACCATTGCAGAAAAGATAGAGAAGGATCTCATACTTCTTGGTGCTGCAGCTGTCGAAGATAAACTGCAAAATGGGGTATGTATAGAAATCTGTCCACTATTGTTGAATTCTGCAACCAAGTTTAGGATAATGTTAGCTTTATCAATTCTAGAAATACGTTTGATGTATCATGTGCAACAAAATAAGGTGTCATGTAGACGAAAGAAGGAGTTTCAGGAGCTGGAGAATTCATTTATGATTGACTCTTTTGTCTATTGTAATGCCAGGTTCCTGAATGCATTGAAAAACTTACTCAAGCGGGAATAAAAATATGGGTTTTGACGGGAGACAAAATGGAGACAGCAATCAATATTGGGTATTGTTTGTTGATACTTACTGGCTAGCTAAAAATTGTGCAACATTTTGAATGCTTTTCTGGCTTTTAAGTATTGGTTTCTATCAGTTTTGCTTGTAGTTTGCTTAGACAAGGAATGAAGCAAATCATCATTAACTCAGAAGCATCAGCATTTGAGGATATTTCAAAATCAGAGGATGGCGTAAATGCAAGTGAGGTAAGTCTGATTAGCTAATATTTGTAGCAAACAGAAATACTGTTATGGATTGTATCTTCTAAAATCCACCCCAGTGGATTGTATCAGAGATTAGTGTTTTTCTTCTTCTTCTTCTTTTTCTTTTTTTTTTTGGTAGAAAGAGCTTAGTGTTTTTCATGAACGGTCATCTTTGCCATAAAGAGTAGAACTGAAGTTTGCTAGTCTTTTGTGCAACCATTTCCAAAATGATGATGGCTTTTAGAGCCCTTGAAGAATTTGATTGGGGAAGATCCTCTACGAGACAATCCAAGAAAGTATTTCCCTTATGAACCCAGACAATCTGATATGATGTATATATACCTCGTTTACATAACACAATCGATTGGCTTTTCTATAATTCATTAGCATTAGACATTTCACTAATCCATTCTATGGTGTCGAAAAGATAACTGATCAAGAATTGGGAAATATAAAATCATGGAAATAGTAGGTAATGCAATAAACTGGAACTTTCCTTTCAGGTTTTTATATTTGAGATTCAATATTTTATTTTGTTCTTTAACCATGGTTTAGGCTCATTGATTTTGTAGGCACTTAAAGCAAGCATTCTTCATCAAATAGAGAAGGGTCTTCACTTGCTTCTTTCATCAGGTGAGAAGGATGAGACGTTTTCTTTGATCATCGATGGGAAGGCCCTTAGTTTTGCTCTAGAACATGATATGAAGGATGTGTTCTTTGAGCTCGCAATCAGCTGTGCAACTGTTATATGCTGCCGTTCAACACCTAAACAAAAAGCACTAGTGAGTCATGTCATTTCTCATTTGCTATGTTCTCCTTTTCACCCATGAACCTTTTCTGGCTTCCATATTTGCCATTTTATTTGATACACACATTGAGCACAAATCCCGCTTCGAATCTTTACGCACCCCCTTGGCCAACTAAAAGAGCAGTTTCACAGACTTCTTTTCATGGTTAACTTCTTTGTATTCATTCTACAGGTCACAAGACTCGTAAAAGGAAAAACTGGTCGAACAACACTTGCCATTGGGGATGGTGCAAATGATGTTGGAATGCTCCAAGAAGCAGATATTGGTGTTGGTATAAGTGGCTATGAAGGAATGCAAGTAAGTTTCTACTTTTAGATTTTCGATTGGCCTTTTGTACACTCCTCTCAAATTGGATCTTGAAGTTTTGGATCTCTGACTAAATACTCAATTTCAGGCTGTTATGTCAAGTGATATAGCAGTTGGACAGTTCCGCTTTCTAGAGCGGTTATTGCTTGTGCATGGACATTGGTGCTATAGAAGGATCTCATCAATGGTAACTTCCTTTTCTACACACAGGTTACTAGGATACATGGGAAATTGCAGCTTTTGTCCATAGTTTAGCGCTTAATAAGAGCTCAACTTCACTTTTAGCACCAAAGGAGCAGATTACTATTTTGAAGTAAGGTTCTGAAATTTAATGGGGAGGACAAGATAAAATACTACATTATGGAATCTGAAACTTAAGTTATGACAAGTAGTTCAGCCTAGCTGAAACTTACAAACCCATGAATAGAATTTTCTTGTTATTCTGACAACATGAACTGATTTTGACATTCCTTGTTAAAGACACACCCGTCAGGAAACAAATCAAAGGAAACTAAGGAATACCATGTTTTGATTGCAGATATGTTATTACTTTTACAAGAATATTGCATTTGGCTTCACTCTTTTCTTCTACGAGGCTTATGCATCTTTTTCTGGACAACCATCATACAACGAATGGTGTTTGTCATTGTATAATGTATTCTTTACATCTCTCCCTGCGATAGCCCTTGGAGTCTTTGACCAGGACGTATCTGCACGATTGTGTCTCAAGGTAATGTCTATACTTTACACTTCAAGTTCTTGTTTCAGAAAAATGAAAAATTAGGTATTCATTATGCTGAAAACTAATAAAAAAGAAATTAATTATGAAATACATATTGCTTGTAGTTCCCCATGCTCTATCAACAAGGCATACAAAATGTTCTTTTTAGCTGGTTCCGGATCATTGGTTGGGCGCTTAATGCGGTTCTAAGTTCAACCTGCATTTTCTTTGTTTGCATTCTTGGATTAGAGAATCAAGCTTTTCGTAAAAGTGGTGAAGTTGTTGGGCTAGAGATCCTCGGCGCAACCATGTACACTTGTGTGGTGTGGGTGGTGAACTGTCAAATGGCATTTTCTGTTAATTACTTCACATACATACAGCATCTCTTCATATGGGGAGGTATTGCATCCTGGTATGTGTTTATCATGGCCTTTGGGGCCCTGGATCCGAATATATCAACAACCACCTTTATGGTTTTCATTGAGGCCTGCGCACCATCTCCATCCTTCTGGCTTGTTTTACCTATCGTACTTGTTGTAGCTCTTCTGCCATACTTCACTTATACAGCAGTCCAAATGCAGTTCTTCCCAATGTACCACCAGATGATACAGCTGATATATAGTCAATCCAGTGATTTTGAGTATCAAACCTATGTATGGTAGATCTTCCATGCCGCCAATATAGAACATACAAGATGAGACAACTTCGGTTCTTAGAGCCTGAAATAGTATCATAGCAAATTCACTCAAAATTTAGCTAAGAAGATGAGACTTGCTGTGATTGTAGTCAAAATTCACAGGCATTGCAGATAAAGATATGGTTAGTTCTTATGAATTATGCATTTGTAAATAGCAGGAAGGTGAAATGAGCTTTGTAAAGAGGTATGGTTTGGTTCAATAAAAAGAATGGCAGTTCTGTACATTTTCTGTTCAAATATGAGCATCTAATACTTTCCGAAAACAATAAGAAAGTTGAAAGCTTCACAAAATGGCAAAAGTATTAACTAAATCATCCTCACTGAATATGATTCAAGAACACATAAAAAGCAAGAAATGAAACTAATTTGCATTTTACTTTCCCTGCTCAATTGGGAGGCAAGCAGAATCTGCTGGCTCAATCTTTTTTTTTTCCCCCTTATCAATGAAAAGAATCTACTACTCTAAAACTCACTACGCCTATTTGGAAATAATGTAAAGTAATACATAATCATTGAGATTGAAGACCAAGAAAACTTGTTGCAGACTTGGCCATGATGGTAGCAAATTCATGAAAGCTAATAACTCCATCTCCATCTGTATCAGCCTCTTTGATCATCTCAGTAAGCTCTCTGTATGTTAACGGCTGTCCCATTTTCGCCATAGATCCTGCCAATTCAGCCAAGGTAATGTATCCATTCCCATCGCGATCAAACGAGCGAAAAATCTCAAAGAGATGTTCCTGGTTTGCCAATAGCTCTTCATTCAGGTCTGGCCTAATAACACTTATCAATTCCTCGAATTCCACCGTGCCATTACCGTTCGAATCCATGCTGTCTAACAGCACATGGAGTTGATCGCCTGACGGCCTTAACCCCAATGATCTTAACAATGCTGCAAGCTCTAGCAGAGTCAAGCTGCCATCAGAATCCATGTCAAATCTTGAGAATATGTCTCTAAGCTGGTTGAGTTGATCAACATGTATGAATCTAGTCTTCTTCATTTTTACTAATGTAGTTGTTCTGTTTCCCAAATGAACAGAAAAACCCAGAAAAATGTTGGAAGAATTTGAAGGAAAACAAAGAGGTTGTCCTAGTTAGGGAGCTTTTCTTTTTTTTGCTTGAAGTGATGACCTTTGTCAGTGTTTATATGAGGGACTGTTTGTTCATCTTATCTGCAAAATGTCGCGTCTTTGAGATTTGTTTTTGCCAGTTAATAAAATTTCCAGAGATGCCTTGAATCTGTACAATTTTTTTAAGGCTTCTTTATGACTTTCTCAGTTCCATGAACCTTCAAAGGTACATTAATTTTTTGGCTATATTTTTGCACAACTTTAATATTAATGTGCTAATCTAACCCCTAGAACACCGCCAGATTCCAAGAAGATGCTTTTTTTTTTTAGTCCCAAAATGTACCACAAACAAGGCAGTTTGATTACAGAAAATTGGAAACATGATTAGCTGCCACAAAATTGATACTCTCTCCGTCTCATAATTATTGTCGAGTTTGAGAATTCACTTTTAGTACGACTTGAACTAAAAATAAAAACTCAAACTGGACAATAATTATGGGACGGAAGGAATATTATATTGGAATGAATCCTCGCAAATTCAGGCTGGAGAACCAACAAATATGATAATTTGATTACCAACTCAATCATTACGCCAGAATATATACTTGGAAGTAATTTCCAAGAAACATGCACTAAAATCAATCACCAGGCTAAAGATGAATATTTGGTAATACAATCATTCATGATTCTTCTTGTACAACCAACACCAAACAATGCATTTTGAACTTTTAACAGTTTTCACTTCAGAGATGAAGTTAATTATAAAAGCTCGCAATCCAGAGATTCAAATAGTTATCTGGATTAAGCCACTGATTTATAAATTACACTGCATCTGGATCAACGCTCTTCCCATCATTGCTTTCGATTTGGCCAGCCGGCATTTCCTTGTTAGCGAAAACTCGATCATTACTCGTCGCGCAGCAAAAGCAGCATTTTCGCCTCAGCCATTCAAGGCAACCTGTAGAATGTTTAAGGCTTCTGCCTTTACAGATCCTTCCTACGAAGCATGAAAGGACGGCAAGAAATGCCAGGACAGAAATGACTGCGAAAAACGGCCCTATTGATCCTGGAGAAGTACTACCAGGAGTACTACTACTTGATGATGATGATGATGATGATAATGATGATGCAAATCCTCCTGGATTAGTAGGAATTGCTCCTTGTGATTGCTGATATGGAAATGCTGATGATGGTGTAGGATTTGTCTCCATTTTTTTTTTTTTTTTGTTAATTCGCCGAATCAAATCGAATGATACTAATGAGATACTAAATGATGTTAGAAATCAGGGATCATTCCAAGGAGATTATATAAGGGATTCTTGATGGCTTTTAAAGAAAGCTGAAAAAAGTATGGTTAATTTTTGCACTGAATTAAGGTTAGTGGACTGCAACATGGAAAAAGGGCCAAAGCTGCTGCTGCTGACTTTTGTTAGCTGATCAGCCTTCTTCTTAGTGTTGAAGATATTGAAAACTTCATTTTGCATATGTTTCTTTCTTTTAATCCTTGCATTAGTTTATCAGAGAGATGAGGTCTTTTTGAATAAAGAGGATAAAAGAGATTCCAAGTTTAAAAGTGAATTCTCCCTTATGCATCATCCCATGTGGTTTTTCATTGTTTGATTGCTTCTTTGCATTCCTTTAATCCTCTTTTTCTTGACTAGGAAAGGTTGATCGATTACAGAAAGTGTGTATTCAAAATTCCAAAATTTTATATTGTAATGATTTCAAAAGGCAATGTGATGAGAGTTGTGCCCAATGTGTTACTATCATTTTGATTATCTTCTTCACTCGTATTTTTGTATAGGGGATGCTGCTAAATTGTTAGCCCGTAATAATGATTCTTAAATATTATCTCTGTTCAAAATATATCGTCCAGTTTGGTTTTTTTTTTTTTATAGTTCAATCTGTACTAAAAATAACAATCCAAATCAGACAATAACTTCGAGAGGGAAGAAATATTAGATATCAAATTAAATTAATAATCTTTGTGTCACAATTTGCTATCGCGATCGTCAAATGGGAGAGAAATCTTGATGCTGTATCGATATTAGACAAGGTCATTATTCAATTTGAACGGTATTCCATAGTATTTTGCATGATAATACAGTTGAATATGATATCTCGTCTCATTCTGACTCCGACGGTGCAATTTGTTGTAGTAGAGTATCGTTCAAAATTCAAAGTAGACTATCAAAACTGACAAATGAGAGTACACTTCATGACTTCAACCCGAAAATACTCCCAAATTGATTCGATAATTTTCTGCTTCTAAAGGGAAAAGAAAGGGGAAATTTTCTCCAAAATTTTTTTAATTGGACACCATCTTACACACACAGTCACGCACTGAAACGATTCAGTGTGATCCGTCAGATTCCTTAAACAGGATCCGAACGCGTGTCCAATTCCCGCCCAACCTCATTTGCTAATTTTCCCATTGGGCCCATCCGCTTCCCAACCCGACACTTCACCTTCCTCATTTTTCAATTGACACTTCCACCCTCCTTCAAGGGGTTCAACTAGTCCTAGTACTAAAACATACCTCAGGGCTAAATGAGTAAATTAAGCCTAAATCCAGGTCATCCACCCGAACGTGACAGCTGATACACAAGAGACGAAAACAATCACACACAGTCACACACTTCACATCTCTGATTTCTCCATAAATTAAAACCAAAAGGAAGAGAAAACTGCCCTCCTCAGTTTCATCCATGGCCTCTTTTCTCCTCCATTCCACTTCTCAGATTTTTCATGGGTTCATTCTTCTCATGGTGGACCGTGAATATATGTTTTTTTTTTATTTTCAATCTTTGTCTGGGTAAAGAAAGTTCAGATCTGCGGTGTAAAGTGAAGAACAAATTAAAAGCTATATATATGCAGATGTTACTTTTGTTGTTTGTATTTTTGTGCAATTTTTCTTTTCTGTCATTATGGGTCAAAACTTTTTTTTTTTTTTTTTGTGGAGGGTGATGGTGGAGGAATTGGTTTTGGGACGCTGGAGGCAGCGGTTCATCGATCTGTTCCCTGAATTTCAAACCGGTCTGAAGAGAGAAAAAAACAAATACAGGGAATCGATCGATAAACCTCTGCATCCAGCGTTTTACCGTCTTCTTCTCCATTTTTGCATCCTACGTTATCTAATTTATTTTTATTTTGTTTGGTGGGCTGATTTGATTTGATGGCCGGAACTGGAAAAGCTTTCATTTATGTTCATGTTGGAGAAGAGATGATCTTGTCTGATCCATCATTACTCATTAGTATTCATTAGATCTCAACAGTCAACTGTGCTGGTCAAACATCTACTTCTGTGTTTTGTTTGTGGCTCTCCAAAATTTGCTGGATTTTGTTCGCATTTACTCTGGAATTCTGACATGCATGAGCGATATGAAATGAAACTCAAAAGTTGCCCTTCAGATTATGCCCTTTAAACCTTTTTTTTTTTTTTTGCTTGATCTGTCCATAACATTAAATACCCCAATGGGCAATATGAGTGTTTTGCTGCTGTTTTTTTTTTTTTTTCTTCTTCTCTTCATTGAATGTCTCATGCAAATTTCAAGAATGCTTTTAATATTTTCATATAAGATTTTTTTTTCCCATTTTTAAAAGGAAGAAATTAATCACACTGTTCCTTTCCTGGTTTTGTCACGGGGAACTGCAAAAGATTTTGGACACAAGCAGAAAAACAGTCTTAATAATTTTACTAATGTAAGGTTACTGTTGTGGGCTGTCACTCTCAACTCTCAAGATGCTGTTTGCCTCTTTTCTTCTTCCGCTTTGAGCCTTTGATCATTTGAGCCTTGGACACAAATCTCTGTTTGTTTGTTTTTTTTTTAAATGATTTTTTCAGATTATTTTAATAATAACTGTCTCACCGTATCTTTTTATATTTCTAACACATTTTTTTACATTCTTAATAGAAAAAACACCCAAATACACGTATAAAAAACCCGAAACAAATATGCTTACTGGGTTGTCCTATTTGTTGTTAATTTTTGCAGCATCATGTAATTTTTTTTTCCCTTATGTAATTTGTTGTCTTTTCACTTGTAGTGTGGTACCCATCTTTCTTGGTTTTTTTTTTTCTCTTCTTGTGATTGCATATGGGCCACTGAATACGATTACTATGACAACCAATCAAAGGATGCTAAAGTGGGATTATTGCCAAAATGATTTGATCTGATGGGAAGAGTTTATTATTGATATTATGTCGACATAGACGTGATTAAGTTAACCTGGACCTCCTTCATTGTGTTTTGTTTGTTTGTTTTTTTTTTTTATTTCCAGTAACAATGATACAATCTGATAGATTGCTTTTTCTTGTTCCAACATGTATGTATGTATTGAGGTTAAGCTTTGGACAGATAATACTCCCTCTGTCCCAAAATTATTGTCCAGTTTGAGATTTCACTTTTAGTATAATTTAAACTAAAAATGAAAACTCAAACTGGACAATAATTATAGAACGGAGGGAGTACTTTTTTCGTCCCGCAAATTTGGTTTAATTACTTGAATTAAGTAATAATATACTTTTACGGGGAATAAAGAAGAAACTGACGAGGCCAACGCAAAACAATATTTGATGCGATCGGACAGTGTGACAAATGTTCTCTTACGTTATCACATTTGCTAGAGTGGTTTGTGCAACTTTAGAGGTCTAAAATCTTTCTCCATTTGATTCTCTTTGTTTTAGAAATGTTGACATGAGGTCACCAAACAAACTAAAAGTGAGTCTCAACTTTCAACTACACTTTCATCACTATGTAATGCTCCTAATGGAACTAAAAGTGCCTACACACTTTTACCTTAATTTCTCCGAAAATAGGAAGCGGGAAAAAACCCATTTTGCTGGTCTAATAAAAGCCATGATGGACAAATTTTTATTTTTTTTTCGTTGTAAAAATTGTGAATTAAGTTCTCCAATTGCAACTGCATATTCTTAACTATGAAACCTGTGGAGAATGAACGACTATGGTATATTTTTTTTGGGGTTAAAATAAATCAGGATATATTATATTATAAATGTAAACGTACAACATAATCAATCATATTTATTCTATATTGTTGTGGTGGAATTTCTTGGAAACAAAAGTCCTTTATTACTGCTGTGTAATTTTATTTTTGTGCTACTACTTGTACTCAAATAAATAAATAAAATATATTTTTGTAATGTATATTGATATTGTAATCAATCTATCGAACAATTGCGTAAATGATGTTGAATTTGTTCTGATAGATATACAAAACAAACATAGGGAATCCCAAATGGCGGAGAATATAGATGATGCATGAATATATGGAGCCCTCCCGGAATATAATATCAGCAAATTCCCAATGCTGATTCCAGGAAAATTGTTAATCAAACATCATCATATACTATATGCTCTTTCATCAACGTAAGGTCCTTGCTTTCTGAAAAATAAAATAAAATAAATAATGAAGAAAATCCTATTCTTCATTGCGTTTGCACGATTCCGGTTCATTGTGTACCAATGCTTGTTCATACTTCCGAGTTCAAGTGAGCGACAGTGACTTCACATTGATAATGAATGGTACTTTTGCGTCCACAATGTATAATTAGAAGCAACAAATATGATAATAAAACAACAAATTAAGGGGATTCTTGAAAAGATAAAAAGGAACTCATGAAAAAAAAAAACCCCCTAAAAGCAAAGAATGAATCGCAACTAAGAGGAAAAGTTCTGAGCTTTATTGCATTGTTCAACGGGGTTGCAATTGAAGTGGCAAGAAAAAGAAAGAAGAGGTGGGCATGGGTTAGTTTCACAAGGAATTTTCATTCCTGTGTTGGCTGATATCGAGAAATTTTCAGAAAATGTGTGTGGCTGGTTTCATAAGAAGGCTGCCTACAATTTAATTAATCAAATGGACACTACTTTAATGAATGATACGTGTCCTTATTATTGATGTTAACACCCTAATTAAATGGAAAGTGAACCCGTTTAGATAAATAATTAAACACGTGTCAATCATTTAACTAATATCACACAAAGTGTAACACAAAAGTGTCACAGAAGATCTTTTGTCCTTTTGTATCCATCCGTCTCGAATTGATTGTTCAGTTTAGATTTTTATTTCTCATGCAAATTTAACTACAAAATGAAAATTTAAACTGGACAAGTATATGAATAAAGTAGAGTATCCGTCTCAAAACTTAGGACTTAGTTGCCCCATAGGATGGTGTTAATTTCAATCTCGGAACTTTCATCTGCTTATTATGTATCTATTTCAGAGCGTTTTATCATGCGACCAGGGAAACCGAAGTCTGTGATTGATGATTTGATGTAATATTGTTAATAATCATCAAACTGAAGTATTAACTTTCACAATCATCAACCATATTCCTAGAACATTTGATATGCATGATTTGAATTTACATTTTGGTAGCCAAAATTCAACGCAAAAGATGTTGAAAAGAGGAAGAACCATCAGATGTGTGGATTGCATAATGAGATTCTCTATCTATTCAACCGACGGGATCAACATTAATTCAACAGTGGCGCAGCCCTCCCTCGTATAGAGTACATTATTTGAAATAATTTGTTCGGAAATATCCTTGTATAGTACATTAATACTCCCTCTTCCTAAGAAAATCGTATAGGTTGAATTTTTAAATTTATATTAGAAATATAAATTTAAAAACTCAACCTTTTTTTTAAGACGGAGAGTATTTAAATAAAGTTTGAAGTACTCCATTAAAAAAAAGGCAGTAATTTGGACATGTTATTTTCATTCCGCCTTTGCTTGAATGAAATCATGGCTCCACCACGTAATTACTAGATCTATCATAAGCAAACACACACTTCCTAGATAACTTTCATCGTTTGACAATATTATTCTTCAGTTAATGGCTCAATTAAATATAAGAAAATGCTCAATTTATGTAGGGGAATCAATGACTTCGGGTTTCACTTGTGTATATAGCTGCAAAATGTAGGTAGGTTCACAACTTGAGCTTCTTGTGTTCTACTACCTCCGTTTTTTATATCGTTTTAGGGTGAACTCAAAGTGTTTTTTCCAATCTGTTGTACTTTATTTTTAATGCATCATTAAATATTATTTTTCTCATTTTACCCTTATCTCTTTATTTTTAATAACATATATTAATGACAACTACCTACTCTTTAACTTCAATTTCAAATTTTTTAGAGTTTCGATACTTTTAATGAGGGTTTAATGAGGGGCAAGAAAGACAATACTCTTATAAATTAAATTCTCAATCATTGTTTTCTTAATAGTTGTGCAAACCCTAAATCGACAGATAAAAAAAACCAGAGTTAGTAATATTTAAAAAGCTTCTATTCTTGGAACAATATCATATGTTTATGCCTGATGGATAAGGGCAAATAATATTAAGATCCTAAGGTGTACCTAGGCAGTGCGTGAATCACACACAAGGAAAAAGAAATTGAAATTTTTGAGCCCGGATAAAAGGAGTCCACACGCGCATTTAATCACCCAATTTTATCTCTCCTTTTTTGGCTTTTAATCCCCTAATCTTATCCTCTCTCTTTTTTTGGCATTTAACTCCCTGATCTTATCCTTTTTTTTAGCACCCGATTAATTTTAAATTTTTTTTTATTTGCTTATCATGTTAGCTTTTATATTATTTTATTTTATGAGATAAGTTTTTATAACGATGGATTTAATTTTAGTAAACTTTACTATAGTTTAATAATTGAGACTTATGAATATGGAGAATCAGTGTGTATTTTCTCAATAATGAATAACCAATGTTTAGACAATGAATAATGTTATGCAATTATTGAAAGATGAATGATGTGGAATGTATTCATTTTATTGGTGAATATACATGCGTAAGGTAATACGTAATATATGGTTACTGATGAACAAGAATTTCATTGTTATTTTTTGGCAGATGGTGTATCATCTTGTTAAGATTTTACGATGAGTATCTTATTTTAATTAATGAATAACAAGTTGTTATTGATGAATAACAGATGATGTACTTATTGGACGATGCTTCAACTATGAGGAATGAATAACAAGTTGTTATTGATGAATAACAATGCAAACCTAATGAATAATGATCCCATCCTAAATAATAACAATATTACAATGAAGAATAGTTGTAGTTTTACAAGATGAATAATTATACTTTAATGAATGAATAATATACGTTAGTAAATGAAGAACTTTGATTACAATAATATATATTGCAATGGGATAAAGTAAATAACTAAACTAACAAACTTCTAATTATGGGTTATACTAGACAAAAAATGAACAAAAAAAATTAGTCAGTATTTTTAAGATATAAGGTCTTGAAAGATTCATCGATGTTCGATTCGTTTATATTGATTGATTGATTTCAACAACTCTGATAAAAATATTTTATTCCCGACCGATCGACTTCATCTTGATGAGCATTTCTTTGCTGCTAATCAAACAAGAACATTATAGTAAATGAGATTTGACATTCAATTAAAACTCTGTTAATCATCAATAACAATGTTATTAAAGACGAAAAATCATTTTGAAAATGATGAATAAGCATTAACATTACATAAATCCAATCCAGTTAATAGTAATCGTGCACATGTGCATATTAAATGATGAATAACAACATCATTGGTGATGAATGACATATCTTTGCATGATGAATACACGTATCTATGGAATGAATAACACATGTTCACATGATGAATGACATATATTAACAGGATGAATATCACAATTCTACAGGATTATTGACACATTTACAATCTTACACAGAATAAAAACCCTTTAGTGATGAATAACTGCTAATGAATTAATGAATAATTATACATAGATGATGAATAAAATTGGAGACAATGAATAACAACTCTTTACTGATGAATAAATAAGTCCATCTAATGAATATCATAGCGGCAATGAATAAATAAGTCGATCTAATGAATATCTGATGATGAATAATATATTCGTCGATGATGCAAACGTAAAAAAAAAAAAACAACAAATATCTGATAAATCATGTTGTCGCTATGATGAATATTGACTACGTGATGATGAATAATATCAGTATATAGAAACAATTTATCGAAGTAACCATAAAAAAGATGAAAAATTCTAAAACATTGATGAAGTATTATAGAAAACTGATGAACAATGCATAGATACCTTTATCTTTTACAAAATGAACATCATTTCAATGAACAAAACTGATAACTTGATGAACTAACATCAGTAATCGAGAGATTAGTCTTAGATTTACATAACCCAAATATACGGCTGACCACAAATATATGATGAATAATATCATCGATTTGATGATTAATGATACCTAAATGAAAAATACTGTCAGATCTACTGACAATTTATCAAATCAACCATAAAATGATGAACAAGACTAAAAAATAATGAAAAAACATTATATAGATGATGAATAATGATAGAAAACTGATGAACAATTCCTAAATCTATTAATCTTTTTCCAAATCAAACACATTTCGTTGAACAAAACTATTAAATTGATGAACGAACATCAGTAATCGAGCGAATAATCTTAGATCTACATAACCCATTTTAATAAAAAAAACATCATTTGTTTAAGACCAGTAGTTTTACCTCATAAATGGATCAGAATCCAAATCAGAATAAACGATCGTTGATTTTTGCATAAAAGTTTTGAATCAAATATTAATTTTTAAACATCAAAAATGAAAAAATCAAGAAAAAATGATGAATACACGATGAATTTAACAGTAATTTACCCGAATTTTCATCGTCTGCCAACCAGAAACCATTGGTTTAATGCAAAATATGAGTTCTTTATCGAAAGAACCGCCGCCGAAGCTTTTTGTTTTTGTATCGCCGGAAGTCTGAATTTTTTGTGTTTTTCGGATGTTTTGCTTTGAGACGGAATGGATTGATATGAATGGGAAGATGGATTGTGATAGGAAGTTGGATAAATATGATTAATGATGACTGAAAATTAGGAGAGATATTAGAAAATTCAAAATTTAAAAAATCTTCTTTTTTTTTTTACTTCTTTTGAGCGCGTGAAATACAAACTAGGTACACTTTACTAGATGTACCTAAGATCCCTATATTATAATTGGATGGATAAGTGCGTAATGCAGCAAACCGATTCATTCAATAGACTAATTAATACATTAAACTAGTCAGAAAGTTTAAGGAAACTTGAAATATTCCGAGAACGTTACAGTGATACTTTTTATTATAGTGGTATATTAATAGGGTATTCATTACTGATAATAACGACTAATTCTTCTCGTTGGAATGTAAACCAAGTATAAATCTATTGACAGTTTTTCATTGGACCAATTCAATTATGATGGTTTTTCTAAAACTACTTGTAACAGTATCCTCGAAAGAGCCATATCTCATTTGACTTTTTTAAAAATTAATTAATTGACATCCCAACAAGTTATGAATAGATTTTAAGAGATGGAAAAATTATGCGGTATAGAAAAGGTTGCACAAAAATTTTACGGACGAATTTTGTGCACAGACCAAAAAACCAAATTAAAAGGTAACATAATTAACAGTATGATACACTAAGACAATAATAGTTGAGTGATAAACTAGTAGATTGAAACTCACTGATGTTACATCTCTCAAGAAGATCCAATAACAAAATTACTCCCATTTACAATCTCACTAAGACAAGAAATCTTGATTAAACTCAAATTGATAGGTCTCTAAATCAAATAAGACCATGAGGCATTTCTTTTGAATGACACATAAAAGAATCAAACACCCTAGCCTCTTGATCAGCATTACTACTACTATTTTCATCTCCTCTTTCTGCTCTTAATGTAGTACCAGCAGCACTGAAAGAAGGAGCCACAATAACTGAAGAATAAACCTTTGAGTTGCCAAGTAATGAGAGCCTGGAAGAGTACTTCTCTTTGTCAAGTAAAGAAGAGTCTCCAATAAATGTGCCAAACTGATCAAAAGACTGATGATGATCTCTTTCTTCAATCCATGGTTGAGACTGTGATGAATCCAGCTGCGCCGAGGAGGATGATTTCGCGGCTAGATTCTTGGTGATGGCGTGTTTAAGGAGCTGATAAAGTCTAGGATTCTTTCCAATTAAGCTCCTGTTTTCTTCTTCTTGAGTAATATTACTCATGTTTCCACCATGTTGATATGTGAAGTTTGTCTTTGCATTTCTTCCCCTTAAAAGCCTAGCAGCATTATCATAAGCCATGGCTGCTTCCTCTGCCCTATCAAAAGTCCCTAACCATAGCCTTAGCTTCTGTGTTGAGTCCTTAATCTCAGCTACCCATCTTCCTGATGGCCTTTGCCTTACTCCAAGAAATTTCTTCCTTCCAACATGGCTTCTTTTCTTCACACTTTCTCCGCTTACCTGAATATGATCAAGAGGGATTGCTGTCCCAATCGCGGGCGACGAGTTTTGATTATTTATTTCTAGACTTGAGGGATGATCATGAGATTGTAGTAGTTTTTCTGAAGTTTGAATTTCTTCCATGTTATGATCAAGCTAATGAAGAAGGAGGCTCTTTGATTTATTTGCATTAATAGGAAGAAGACATTAATCAAGTGTCAACCATACAATGACGATGATATGGATTAATTAATAGTTATCAATTTTGTAATGTCATATCTGGCATATCAGAGTTAAATTATATGGTTTATTGTATTGATTAAAGTTTTGGTATGATTAAGAACAGGGTAGATGACAGAACAAATTATCTCCAGCACACTGGGGAAGAAATACTTGGCAAATTTTTGGAGTTCATGCATCAACTTGTACATAAATTTTTGAGTGACTGGACCACTGGTTGGTGCAAGGGGCTTAATACATATATCAATCGTGTATTATCAATAAAACGACACTATTTTATTTATCGATGGACACTATCATATCTTTAAATGCGCTAATATTCTCTAAAATTTATGTAAACGTACGTTAATTTACTCATGAGACATGATTAATCAATACCTAATTCGTGAGGTAGAGGATCTCATTTGGGTTGGAGGTTATTACCAAAAACTTGTTAAATAACTATGAATGGCAGAGTAGCAAGCTAAACGGAATCTGCCACATTCAGGGGCTATGGGGTGATTTAAAAAAAAAATGAAGCAAAATAATTTGTAAGGATTCTGCAAGTGGCACTAGAATTTGTTATTTTCTGCATTATTTGTACTTATTTCTACATGATAATGGTACTTTGTTAATGGATTTTTATATGAATGAATTTCAGTTTCAAATGAGTTAGAAATCTGCAGGGAATCTTCAAAGCATGCATACATATTGCTGATACCATCATACTAATTATGGAGTATTATATAATTGTTTGTTGATAGTGAGGAATTATTCTGATACTTGGGCTTCATCCAAGAGGAAGAAACAAAGTGAATACCTCAACAACTCCAAAAAAACAGACAGAACCCTATAGTTTATTTTAAGGTATTTCCAAACATCAAAAACTGTCTATCCTCAGAAAGTTATAAATTCTATGTTTTGCACTTGTCACTTAATGAGTCGTCCTGATTTGTCCCTTTGACATGCTGTCATAATTACATAACTTAATTAGCTTAGTTTAATTGTTACTCCCTCCGGTTATTATTATAAAACATTTTGATTTTGTCTTAAATTTTACCTAGCATGTTTTTTTAATTTAAATAAAAACCTTAAAAATATTTTTTAATAATTAAAAGAACATAAAGAATATAAAAATATATTTTTAAAATTTTTTTTTACAATTAAAAAGATATTTTAAGTGTAACCTAAGACAAAATCAAAATGTCTTTAAGGACCGGAGGAAGTATTGAGCAAAATTAAGAGAGATGGCAGCTTTTGATACCTTCAGTAATCGAATTGTGAGAAGAGGAATCGAGTCGTAAGGAAAATTCATTAAAAGAAACTCTTAGCTCATGATGCGGATGAAATCAGAATCGCCTACATATATTTGTTCGTGATTTTTAGGATTCATCCATTACTCCTATCTTCAGCTTCTTTACATCTTTCGTCCCAAAATTATTGTTCAGTTTGAGATTGTACTTTTAGTATAATTTGAACTGAAAATAAAAATCCAAACTGGACAATAATTATGCAACAGAGAGAGTATTTTTTCTAAGAATTTTCATTTATCATCATGCATTCATACTCTAGTAAACAGGATGCCTCATATTTTTGCTCAAAAAATATGAAATGTAGAATTCGTTTACATGATGCAAATAATCATGAGAAATCCGAAAGCCTAAAAACTTTCTGGTTGGATTAATTTGGACTGATCTTTTAGAAAAACCATTTATTTTGTCTGTTTTCATTGGGAAAGAATATACCTGGGAATTTTTTTTTGGGTTCTCTCTTCCATGCATGGATCGAAATGAGACCCTCGTCATACGACGACCCACACAATATGTAATTTTAACTCTGGATTTAACTGATCAAGGGATTATTTAAATAGAATACTTTTCTCCAGGAAGAAATTCATTCGAATCAAATGAGAATTAATTTAGATATTTTCTATATCTATATATTTAGGACTACCACAAACACATTCTTGTAAAGAAATATATATACACATATATTTCCCTTTTATTTGCTAGCAAATTATTTATGAATTCCAAAGCAATTAAAAGATTATTACAGGGTAATCCCGATGAAGGAGTGATGATCAAACCCTAAATCAATAAAATAAAGGTTGAAAATTAGTCATTCCATCACCAAATAATTATGCTTGCGATTTACTAAACGTGGAAGTTACATGCTTATACAATTGTGATGATCAAAATCTTATGAACATATATAGAATTAAAAGAGGTAAATCTTTTTTTTGTGAAGACGGGAACCCTATGTGAAACCGCTTCATTTGAGTGACATGGATATCTATTTGAGTCATTAAATTTGAGAACAAACTGAATTATTGTACATGTATCTCAAGAAGGTGTCACACTTTTGGCTATAGTCATGCGTGAAATTAATATGTTTGTTTCGTTTTTTTAATATGTGTTTTTATGTGTTTTTTGTATTGAAAATATAAAAATATATATTAAAAATGTAAAAATATATGCTAGAATAGGATAATTATTAATATATTAATTTTTTTAAAAAAAAAAACCATCAAGAAAATGAAACAAACAAAAGTTTGCTCTATTAAGCTTCTTTGCCCTCCTGGTGACAATGGAAATATGACCACAATTTATTTTTTTTTAAATTTTTCTTCGTTGACTAAAATGATACCCAAACATTTGAAGACAAAATCCAGACATAAGTCATGCTGGTTTCATGGAAAGCGATATTCCCCCATTTGGCTTTTCTTGGTCTTTATTTTATTTTATGTTATTTTATTTTATTTTGAACAACTCAATGTATACACTATCAACATTAATAATTATTCCCTTCATTAGATTGTAAACACTCAAATAAAAGTAATAATTGTAGATGGTCTTAGTTACTTTGATTCATTATGTTTTTGCTTTAGTTAGAATTAGATTCTCAGCCCGGGCAGGTGTCCGACCCTTGACTTAATAGATTGATATGTAATTGAGAAGAAATAGTAGTTATTGTCTAAAAAAAATAGTCCATACAAATCTTAAAAGTTAATTGTACTATTTTTTTAGCCAAAGAAAGTATATTCTATTATGACCAAATGGTGAATAAGAAAAAACACACATAAGGGGGGTTTGTAGGGTGATGCAGACAATTAGAATTGTTTGCATTTCTTTTATAAATTGAAAAATTGTAGACTGATAATCTGAAATTCTTAATCAAGAGGCATACGAATTTCAAACCAACGAATCAATAGGGATGAAGGCTCATGGAAGTCTGCCTTGTTTATTGTTGTAAACTATAAAAAAAAAAAACTGGGAGGCTACTAAACGCCCTAAAAATTTCTCTTGAGCGCCCTAATTAAATATCAAATGACCATTTTGCTCTTACATGATTTTATAAATTAAGAGTTTCAATTTCATTCTTTCAATTCCTAAATCAATCTTTCATTTCAAATTCTCTCAATCCAAACTCCTAAAAACTTAGATTCAATGGCTGATCGAATGAAACGGCTACGTAAAGAGCTACGGAAACTAAAGGTACGTAAATTTGGATTGTTTTTTTGAATTAGAATTATGTAGGAGTATTTATAAAAAATAAAAATAAAAAAAAACCACCACCGCCACGGCCGGCGAGGGAGGACCGCGCTGGGGCGTGCAGAGTTGGCGCGCAGATCCAATTACGTATTTGGATTGTACACTTAAGATGTATAGTAGATTTGGACAGTACACTTAAGATGTATAGTAGATAATTTTATAATTACGTATTTAAATAATATAAAACTGTATTAAACTAATTAATCTAAGTTACGTGTAAAATTTGAAACCTTTGTAGGATGGGATATCGCCTCTTGAGGGATCTAGACATCGGCAAGCAGTTACGCACAATCTGTATGCCGAACATCGAGCAGAAAAAGAAAAAAAGTTAAAGAAAGTGAAAAATGTACATCCTATGTTTGGCCCACTTGGTGAGTCAGCCAACGTAGACGATGATGATGATGATGATGATTTTGAGGGAGAGGAATCAGCAGAGGATCGTTTTGAGAGTGGGGGGGACGATGTGGATGAGGAGGATGACACATCTGAGTATTCCTCGCATGAGAGGAGGGATATACATATTGGAGATACTCGATTTGGATCTTGGTGAGGAGTGGGATACTCGCCTGGATGATGTCATCTTCCGGCACAGTCAGGCCCCATGACATTCTACTCAGTGCTTTTTCTTTTAAACAATTATGTAACGATTCTGTTCTTGTGAACAATATGTACTTATGTTGATTTGCAATTTAAATTTTAATTTACGTTAAAATTTCACCAATTTCATAAATATATATATATATATACACAACATATCACTCGAGATCACAAAATTCCCGTGTGGGTCTTATCCGAGGTACCAAAGTACGTCATAGCTGCAGTCTGGGTTCAAAAAGTTCTTCCCAACCAATAACACTACTATCACGATCATGCAGCCAAATGGGGTGAATGGGGGGAATCGGAAAATCACCCTGCAGATTGAGTCGAATGAAGTGCGGGTAAGGCTCAAGGTGGCAAATAACTATCTGGAACTCTGGCCTTGTTGCCCCGCCCCCTGCGCTCAGTGGTAGCACAGTCCAACATGTGCCGTTTAGATTTTCAGCACCGTTGGTTCTGAAGTAGTACACAACAGCATTGAAATATGTAGCAAGGGGAGAAAAGTCCTCTGTCGACATCCAGTGACCTACAGAGGTACCAGTCCACCGTATACGCTCTAGGCTTGCAGGTAATTTTTTCCACCTACAAAGACAAGTAAATGAAGGTTTTAAATAAAACAACATTGATGCAAGTGTATTAAAATCGTTTCCCAAAATTAAACTGGCTTCATACCCGTAAAGGTTCCCGTACAGGCCAGGGTTATTTATAACCTCATCATAACATATTTGTCTGCACAAAACATGATTATTCTGCCCTCCCAACATGCAACTCGCAAAGACGTGGAAACCACAATTGTCGTCAGCCTCGACATCAAGATATGACTGAACATGATTGTGGAGTACATGCGGAATCTTATTCTTGTGCCTAAACTGGAAAAAGTCTGTCTGCATCACATCTTTAACCACGTAAAATAATATCATTATTTCTGAATTATATATCAGTTTTTAATAACAATATAAATTATAAACGTACCTCCGACATGGGGTTCGGAACCCGACCTGTGGCCTCTACTGGAACTGCTAGTGTTCGTCTCACCTTGC